AAATTTTATGATGTAAATACAATTAAGTGTATCGATAATAATTCGCTACTGAAAATTTATTGAAATATAATTTGTGTTAAAAAAAGATTTTTGTGGTTTTATGGTTTATTAAATGTAATTAAAATAAATAATATCAAGAACTTGTATTATATATCAAAAACATTCATTGTAAATAAGAAAATTATGTAAATAAACCATAAAACCATACAAAATTTTCCTGCGACCTCTATTCAAAATCCCAGTTTACCAATAAGAATTAAGGCACAAAGATGTTTCACTGAATTTATTACCGATTTTTCAAGAAAAGTATGCTTATAAGCCTATAAGCGTCTAATGGGTTAAAACAACAAATAATAATCACAATTTATTTGTTTTATGTGTTCATTACAATAATCCCATTTATTTACCAGAAACTTCTAAATGAAATAATATCTGGTTGACGAGAAATATCCGCAAATTTGTTTTAGGCTCATCTGGCAACGTTTTCGGTAGGTAGGTATCAATGGAATAATGCGATTAGGTATACTGACCGTTTTAAGGAGTGCTCGTCCAATAGTGCGTAAACTAAAAGATTTGGTAATTTTCTTGGAAGAGTTTGTTTCTTCAATGAAAATTTATGGTTTTTAATTCTTCGGCCGCTTGAAAGTCTCGCCATGTGAAAATAGATTATTTGATAACCTGTTTCGTAATAATTGTAAATACGAACAAAAGCATATTTGCTTATTCTAAACAACTGGCCATATCGATTCCAAACTTGTACAGATATGTTTTTTATTGTTTCTGTTTTCAATGAAATAAATTTTATTTGCAAAATACCTAATGTCTAACGACATATCACGCATACATACTACCCCATTTACTATATTTTCAATCTGTGCATTTTTCGCTTCATTCGTAGGAGCCAAGTAAGAAGTATCAGTGAGACCGGCGGACTTTCAATAGCTCGTAAATGAAAAGATTTAGTAAAGTTTCCTAGAACAGTCTGTCTCTTCATAAAAAAATTTAGACATTTTTACTATGAAATATAGGTACAATACGGTATATTCCACTGTTTGTTTTCTTTGAGATACGACTAGTTCTTGTGCCGAAGTGAAACACCAAAAAGTCTAAAGTCCGGAAATCAGAGTGAATTTTAAAACACATAAAACGACTTCTTTATTTATTTAAATATTGTCCTGTAACGTCCTGTGACGTGGAATGGAGTTTCTTAATGTACAAAAGTATGTTAGATAATAACCGAAAAATTTTCTTGATTAAAACTAAAGGAAACACAATTATTACTTGGAATAAAAATAAAGAATATCAAGAACTGGTGCTATGTATTAAAAATATTTAATTTCAAATAAGTAAATTATGTTAATAAACCATAAAACCACAAAAATCTTTTTTTAACACAAATTATATTTCAATAAATTTTCAGTAGCGAATTATCGATATACTTAATTGTATTTACATCATAACAGTTATTTATTATACAAGCGGTTAAAGTGAATGTTTAATGAGCGGCCAGTTTAAGGCGAGAGCGGCGTATGCCGCGAGCGCCTTAAGACCACGAGTTACACATTCATTTTAACCGCGAGTGTAATACAAACTTTTATTCAATTTTGACAACCCCAAGTCCCAAATTGTGAAAAAATTGGTGATTCAAAGTTCACATTCGAGAAACGTCAGAATTGACAGCGACCAAATAAAAGTTTTATATGCGTAGAATTTAGGTTACAATATCAGGTGTGTGTGTGTAGTATGTGACTCTGGCGACGGTGTTTGTTTATTTTAAACAAACTAAAATTATCGAAAAATTGCAAAATCATGCAAGATTCCAACGGCAAAACTTGCTCCCAAAAAAGAGCAAATCAGAAAGTGTATCAAAAGTTCCTTAGATGGAAAGAGCAGCAAGGCATTGGAGAAATTACAGAAATGGTAACCATGGTTTTAAAACAGCAAAATAAAAATTTTATTTCGCTAGCGGTTTAAAAATTTTATGGTGCTACCGGACATTGATTAAATACATATATGTATTTAATCAATGTACCGGATAAACCAAAGCTTTAGTGGCCTACTGACGGCAAAATAAACATTTGTTTACATGTCAAAATTGAATAAAATTTATTTATTTTACTTCATACTATGTCAAGTTTGACGTTTTACTGGATCGAACGATTCCGGTAAAATCAAAAAAACGGACAAGTCCGATAAAATTGAGCCAAAAAGGACAAGTGTTCCATTTCCGGAAGCGGCCACTGACCCTTTTGGGTCTCTTTTGCTTTACCTGTTATTGTAAATACAAATGTAAATTTAGTACTTCTGTAACCGTCCTGTATTAAACATCGAAACCGAACGCTGTCTATTATCTCGCACGCAAGAAAACAAAGGTCCTTGGAGCAATATCAAAGTACAATTCGGTATCACATTGTCGTATCAACCAGATTACAAAAAATACTGGTAGGACGAGCCGAGTTGCACAAACATTGGTCCTTCGAGACGGATTGCACAAAACATTCGTCCATCGAGTCGGATTATACAAAACAATAAGTCCTGTAAAGTGTTATAAGTACTATGTGTTTAAACATATGATGCTGATTTGCACGAATAAACAAATTAAAACATTTACCAAAGAGCGGTTGCTAACGATGTCAGAAAAAGTGACTCGATTTGGATTTTTTCTCAAAATAATAATAATATTATCGAATAAAAAAGTATGTTGACAGTATGAAATAAAATACATAACAACATACGTCCGGTAACTCTTTTCGCAGTACTCGTTTCGAAATTAAAGACTCGGCTACCTACTCGTCCTGAAACATATCACTCGTACTGTAAAATTTGAGCTACCGGACCGGACCGTATTTAGAATAACTTTAATTACCATTTATGTTTTCATCAACACTAACAAGTATTTAAAATAACAAGTAATAATTTGTTTGTATTGTTTATTCATTATAATAATTCCATTTATTCACCAGAAACTTTTAAACGAAATAAAATCTAATCGACTAGAAATAACGGCAAAGTTGTGCTAGGCTCATCTGGCAACGTTGCAAATTATATAAATGGTTACTATGAGATTTTTACACATTGTTTTCGTCGCCCTCTGTCGAGTGGTAGCTTTATTAAATGTATTGTTGCTGCGATTTGGGTTATCTACGCGCGCGATTGGTGTCCAAGCTTTTCGTCGGCGTTTGACGGCCGACTGTTGGTGCGCCATCTCTTGTTCGCCGGCCGTTGGCCTGTTCGCTCCAAACAATAGCATGGGTCTATCTATATGTATTTAATCAATGCTCTCAATTACGTACATAGAAAACCGAACGTATGTCGTTGCTTATAATCAAGAGGGTGGACCAGGGTGGACTAGCCCATCCTCACATGAACCGTATAACGCCGAGATCTGACGCACTTTTTTACAACTGCAATTTCTCAGTTGCGGAAACTGCGGGATGTAATGAAGAAAATCCGTTGGCTTAAATGATGTTTACGACGATAATTATTTGTGTATACATATATAAAATATTTTAAAAAAGAAAAAAAAATCAATATTTTACTTCGTATCATAAATAATCAAATAGGGTGGGCATTGCCCACCCTGCCCACCCCGAGGAGCCGCCACTGGTTTGAATTCTTTACATTGTAACTCGACTACACAAAGTGTTCATTTTATTTATTGTATTACTTGTTGATGAAGAAATTGTAACAAACTTTTATGTTTTTGTATAGTAATTATCTTATAATTATTAATTAGTACATAGTACTGAAATTTTATCGAACTCTTATTCTGTGAACCTATTTCACTATTATTCTAATATTTTCTAATTTTTGTTTACCAGAATTTTTTTAGACAAAGATGTAGTAACACAAGAAAAAGGATTATATGCGTACGGTAGTAATTTATAGTTTATAGTTGTTATAAATGCACTTTTCTCCACAGCTTTTCCCCAATCAGAACGCGACATCTCCTTTTCTCCACAATTCCCCACCGACACCCCCAATAATAGTAGTTATATTGTTCAACGAGTGAGAAAGTTGGTCATTTCACGAGGACGAGATTTTCCGGAACAAGCCAAAGGCGAGTGGAGGAACTCATTTGAGTGGAATGACCATTTTCTCACGAGTTTAACACTTTTCTGCTCATATAATCAAGAAAATAAAGACAAAAAAATCAAGAATTATTTTTATTAACATTAATGATGACGTGTAAACAAAAGATAATCAGGGTAACGCAATAGATTAAAAAATGGTCAATTTTCTCAATCCAAAATGCAGTAAAAATTCAACATTTTCTCAATGTGAGTAGAAAAAATCATACTTTCTTCGTAACCGTTGTGCAAAATGTGTTTCATACCATCATCATCACTTGATCACTAAGTATAGAAAATTCAAATCATTGCTTTTATAAATTATCATTCGGATTTACTGGTAATGTTCCTGTTGGGAAATCGTTTGTGTGCATAAAATGTTTCTTTCGCCTGGTTTGTAGCACCTGGTAGTACCGGCAATCACGGTACCAGTTAAAGTTACAACATCCATCCTCTTACGGTGGTCCAGACCAATATTCATTACAACGCCGCTAAGAGTCCACTGTTACTTCATGCGGTCTGGTGCTAAAGGACATTTGTTCCCACAAAGGTGGCAATGAAAGACGTTAAGGCAACTAACTATCACTAGAGGGTAGTTGGACGACGACGTGTAGACTTATTATGCTCAACTCCTGTGTCGAAATTCTTAGTGATACGATACCGCCTTAAAAGCACCCGTTAATACCAGAATTATTTGACACATTGTATTTAGGTAAGTGTAAGCGACCAAGTCTGTTACCAAAGGTTGTATATATTTGTTAATTTCCAAAAAGTTGCCAAGCAGTTTATCATATCCCTAAAGTGACCAATTATTGTATTTTGCGTGAACTAGACGAATGAAAGGATTTGAGATTTACAGATGCCAATGTCTCATGGAAGCCCAAATAATACACGAGTAAATTTAATGCATATTCAAATTAAAAGAAACTGTCAAAAAATACAAATTTATTGCATGTGGAAAAACATTGCCATTTATTCTTATATGTATGTATGTACTTTTCAGAGAATTGCTACATCTGCGCAAGATCTAAAGGTTTCCTGAGGCCCACATCCTTCAGCATAACTTCCATCGTCACACTGTCCCCATGTATTACCTTAAAGATACGACATATGTATATTTTTTTTAGTCAAAATAAAACACATACCTGCATTATAATGCCACCGCAAAACACATCTGTCACACGTCAATCCATCTGGAAGTTTTACTTGAGTATTGACAATCAACTGCTTATCTGTACTTTCAATCTGATATTTAGCCTGTCCATCTCCCAAAGTCAAAGTTTGGAAACACTCCTCTCCTGATTCTGGAGCATTTGGATCTTGAAGTACACACACACTACAAACCCAAAATATGCCCTTCTACTTTCTGATCATATTAAACTCACAAACTTACCTGAAAATGAAGTAGCCCATATGGTTTGCAGTCAAATTAACCGTTATATCAACAAGACTACCTGGTGAATACTGTCTGACAACCTTGCCTTGTCCGTAAGTTCCAGTATTTTCGTTAGGTTGCGGATGGGCAGCGTCCCATGGGTCGCCACAAACTCCACATTTTCCGTTATATTGCGTCCATTGAACCTTTAACAACAAAATTTGCTTACAAACTTTATATAATTCTCCGAAGTACTTACATTTACACCACCACAGAAATTCTGATTGTCGTCGTAATTTGGAGGTGCCGATGGGTCAAAGCGCCACAGGGAGCTACGGTTTGGTGGTTCCATCATCATCCCATGACCGGAAATTTTTTCTACAAGAAATAGAAGCACAACGAGGGTGATTGGGGCAGCGACCATTTTTGTAAACGTCTTCACAAATCTCTAACTATGCTTTAGAGAATTCGTGGTTTTTATTAACTCTGATTAGATTAGAACGTATTCGGTTGAAGGGTTTGTTCAAGTATTTACGTAGTAAAGTAGTACTGCGTTGTTTTTGCGTGATTCTATTGTCAACCCAGCAAAAAAAATTAAACTGCTCTTAATTTATCTCGAATATTTTTATATTTCAATGCAATTTTTCTAAAGATGTCTTGAGTATGCTTGTTGATTGAAAAAAAATCATTTAAGATCTAACAAGTATAATAACAATAGCTCTTGATACTGACCTTTGAATTTTCTCTTGCTACTCATTATCTAGTTCTTCGGTTTTTTTTTTTTCTTAATTGATCAAAGGATCATCATCAGCTCCTAGTCTCTTTGATTATCCGGTGATAAACGAGGGGTACAGAAGTATAGGTACCTATGATTTGTGTACTTACAAAACAAAGATTTCTTTTAATATCACCCAAAGAACTAACTTCACAAGGAAAAAAAAGATTGTCTCTTCTTAGTGTAACAATTGACTGTAATATGGAGGAGGAAATTTAAAATCCTAACAATCAGTTCTAAATGTTTTAGTAAAATACATCAAACATAACTTTAGTTAGTTCAATGACATTGTACCATCAAACAACCAATTAGAGAAAACAACAATAAAACGTGCTAAAAATTTAAGAAACATAATGGAAAGAACCAAAAGTGATACTAATAAAGACTAATAAAGTTGTTTTTTTGGCGAAAGGGAATGTTACAGCTAGCTTTCTGAGTCCACAAACTTAAAATGTTGTGAAGAATTAATTCGGAAAAACTGTTAAGATAATTCGATATGAGTAATATTTTTGCTTCTTTCGATAGAAGTAAATGTAATACTTATTTAAGAATTTCAGGTGCTTTAAACAATTAGTTTTAAACATATAAGCATCACTTTCACTCCTCCCTATTTGTTCAGTTTACCTGAACAGGGGTTTGGGCGTAGCCAATTTGTCCACCCTACTCCCACCCGTTTTAGGGTAGTTTACCTAATTTTTATTATTTCACGCTCTCGGGGAGTCGTCGAGAAGTATCGACAGGGGAAAAGACGTGCCTACCCGAGAGACCGGCATTTTATAATTTTGTGCGTTATTAAATAAACCGTGTAACTAAAAGGTGATTTTTATTTCGCGCAAAACACTATTTAATCTAATGAAAAACGATACGCGGCAAGCTTGTAAAGTTGTTCTTTAGCTTTCTTAAGACTTTAACTTTATATACTGCATGGTTCACAATTTAACATCAAGTTTGGTAAATTCTTATAAAGAATTACGAGTATATTATAATTTTTTGAAATAAAAAATATTTTTTTTTTTGTTAATAATCTGTAATCCCGAAATACTGATTTAGTGATATATTAAGATTTCAAAAAAGCGGTCCCGTACTGTCTGAAATAGGCTATAAAATTTGGTTTTCCAGAAGAACTTGACTTAGTAATATTTTGAGATCAGGTCATTATTTTTTAAAGAAAATGAATATACTAATTTCCATAAAAATCCGAACACCTCGAAGGAGTTGAGCCATTTGTTCATATTATCGAATCCGATATGGGGACAGCATTGATCTAATAAAGGAATGGATGGAGCCTTGTATACGTTTCCATACGCGAGCGAGTGTAATCAACATAAGAAAGAAATAGCTAGAGCGGTTATGCATCAGTGGGGAAAGGACGGCTGACCACGTATCACGTGCTGGGTGGCAAGAAACGCTTCATTTGAACGGGAATTAATACGTTTTCTTACGAATTTGTTCAAACAATCAATTATAACAAACGTCTGTTAATGAAAACTATATTTTTACAGTTTACATTAAAATTATGTGTAATGTGAAACAACAAAAATCATGTTAAGTGGTGGAGATAGTCTTTTAATAAAATGAAATGTATAGAGAATCTACAATATATTACGAATTCAGTTAGTACAGTAATCTTCTAAAGTTAACTAATCTTGTAGTGTACGTTCATTGGTAATTCTGAAATTTTTAGGATAAAAATAATTAAACTTTCGATAAAAGTGACAGGGTGCCTAATTAAATTAAACATATTAAATTGTGTGGAATTTTCTACTAAAATTTATTTTCTAAATCCACGTACAAATAACTAAAACAATAATCAATAAATATGAAATTCCCTCTTTTTGTAGCAATAAACCGTTTTTTCGTAACTCGGAATGTTTAGGGAATCTAACAAATTTTTTAAATTATTTACGAAATCCTTCGTCAATGTATGTGATTATTACCTATGAAATGAAACAGGATTGCTGTCTTTGCACGTTCTATGCAATTATACGCACAACACGATTTCACGATGTTTAACAAATACTCCGATAAAATACAACTTAAGAAGACTGTAGATATTTAAATAAGGTAACTTGAGCCTAAAAAACGTAAATTTGCAAAAATATACCTCCAAACACCATGAGACAGCACGAAAGAAATCTCCAGAAACACAGTGCTCTGCAGTTTCGCGTCAATGTATTGCCACCCAGAGAGCCCTATCTCTGTCCCACTGTGTTGACAACGCGCGTCTCTCTCTAAGTTACTTCCATATAATATTATTTCTATGGGGGACAGTCATGGAAGAAATGATTAAAATTTCAACAAAAACCATTAACGTTATCATACCTTTTTTACCTTTTGAAAACAACGTTTCGTCTAGCAGAATTTTGCTTTGCTAGTTGATTTGCGTTAGTTCAAAAAATTCAAGACACCGTGAGCCGGTTCATTTTCATCAATTGAGTGAGTTTGAAAGAGGCCGCATTGTCGGTATGGGAGAAGCCGGTTTCTCAATACGGCAAATTGGCCGTCCTCAAAGAACATCAGCACGCGAAGATCCTCATCTACGAATTGCTGCCCTATGAGACAGACGTTCTACCACTCGTCCAACTGCAACTGATTGGAGCATAGGATCTCCATGTCATCAGTTTATCACCGAATAAGTGCTCGTAGGTTGCAATGGTACAACGACCGAGCAAATTGGGACCACGATCGGAATCGGGTTGTGTTCTCAGACGAATCCCGGTTTTGTCTTTGGGCTCACGATGAACGTAGGAAGATGAGGCGATTACGTGGAGAACACCGAAATTTGAATTTCGCTGTTGAATGCCATACAGCTCTCACACAAGGCGTGATGGTTTAGGGGGCAATAACACAGAGTGGCAGGTCCCCTCTAGTTTTCATTCAGAAAATTTGAGAGCAAAAGGATACATCGATACAGTACTGGAGCCGATTGCAGGTCCTTACCTCAGAGGGTTAGATCGACCTCTATTTCAGCAAGACAATGCACGCCCACATACGGCAAGAGTCACAACGGAATACCTTCAACAACATAATGTTGAAGTACTCCCCTGGCCTGCTCGTTCACCGGATTTGTTACCAATCGAACATGTGTGGGATATCATGGGCACACGTCTAGGTAACTTACAGCATCCTTCGAATAATTTAAATGACTTTCGTATACGGCTTCAGGAAGCTTGGGATGAGATCCCACAGGACAACATAAACCATCTTCTTTCAAGCATGGCTCGCCGTGTAAATGAGTGCATTAGAAATCACGATGGACCCACACATTATTGAATAAATTTTTTATTTTACAAGTTTTAGGCCTGTTATTTTAATCGTTTATTTGGTTCGATTTAATGGACTTTTGGTGAAACTTTCAGTTTTATCAATCAGCTAATTCAAGGTGTTCGGATTTTTATGGAAATCAGTATGTATCAAATTTGTTTCTCTTTCATTGTGTTACCGTTAGTCTTAAAATAATCATTAAAAACGAACGCACGGAAAAGAGAAATCTGCTTTTTCATATTTCACGAATAAAGAGAGAAAGTTCCCAGAACGTAAGTAACGAAATTCAAATTGCTTAAAAACCTAAAATAATCTTTTTGGTGCACAAAATTACTAAAAAGGAGGTAAACTGTACTTAAAGAAGTATAATAATATAAAAAACACATAATATAATGTATTACAATTCCTAACTGGTGACTAATGAAAAATGTTTGCGTAGATAACCAGTTTTTATTTGTTGTTTTACTGATTATCAATAGTTTAAGGACATTCATTGAATTATTGCTAACATATAATTTAGCCACAGCTATTGTAAACTTAAAATTGGGCATTCCTTTTATAGTTACATCTACACTTTCAAAGTAGCTGAAACTGAAACTTTTAACTATTTTTTTCCTACCTTTCGCTAAAAAATGTGAAATTTTGAAGGGAAAAATGTATATATAAACAACCCAAGACAAAGCTCTCAACTAAAACTAACTATCCTTTTAATGATTACGTTACTATTATTATTATTATTATGATTTAACCAGAGCCAAAGGGTTAACGTTTTAAATAGTAAATACATGTAAAAAAATGTTTTATAAAGTTCATTATTATCACATTAGTTCAAGTTTGTAAAACGAACCGCTTGCGGCGAGTTTTTCCAAAAAACGAGTATTTATTTTATAAAACAAGTTTTTATACTATTTTTTATAATGGGGAAATTTGACGCTCTTATTTTAAAAAATCAACTACAAAATAAATTTAATTGTTTTGACAGCCTTAGTTGGCAACCACGCAAGTTACTGTCGAATGTTGGCACACCAAGCTCCGAAAGATATCAAGTTTGATGTTAAATTAAAAAAAAAGATTTCTGTTCTCGTTCTGAATGCTTTGAACAGCTGAGCCGGTTTGGAATGTACCTAAGTCAGGTTTGAGATGAAAAGTAAACTTGTAATTTACATTACAGATTTGGTTACCTTAGGTAAAACAATCTTACTTGGGTGCTAAATAGTTGCAGTAGTAAAATGAAAATCGTTCCACGGTGACAAATGTCAATTACATGTCAATTTTTAATTATTACTTATGAGGGATTCCAAATCGCTAAAAATGACTAACCTTTAACCATGGTGGAAAGAATGTTCATTCGTCCATGTCCTATGTCCATGACCTACTATTGCCAGTCCCTACAATCCTACATGGTCGGCATGGGTGCAGTTCAAAGAGTTTTATAATAAGCATATAGCACCACAAGATAGTTCGCCATTAATGGTTGAAAGACATACTACCATGCACTTCAAGCATTTGGAGAAAAAATGTTTTGGAAAAAAAAGAGAAATTAATGGGAACTTCGCTTATGGACAATATTCCCCCGTGGTTATAAATTTGGTAAAATCAGATTCGAATGACTCAGAATTTGAGTTTGTAGACTAATTTATTTAGACTCAATTACTGACACTTTATGGAAAATTAATCGTTCAGTTTGACACTTCTAAGCCGATTTTAAATTGGAAAAATGGTGTCCCCAATTACATAGACTAAAGAACAAAAACTAAAGATCCGAGATTCTATTGATCTGAAATAAATAATAAGCCACATTATGCAGTCAAGAATACCAACCCATAAAACCACAAAATAATGGTTTAAAAGAGTCTACCAAATCATTGTTTTCAGCTGAATGTGAACTGAAATCTGAGTCTAAAGACACCAAATTATTATAAAACTAAGATTTGCAGTAGGATATTTTAAATTTGAAATACCTATTAGTAACACAGGTGACTAGGAAAAACAACCCTAGGCGCATGGGTTGGCGGGCTGCTTGTTCTTACTCCGGGCCGCAAAAAAAGCGAAAGTAGAATGAAGTTGACTGAGTAGTCAAATTTGGACCATGGTATAGATAGTTCAAGATCTCGTGACCGCCAAATTTATGCTGAGCACAAGAAAAAACTTGAGAGAGGGGTATTCGGCTTAGACTACTGTCTGTCCGAAACATTTGTGCCACTGAAACTCCAACACCTCACGTATCTTATAAGACAGTCTACGTTTTTAGGACGGTGTTGCCACCGATCGCCTTACCCAAGTCCTGTCGAGCATTTCTCCTAGGCTCGACCTCGCATCTCAGCGGCCACGAGATCTTGAATTATCTATGCCTCTTTTTTCCGGAGAAAGCACGGACGCGGTTAAAATGTGGTTTCGAAGCATTGAAGTTCTACAACTTAAATACAATACCAGAAGATAGAGATTTGACGCGCATCACAATGAGGAACTTAAAAGAAGTCGCCTTGAGTTGGCATCACTCTAGTGCGCAGCATGTGTTCATGAATTTTCGACAGCTGAAATCATGAATGTTAAAATTGTTCAAAAACCAAGAGAACAAGATAAATATGACGATGATGAAGACCTTTAAAAGTAGAAAATGGAAAATAACTCAACCTTTCCATGACTATTATTTATAAAAGGTGACAATGGTAAATCGTTTGAGCTTAGACGTGACCAGGTTAATTTCCTATCTAAATGGAATCCGCAGCTGCAATGCATGGCAAAAATGATACCTTCCTCCACACCAGCTGTTTTTTTGTTGAAGATGAACGAAATCACCACGCCTAAAAAATGAACCAACTGCTGCGAGGCATTCTCAGCCACTAGACCTGATCGTGAAGATTTAGTCGTTTACTCAAAGAGTGACTTCGAATATGGGTGTCCATTGTCCAGTGGATTTCATTTCAAATTCCTGGCCTACAGACTAGTACTTTATTTCTATAGTGGCCTTTAATAAAAAAAAAAAAAATCTGGGCTATTTCCTTATATTCACTATTAGTGCAACAGCAAGAATGCAAAAGTTACTACTGTCAGGCTTATTTTATTTGACCCATAGAATATTTGACCTGTCTAATCTTTAAAGTGACTAGTAGATCTATTATTACATTTAAAAATTTTGGCAAATTATCTAGGACCAAAATTGGAAAGAGAGAAACTTAACCTATGTACAATTGAAAAATATCGCATTGCATTTTGGGTTTTGTTAGAAGACCTAATACAAATTATTTCAGATTCCTGACATTTAATCCCGTTAGAATATGTGCAGAATGCCGTGTTATCAATACCAAGACGTTTCCTAAGCGTAATCGACTGCTGCTACGATCAAAAAGTTGCTCTACGACACTGTTTTCAGTGACATTTTAGGAACTTTAATTTCGGATCAGTTCATAAAGACAAAATTTTAGACATGTCAAAGTGTAGTACTTTTCAACAACCGCGACTGTACCAGACGAGGATACTACGAGAATATAATTTCTTGAACGTATGCTTGGTACCATTGTTAAAATTTGCAACTTAATGACAAGTATACAGATCATTAAGGCAACAAAAAATACTTGCTGTAAAAGACCGGAAAAGTAAGGAAGACAGAGATATATTTTTATTAAATTCGTAATAAAAAGATTCATATTTTTATTCAGTTTGAGCAAAATCAATGAAATAGACATTGTCACAAACTAAAGGACAAATACACAGAAACTCAAGCATTACGCTTAAATAAAAGTCAAAATTAATTTGCTTAAAACGTATATTATACCAAATTTTAATGAATTGCAACATCTGCGCAAGATCTAAATGTTTCTTGTGGTCCACAACCTTCAGCGTAAGAGCCATCGTCACATTCTCCCCAATTATTTCCTAAAAAACAACAAAACGTTAATTTATTTATATAGGGTCTTTAGATATCACCTGTAGTGTAGTGCCAGCGAAGAACACATCTGTCACAAGTAAGTCCATCTGGAAGTTTAACTTGAGTATTTATTCCTTTTTCACCATTGACAACATTGTATCTATCTTGTCCATTTGCGAGATTGATGGGTTGGAAACAACTTTCACCAGATTCAGGTGCATTTGGATTATCCAAAACACACACACTAAAAACAAAAAGCCAAGATTTTTTTCATTACCTCCAATCGGATTTGAAAATACCTGAATAGGAAATAACCTAAATGATTCGTGGTAAGGTTAACTCCCACGTCAACGACGCTTCCCGAAGAATATTCCCTAACAACTTTACCTTGACCATATTTTCCAGTGTTTTCATTCTCTTGTGGATGAGGGGCATCGAATTTGTCACCACAAAGACCACACTGACCTCCAAATTGGTGCCACTGAACCTGAAAATCACAAAGGGTAAAATTTCTAGAAAGTCTAAGATTCAAAACTACTTACGTCTGCGCCACCACAAAAGTTTTGGTTATCGTTATAATTGGGTGTAGCTGATGGATCAAACCGCCACAAAGAGCTGCGGTTTGGTGGTTCCAGCATCATCCCATGGCCGGCGATTTTGGTCACGAATAGACAAAGAAGAAGAACGACGGTTTGACGCAGAAATGTACTTTGCGCCATTTTGTCATTAAATGTAAGGAGATGTTGTTTGTTCAACAATTATATATTTTACAAGATGGAGATGATAAGGTTGATAAAGTGAAGGGGTACATGAGTATTTTGAATATAACGGTACATTGTTTGTAGTGCACTTTAATAGTCCTGATAAGCATCTTCAACACGGGACAATTTCAGGAATGTTCTGATTAAGATCTTCGATTTTTCTAGAAAAAACAAAAGTAATAGTTGTAAGTTTAGTATTGTATTTAAAATTTGACATTCTTTTAATTTTGTTCATGTTGACTTTCTAAGAGAAAATATACATACTGACATATTTTTTACAAAAATTTATAAACTAATTTAGGACTTTATTTTGTTGTAAAGTCAGTAAATTTATAAACAAACTAATAGCATAAGAAAATGGTAGAATACTACTAAAATATTTAAAATACACACACCAGCCTATAAAAAAGGAAAAATAGGAGTATATTTTATTCAAAAAATCTTTCAAACTCGAAGAATATACTTTTACGATATTAATTCTTTTAATATCACGAATAAAATGAACTATTTGCTGTATATTGGGTTTATCGTCAGCCGAAGGGCTCAGAAAGCCATTTTTATGCGATTTGGTAAAGAGAAATCAAACGTGAAACAGCTTTATATATGTTAGGATATCCTTGGAAACATTAAAAATAGTAAAAATAAAAACAAAATAATGAAGCTGATTGAATTCCAAAGGGTTCTTTTTCACTGCGGCGGCCTGTAGAATTGTTTCGGACATCCCAGTTTCCAAATCCTTCTCCTCATTTTCATGTACATATATACATATCTACATACAATAATTAAAATGAACCATTAACATCAGTAATTAAATGCAAGGTACTTGAGTGTACATATCAGATCATGTCAAGTCAGGTCAGGTTAGTATCACATAGCCTGAAACGAGTTAAGTTAATTACTGAATCAAGATTCAGACTGAATGGCATTGTAAACAACTCTTTTACCGCTTAAACCATTTTGTTTATATAAAAATTTCTACGTGTTTTAGGTATGTTTTTGATTGAATTTTTGGCTTGAACCAAGACCAAATAACCCTACAGTAACATACGTGTCAAAAATATAACAACAATAGCAGTAACTAACACTTCAGGAATTATTCAAATTCAATGTTGCATGGAATAAGCAATAATTTGTGACCAGAACATAATTTAATATTATAATGGAAATAGTTTAGAAGAACAAAGAAACAAAACAACTCAACAAACACAAAATCATTCATTGTTTGTATTAAATCTGCTAGAACAGAAAATCTGATAACGAAATATGATCCCTTTCTTAATGAATTAAAAATTTTGATAAAACTGAAAAGGGTAAAGTTCAAATCAAATAACTAATAAGCACAAAATATTTTATTTTTTAAACAATAGCAACATCGGCACAATTGCGGAAATTTTCTTGTGGTCCACATCCCAAACCATAACTTCCATCGTCACATGTTCCCCAGTTGTTTGCTGAAGCAGTGATAAATTTTATTTCAAAATGATATAAATGAAAGTTTTTTGTTAATCCATTTTATGTAGGTTAAAAACTACACACCTGTGTTGTAATGCCACCTCAAAACGCATCTTTCGCAAGTGAGCCCATCTGGTAACTTAAGCTTGGTGTTTATGGTCACTTCTCCCATAGTTACATTATACTGAGGTTCGCCATTCGATAGCGACAACTGTTGGAAGCAGTTCTCGCTAGGTTCTGGAGCGTTGGGATTTTCCAGAACGCATAAACTAGAAATAAATTTCAAGTTCTTAAGTTATCGAACTTTGACAAAAAGCTTCATTGTTATACCTAAAAACGAAGTTTCCTAGATGGTTACTACTGAGATAAACTTGTACATCTATGACACTTCCTGGAGAGTACTGACGTACGACTTTTCCTTGGCCGTACATTCCTGTGTTTTCGTTGTCTTGTGGATGAGGATCACTGTACGGGTCTCCGCACAGACCACACTTACCATCCATTTCATTCCATTGGAACTGAGTAAGTACCAAAGTAAAAAAATATTATCAAACAATGAAAACTTACATCGACTCCACCACAATATACTTCATTATCAGTGTAATTTGGTGGAGCTGAGGAATCACTTCTCCAAAGAGAACTTCGATTTGGTGGTTCTAACATCATCCCATGACCCAGCGTTTCTGTTACAAGTAGGGACAAGGAAACCAAAGCTAGCAAACCGTACATTTTTACTAATGGTAGATGAAATATTTTTCACAAACCCATCCAAATTATTTATATAGTACCACTTTGTGTTAAATGCTTAGATAAGATTAAGAGCTTATACACAGAAGTACCATGTTTTTGATCGTAAAGTAAAATATTGTTTTTCTGTAATTTAAGATTTTTTGAAGAAAAGTCACCGATAAGAAAGTGTTAGAGATATTTCACGCATTTATCTGTTTTATCTTAAACGATCTTAAAATAGTTGGTCAGCACAATGGTGTTAACACACAATAAAACACGTAAGTTGCAAAGGTCAACAAGAGACAAAATTTTGAGAGCAACTCTGGCACACGGTTTTGAAACGTGTGATCATACTACATGTAACTGCCAATGAAAGGTATTAACAAAGTTTCGACAACAAATTAAAAAAAATATTTTTTCTAATAATTGTATGTACATGCATGATCAAAATGTTGTTATTTATTTACAAGATCTCTAATAAAAACACTCCAAATGTCTTCTTTTAAGTGAAAGCGCGGAGATGTTGTAAATAATTGATAAAATTTTCTACAAAAGACTTCTAAACATTAAAAAAAAATAGATAAGGGACAATTTTCAAGAAAAAATGATTTGACACCAAATGTTATGCCAAAATTTAAATATGCCTCATTACAACTAAAATATAACAAAAACAAAACTACTCTCTACACTTTTATTAATTCAACTGAAACAAAAAATTTGATAACGAAATTTATACTTTTCTGGTTCTAAATTTAACTGTTGATAAAAGTGAAAAGTGGAACGTTAAAATTATCCAATTAATGAACGGCTGTTAAAATATTGTATTTCCTAAACGATAGCAACATCGGCACAATTGCGGAAATTTTCTTGCGGACCGCATCCCAACTTATAACTTCCATCTTCACATGTTCCCCAGTTATTTCCTGCAAGAGAGATACAATTTTGTTTCAGTCATGGTATCATGAAGGAAGGCTCTTTTTCTGTTAGTGAAGAATTCCAAAGTATCAAATTTATCACACACCTGCAGTGTAGTGCCATCTCAAAACACATCTTTCACAAGTAAGTCCTGCTGGTAACTTAAGCTTGATGTTTATGGTCACTTCTCCCATGGAGACGTTATACTGAGGTTCACCATTGGACAATGACAACTGTTGGAAGCAGTCCTCGCCGGGTTCTGGAGCGTTGGGATTTTTCAGGTCACATAAACTAAAAACAAGTTCCAAGTTCTTAAGTTATCAACACAGCAAATCTGCTTCGTTATGATTACCTGAAAACAAAGTTTCCTAGATGGTTACCGCTGAGATAAACCTGTACATCAATAACACTTCCTGAAGAATACTGACGTACGACTTTTCCTTGACCGTACTTTCCTGTATTTTCGTTATCTTGAGGATGAGGACTATTGTATGGGTCTCCACACACACCGCAGTTGCCATTCATTTGATTCCATTGAAACTTAAGCCAAAATTATAAGTATTACAAAAAATTTACAAACTATTAAAAACTTACACTGAGCCCACCACAATACACCTGGTTATCGCTATAATTTGGTGGTGCCGATGAATCACTTCTCCAAAGAGAACTCCGATTTGGTGGTTCTAACATCATTCCATGACCGAAAGTTTCTGTTACGAGTACGGAAAAGCAAATCAAAGTTGCTAGGAAACCATACATTTTCGCTAATTGTGGATGAAATATTTTTCACGAACTGTACGAACTCTGCATATTCTTTATATAGTACCATTTTGTGTTAAATACTTAGATAAAAAGATTAAAAGCGGTTATAGAAGTACCACGTTATTTGGTCGTAAAATGAAATATTGTTTTTCTGCAATTAAAGATTTTTTAAAGAAAAGTCACCGATAAGGATCAGAGATTATCTGTTTTATCTTAAGCGATCTTAAATTAGTTGATTGGCATAATTGTGTTATAACGCAGGTCATAAAGGTCAGCAAAAGAAAAACATTTGAGAGCAACTCGGGTACATGATTTTAAAACGTGTAATTGTGCTACCTATAGTTAGTAATAAAAGTTATTAATAGAGCTTCGGTAATAAACAAATAAATAAATGTGTGTTTTAAGCTTATGTACATTCACAATATTAGTATTTCTTTACAACATCTGGAACTATAAAAATAAGCTTAAAAACTGTACGAAATCGGATTTTGTCACAATTAGTTTATTGATTTATATTAATGATATATGAGTTATATGAATAAGAAATGGGAATCGGGTAGCGCTTTTAATTATGATATCTAATTTCGCTATATACCTACGTTTAAAGAAATCACGGGATCGCACAGAGTGAAGTTTGATGGGATGAGGAAGTTGTTGTTGTCCTAATATCGTTTATTTATTTTAATGTGAACTATACGATGTCAACTTTTGTTATTTTCTTTAGCGCTCAAAGAAATGAACTGGAGTACTATTAGAGAATTAATAATTCTTACAAACAATTTATTTATTTTTTATTTATTTTTATGAATTAATATTATTAATTCTTGACAAAAAGAAGTTATCTACTCCAGAAAGATTAAACAAAAAAAAATAGCCATATGAAAATATCATCAATAAAAGCAACTATGTATTTGTCAAACTATAGTTTTTCGACAAAGACTTATTTGTAAGATTTAATATATCTCCAAACTTCGGGACGTACTCTACTCATTTGTAGTAAAAAGACAGAAATTTCAAATTTGGAGTTTTTGGTTTCTGTTACCCAAATTTTTCACATTTTCTGAAGCACAAAAAACAATTAAACAGGATGCTTGAATCACAAACCTACAGTTGCCATTAGTTAGACAACTCGTGATTTGAGGCCGCAGTAGATTCAGTTGGGCTTTAGGATTGGCGATTCATACGTTTGTCACGTGATCACTGCATCTGCTGCTGATTTTAATATACATAAATATTTTACAATCATGAATTTAAAATTCACAAAAATTATGTTGCAAAATCAAAAAAACTAAGAGCTTCTTTCGTGCTCTAATTCTTATAAAAATTTACAGAACTCGATGAAAATAAGCATCACTCTCAACCAATGAATTTTTCCAGCCACCGTCTGAAATGTAATTAGGTTATCGTGATCATCATTTATTTATAGTTCGAGTAGATTTTTAAAATGATCCGTTCTATCTGATTGTTTCAGTGCATATTCTGTTACTCTTTCTGGAATATTCTCTTACATGTCAACACCAAAACTGTGAAAAAACGAGTTTTTGTACATTGTATTATTTTCTGGAAAGTTTAGCTGTGATAAACTGGTTTTGTGCAGTTACTTAGTCAATTTGGAAGCTAGTGATTTTTACTTCCCGAGCGTAAGCAAAGGAAGTATTGTAATCGAGTCCGTCGGCCGACTCTCTACTTTTACGTTTTCTCGATCTTTCATGACCCCTAGAAGACGAAGAAATAGGTCTCCCATTTCCGTCTGTCTGTCCGTCCGTCTGTCCGTCCGTCTGTCCGTCCGTCTGTCCGTCCGTCTGTCCGTCCGTCTGTCCGTCTGTTGTCCCGGATTTTTATTAGACAGATAATCTCCGAAAGTACTCGACCGATTGTTGTGAAATTTTGTACTTATATTAAGAATATCATGTAGATGGTAAAACGCTAACCAAAATTTGTCAAATCATCCCCACCACTAATGCGATGACGTCACTTCAAAATTGTACATAGTAAATGTGTTTTCAATTGTATAAAATAACATAGTCCTACACATGTAGTTTACAACTCTGAATCGACTTTTCACCCGAAACGTCCAGATTTTTGGAAAAAAAATCAAAATTATAAAACAACATTTTGAAATTTAATTTTTAATCTGCTAACCAGAATGCTTTGAAATGTTGCAGATGTTTTAAGGCTATAAAGAGCATCATAAATCTTTAGTCAAAAAATATTTGCTTATCCCCTCCAAAAACTTGATGACGTCAGCTCAAAAGTTTGTGGAATAAATCATATCTAAAATGTACAAAATATGATGAGCCTGTACTTGTGATCTATCACTCCATTCATATTTTTTGGATTTGCATATACAGGGTGACTCAAAAAAATTAATGAATGCGTAAATATATTTTATCGATTTAATCAGGAATTACAAAACCGAATGCTTTGAAATCTTGGGAATATTTTAAAGTTATTATAAGCATGGTAAACTTTTGTTCAAAATGTATTTGTTCATCCCTCCTAAAAAAATTGATGACGTCACCCTTAAATTTTGCTGAATAAATCCTATCTAAAATGCAAAATATATGATGAGTTTGTACTTGTGATTTATCATTCCATTCATATTTTTTAGATTTTCTTAAGAGGTGGTTCAAAAAAATTAATGAAGTCAATTTATTTTATTTATTAAATTAAAGGCAACACTTATTATTAGTATTACACCCCAACCAACCCAATTTGGTAGACACAAAATTTGTTAAAGGAAAAACTCGGTTGAAACATAAGGGTAGCACGCTTATTTACATCGACTTTAACATTACAGACCTGCATTTGTTTTATGCGTTCACTTGATTCCGCGAATGTGAAATAGACATGTTTATAATCAACCAATTGTGAATTTCACCGTCAAGAATTAAAATAAAACCCAATGTTTTATATAATAAGCGGAAGTCGAAGCAATAAAACCGACGGTCGGTTTGTTTACAGTTTCTCTGTTTGGCTCTCACGTATGCTGTTACGCCTGTCATCTTAAATTAAGAATGTTTATACATACACGATTTTCAGTTGCCTCTGATACGTAAGTATACGTGAGTAAATTGTTTCGTTATTTTATTGATTATTACAAATCAATATTCAAACGACCCAATTCATTTTCCCGAAAATTTGAGAATATAATAATTTTATTCTTAGTATTACACTACATCTATCCCAACTGATATACGTGTCCTTGCAAAAATGTTGATGACGTCATCGCAATTTTTTTTTAAATTCCCACTACAAAAATGTAATGAGAAAAAAAACACAATAGGCATGCAGTCGTCAAGTTTCCGACAGCGAGGGAAGTACTGTCTAAACTCTTTAGACCAATTTTTTCAAATAGAGTTATTATCAAGAAAGTATCACTCGAAGAGTAAGTTGTACAAATTATTATGTAAAAGGAAAAAGAAACTCTTTTTCCATGTGATAATTTTACTATTTAGATATTGTATATCTTGTGTAACGAAGAACTGGTAGTTTTAACCTGAATAGAATATTAAAATATTATTTCATCAGGCTCATAAGCTTTATCACTGTTGTTACTTCTCGTTTAAGTTATTGTTGTAGAGTTCCTAGTTTCTAAAACTTGAAAATAGCTTCCAAATTCACACCGCATACATATTTTTGTTCTTGTATTATACAGGGTGAGTCACTAGATGCGCGCTCCTCGATGTCTCATTAATTATTAGAAAAAAAAAGTTATGTGGTTCTTTGAGAACCATAGACCCAAATTATTTTCAACTATACAGAGTATTCTGTTTTTAAGGCGTAACAGAGAGCTTTGTTTTTACAAGTGAAACATACTATATATTTTTACCTTTTCTGAAATATTGCAACACAGATTTTAAAAATAAACTCATGGAAAATTAACGCACCACTTGACTAAATAAATACTCCCACAAGTTTTCCTACAAACGACTGATATGATTGATAGCTACATAGACCTTTAAATAAAGCAGTGAAATTGTTTTGAACAAAAATCGGCAAAAAAGATCTTATTTTAAGTCATTTTTTACTTCCCGAGCGTAAGCCAAGGAAGTATTGTAATCGAGTCCGTCGGCCGACTCTCTACTTTTACGTTTTCTCGATCTTTCATGACCCCTAGAAGACGAAGAAATAGGTCTCCCATTTCCGTCTGTCTGTCCGTCTGTCCGTCTGTCCGTCTGTCCGTCTGTCCGTCTGTCCGTCTGTTGTCACGGATTTTTATTAGACAGATAATCTCCGAAAGTACTCGACCGATTGTTGTGAAATTTTGTACTTATATTAAGAATATCATGTAGATGGTAAAACGCTAACCAAAATTTGTCGAATCATCCCCACCACTAAAGCGATGACGTCACTTCAAAATTGTACATAGTAAATGGGTTTTCAATTGTATAAAATAACATAGTCCTACACATGTAGTTTACAACTCTGAATCGACTTTTCACCCGAAACGTCCAGATTTTTGGAAAAAAAATCAAAATTATAAAACAACATTTTGAAATTTAATTTTTAATCTGCTAACCAGAATGCTTTGAAATGTTGCAGATGTTTTAAGGCTATAAAGAGCATCATAAATCTTTAGTCAAAAAATATTTGCTTATCCCCTCCAAAAACTTGATGACGTCAGCTCAAAAGTTTGTGGAATAAATCATATCTAAAATGTACAAAATATGATGAGTCTGTACTTGTGAACTATCACTCCATTAATATTTTTTGGATTTGCATATACAGGGTGACTCAAAAAAATTAATGAATGCGTAAATATATTTTATTGATTTAATCAGGAACTACAAAACCGAATGCTCTGAAATCTTGCAGATGTTTTAAGGTCATAAAGAGCATAATAAATGTTTAGTCAAAATATATTTGCTTATCCCCTCCAAAAACTTGATGACGTCAGCTCGAAAGTTTGCCGAATAAATCATATCTAAAATGTACAAAATATGATGAGCCTGTACTTGTCATTTATCACTCCATTCATATTTTTTGGATTTGCATATACAGAGTGACTCAAAAAAATTAATGAATGCGTAAATTTATTTTATTGATTTAATCAGGAACTACAAAACCGAATGCTTTGAAATCTTGCAGATGTTTTAAGGTTATATAGAGCATAATAAATTTTTAGTCAAAATATATTTGGTTATCTTCTACAAAAAACTGATGACGTCAGCTCAAAAGTTTTCCGAATAAATCGTATCTAAAATGTACAAAATATGATGAGTCTGTACTTGTGATTTATCATTCCATTCATATTTTTGGATTTGCATATGCAGGGTGACTCAAAAAAATTAATGAAGGCGTGAATTTATTTTATCGATTTAATCAGGAATTACAAAACCGAATGCTTTGAAATCTTGGGAATATTTTAAAGTTATTATAAGCATGGTAAACTTTTGTTCAAAATGTATTTGTTCATCCCTCCTAAAAAAATTGATGACGTCACCCTTAAATTTTGCTGAATAAATCCTATCTAAAATGCAAAAAATATGATGAGTTTGTACTTGTGATTTATCATTCCATTCATATTTTTTAGATTTTCTTAAGAGGTGGTTCAAAAAAATTAATGAAGTCAATTTATTTTATTGATTAAATTAAAGGCAACACTTATTATTAGTATTACACCCCAACCAACCCAATTTGGTAGACACAAAATTTGTTAAAGGAAAAACTCGGTTGAAACATAAGGGTAGCACGCTTATTTACATCGACTTTAACATTACAGACCTGCATTTGTTTTATGCGTTCACTTGATTCCGCGAATGTGAAATAGACATGTTTATAATCAACCAATTGTGAATTTCACCGTCAAGAATTAAAATAAAACCCAATGTTTTATATAATAAGCGGAAGTCGAAGCAATAAAACCGACGGTCGTTTTGTTTACAGTTTCTGTGTTTGGCTCTCACGTATGCTGTTACGCCTGTCATCTTAAATTAACAATGTTTATACATACACGATTTTCAGTTGCCTCTGATACGTAGGTATACGTGAGTAAATTGTTTCGTTATTTTATTGATTATTACAAATCAATATTCAAACGACCCAATTCATTTTCCCGAAAATTTGAGAATATAATAATTTTATTCTTAGTATTACACTACATCTATCCCAACTGATATACGTGTCCTTGCAAAAATGTTGATGACGTCATCGCAATTTTTTTTTAAATTCCCACTACAAAAATGTAATGAGAAAAAAAACACAATAGGCATGCAGTCGTCAAGTTTCCGACAGCGAGGGAAGTACTGTCTAAACTCTTTAGACCAATTTTTATTATTTATGTAATTAATAAATGCTAAAAATTCATGAACTACACACAAAAAACGTAATCAATTAAATTAACGTGGTCGAACCAATCCTAGTACGGTATATGGCCTCTTCTACTTCTCATTACTGCATTTATTTGCCTTGGCATACTGGAGATCAGACTTTCGATAACATCTTGAGGAATCTTCTCCCGTTCGGTTATTACTGCATCTACCAACTGATTATGATTGATGACTACGAACTGCTTTTTAAGGCCAGTCCCCACGTTTTCTCAGCGGAATTTTCGCTCTATTTTCAAAATGTAATATCTCCGTTATTAACAGATCTATAGTTTTCAAATTTTAAATATATGTTGTCCATAACTTTCTTTATATAACGCAAGGGCAATAACTGTGTATCGTTTCTAAAAAATAAAATCGACGATATGTCTCGTATGATTTCTGGAGTTTTGTAAGCTGAAAACAGTGTTGAAAACCGTGTTCTGAAATTTTATTTAATAATTGAGATATTGATTTTTAAAAATACGTTATGCAAAAATTTCACTAAAATTAAAAAAATAATATGATCACAAGCTTTTTTTAACAAAATTGACCTTGCGATATATAAGGAAAATTATGGACAACATATATTTAAAATTTGAAAACTATAGATCTGTTAATAACGGAGATATTACATTTTGAAAATAGAGCGAAAAAAAATTCCGCTGAGAAAACATGGGGACTGGCCTTAAGAGTGCTTCGTAGATGTTCAAGGGGATTCAAATCGGAACTGTTAGCTGGCCATTCTATGTAATTAGCGTTCAACCATGCCACTTATAGTGGAATGATTTCTTCTTTTTTTCAAATTAGCAACATAACGCATGAAATATCCTTCTTCCAATCAAGTTTATGCTTTTACTGCTTCCTCAACCAATAAATTTCTTCGACGATTAATTTTTAACACCACTAATCACACAACACCTTCTAGCAAATGAAATCTTTCGATATTTTTTGTAACGATTCCATGACAATTTCTAGTTGAATTATTTAGTTTTATCATAAGCGCAGGTATTTATCTATTTCTTACCTATGCTTTTGAAAGACTGCTATTATTTTGTGCGTGCGTTTTTGAAAAACAATTGGAAAGTAATCTGATGAAATTTGTCTCGCTAATGGTAAAAATACAAATTTATTTGCAAATAATGCTACTATTTAATCGAATCCGGTTAATCTAATCTGAAATCTCCCCAGTATATAAGTAAGACACCATCTTGTGAAAAATAAACTTTTCTACGTAAATAAACAAACTTTGAATTCCTATTAAAAAGAGAATAGGTGCTAACTTCACTGCGCTGTGATTAGATTAATAACCATTTTCAGATTGAATATTAGATAATGAATTCGAAACCATGAAGACCGATAGTAAGGTTTTATTTATCTGTTGGACAATATTTCCTTTGAATAAGTATCTTATTTTTTTGTTGTTTTCCACCTTGCATTTTTAAACACATTCATAACTTAATAAGTATTAGAACCATAAAGTAAACAACGTTTTTTGCTTTTCGATAAATGTTTTTTTTAATTGAATCTTTTTATTGACAATAAACTAATCTTATTTAATTCTTATATCAGCACACGACCTGAAGGTTTCTTGAGGTCCACAACCTTGTCCATAGCTTCCATCGTCACATTGTCCCCAGTTGTTACCTTTAACCACAAAATAGACAATTTCTTAAAAAGCACAACCTCTTTTGTCTTACCAGCTTGATAATGCCAACGCAGCACACACCTATCGCATCTCAAACCACTTGGCAGCCTAACCCTAGGATAAATCTCTTTCTCTTCAGGAACGACATTGTACTGAGTATTTCCATTTTCCAAAGTCAAAGCCTGGAAACAGTCTTCTCCAGATTCTGGTGCATTGGGATTTTGCAAAACGCACAAACTACAATCCAAAACATGAAAACAATAGGAAATCATCGTTTCATAGTTACGTACCTAAAATTAAAGAAACCCTTATGGTTTGTGGTTAGCCGAATATGAACATCGATAACACTTCCAGCTGTGTACTCTGCAGCAATGATCCCTTGACCATACTTGCCCGTGTTTTCGTTAGGTTGAGGGTGAGGTTCGTTGTAGCGGTCACCGCAGACTCCACATTTACCACCCATGGTGGCCCATTGTACCTTTCAAAAAAAAAACAAATTAATACATAATTATAAAAAAATATATAACTCTTACTCCTGCTCCACCACAGTAGTTCTGGTTGTCGTTGTAGTTGGCGGGTGCGTTTGGATTGTACCTCCACAAGGAACTGCGATTTGGTGGCTGCAGCATCATGCCATGGCCACTAATTTCTTCCACGAAGAGGAAACAAACCAGAATACCCAACTGTAGGAACATGGTCGTAAATTTCTCCAAAGTCAGTAGTAAGAATACTATTGTTTTCTTCAAAAAAAAGTCTTTATATATATTTCCGTGCGATAAGAATAGGAATTTATGGTCTCACATGAGGATGATTATAGCACAAGCAGTTATTTTCTAAACGTTTTCATTTAATCCCATGGACAAAAGAAGGATTAGCATCTATCTTCCTAAAGTTAATCAGAGAGTTAGTTCAATTGACTTTTGAAGATAGCGGGTGTTTTATGTTCACCTATTAAGTACATTTTTATAATTATTTCTGTTGCAGTTAATCAATAAACTCATAATTTCATGTTTTGCGCAAGTTTTTAATCAAATTGTTTTTTTTTTATTAGCATATAATATTTTGCCTAAGGTCAACAGCAGATATTATGTCATTATCTATAGATCTAAGATCTCAAGTACCAACAGCTATAAAAAATATCAACATGCTTCATCTATTTGGGTAGTTGAATTATTTTCAAGGTTGGAATTTTGACACCTAAAATAATTGATTAGAAAGATTAACAATAAGTGCTTTGACGTACTAAGCGTTTGGATACAACACATGTGTTAAAAGATTAACATAAGTTATTTCAATGGAAATAACAAAGTATTCCAAGACGTAGTTCCGTCAAAATGCTGTGAAACTTCAGTTCACGCTTTTTGTTTTAATTCATCACACTACCAAGATATTTTTTGGATCTAGTTCTTTTGGTACTACGTAACTCAAACGGATTTACTTTTGCATCATAATACGAAATATTACTTTCAATAAAAATAAATTAACATTTTAAAATAAGTGTCGCGTTGTTAACACGCTGACGCTTTGTGATAACAAGAAGGTTTTTAAAACAATGAAAGATTTATTACTCTAAAATATTTTTCTACATCACAGTGGTCCTTCAATAACCTACAGAAATAGAAAACACAGGCAAAATCAGTTTCTCTTAAAAAATGCTGGTAGAGGACACACCGAGGTTTCAAATTTCATAGGAAATTTATCTTTACCACATAACCTAAACCTGTGTGTTATAAAATAGACTTTTGTGTTCTCTGTACTAAACAATTGTCCTGTTCAGTGACTTAATAATAACAACTTTATTTTGTCGAAGATTTCATTACAAAATTTCGACATGTCACAATAAATTAACAATACGTTAAACATATTACACAAGACAATATAATAAATCATACATACATTTTAAAATCGATACTGTAAAATGCGTCGAGATTGTATAAACTATTTTTTAAGAATATTTTTAACTGTATTTTTGAACGCCCGAATATCAGCAGCTTTTATACTAAGGGGGAGCCTGTTATAAAAATGTATGCCGTGGTTTTCGGTCTTTTTGTGTCTCAGTCTAGGTACTACAGTATCTTGATAGTGGCGCGTGCTGTATGTATGCACTTCCGAGAACATTAAATGTGTATAAATGTTTTTCTTGAAGCAAATTAATTTTTGCACTCATGACCTTTTTTGATGACTTTCGCACATTCACCAGGGTGCGGGAGGTCGAACTTCCCGCACACGTGCATGTTAACTTTCCGTTGCCATGGTAACCTTAAAATAGTCCGGTAGTGCCAACATTGTGACGTGTTTACGCCGTTGTTTCTAAATAACTCACAGTTAATCTCTTCAGTTTAAAGGTTTATTCGTTGCAAAAAAATGTTGTACACAACACGTTCGTGATGCCTGCTACCCGCATGAACACTTGTTTGCGGCACGACCCAAGGCAGTGCCGCATACAAGCGTTCATGCGGGAAGCCGGTTATCCCGAACTAGTTGTGTAAATTACTATTTTCAGACACTATCATGGAGAATAAAGTCATAATTTTGTCTTTTGTAAAAAGATTTCTACAACTGTCATTATAATTTGCCGAGGCTATTACCGTAACGGCTTTTGTAGGATAGAAGCTTTTTGTAGATGTGTAAAGGCTGCGTCATCCCAGATAATGACTCCGTAGTTTAGAATACTGTGAAACAGTACATAGTAAGTTATAAGGGCAGCTTTTTCATTTATTGTTATTTTAATTTTGCGTATTGCATAAACAGTACAAGGTAGTTTATTGCAGATATGTTCAATGTGTACATTGTGATATTATCTAAATAAAGGCATACAAATTTTATTTCGTTATAGTTTGAAATTTCAGAACCTCTGTTTTTTTTTTGTGTAGAACTCCTTTATTAGCTGCAAACCAATTTCCCGCCAATTCTAGTGTATTTTGAGATACTTGGTCGTTATTTTGCTCTTTGTCTACATTGACACAGAACGAAGTGTCATCTACGTACATCACACCAGGATTTATTTGTGGCATATTAATTGCTAAGTAGTTTATGCAGACAATAAACAAGATAGGACCAAGTATTGATCCCTGTGGGACTCCTCGTGATATTTTGCCTTCTTGACTAATCTGATCATTTATAATCAAATGTTGAGTACGTTCTGACAAATATGATGTAAACATTTCTAAACATTTTCTTATAACACCATAGTGTTCTAGCTTATATAATAAAATATCATGATCGACGCAGTCAAATGCAGACGTCAAGTCTGTAAAACTTGTACAGCACCCTTGCTTCTGTTCAAAACTTTGTTTTACACAATTAACAAGAGATAATACAGCATCAATGGTGCTTACTCCTTTTCGAAAGCCATATTGTTGTTTTGTAAAAATACCACGGTTTTCCAAAAAATTTAAGAGTTGATTCGATAAAACCATTTCAAAGACTTTAGAAAAGGCTTTCAGAATAGATATTTGCCTGTAGTTGAATTCACTGATATTTCCCTTTTTATATATCGGTATTACTTTCGCCGTTTTTAACCTTGAAGGAAAATGTCCTTGCAAAAGAGAAATGTCCTGTTAGCGAATTTCTATTAGTGGTTTGGCAATTGACGCACTGCATGTTTTTAGAACTTTAACGCTAATATTAAATATGTCTTCCGTTGATTTATTTTTTAAAGTGTACATCGCCTTCCAAAAGTGGTTGGAAGAATATCTACTGGGATGGAATTCATCATATCGTTTAAATAAAATTCTTATATGTGTTACCCCTTAGAGTTATTTTTGCACTAATTAATCTGCATATTCCAGAAAGGAATTATTGAAATTATCTGGGTTATAATTTCCTGGAAACCGTTTGTCATAGTTTCTACCCTTTGTCTCATCTGAAAGAATGTTATAGATTTTGTTTTATTATCGGACTGAGTTATCTGATGTTCCTAAAATTTTTGTTTTGTTTTGATCAAAAGCTGATTGTGACGTTTCTTATGACATTCATAATTTTTTTTTTGTTTGCTATTGTCGGACATTCTTTATATGGCGCTATAAATAACTATTAATATTTCTTTCGACTGCTTAACCACTGCATTTATCCAACGTTATTTTTAACATTGCTTTTTTCAACTTAAAATGTTTAATTTTAAAGGTCAAATTATCATAGAAAGTATAGTACAAAGATTTCTAGAAAATGATTGCATTTAGCTTCACAGTTTGAGTTTATGTACACCTTGTTCCACTGTAGAAAAGTAGTATGTATGTAATATACTACAGTATATGATTAAAAAGGTCTAATTTTCTGTTTTAGTGATATTTAACAATTCATGGAGAACAAAGATGCAGGTTACCCGTTTTAATCTGTTTGTCTGTTGAAAAATAATCTTCAGAATACGCATGCAGTTACTTAATTACACTTCCACATTACCACAAAATTGGTAAAATTTTATCCAAAATCTCCCTATTCATTGTGTCCTGTAAATTTTTAAAATTGCGACGAAATTCCGGATAGGACGGACGGATGGTCTGGAATCTTGCCAATAACGTGTGGTGGCGACGTACGTGGGTGCCAAGTCTGATATAAAAACTAGGGATGTACCGACTAGTGGCCGACCGGTCGGATAAGCCGACTATTCGGCCGTTTTTCATCGTCGGCTGGCAGTCGGCGACTGGTCGGCTAAGCAGCCGATTAGTCGGCTTTTTTTTATTAAAATTAAAATAGTATATAAAACAATTAAACCCGGTTTACAAAACCTCAATTAAATATTTAATTGCGATTTAATTTTTAACACCGTGTTAAAGTACCATGTGACCGACTCTACGCCAATCAGACATCGCTAATGGCCTTGTTGAATGCGCGATCAACTTAATCTCAGTTAAAATATTGCATCTGTAGGAACAAGAGTTCCCACAAAATCAGGTGTTCTACCTGAGGGCATTCGTACTAATTGTAAAAATGTAAATACTTCCGGTCTTTCGTCTACCTGCCCTACGCTCCTACACATTTTCTCTTCTCGCTTCTAGATTTTTCTATACTCTTTCTTTACCTACTTCCACCTCTTCGAAACCGAGCTTACCTGTGTACCATTTTAAAACACCCTTCCTTCTTCTCCCTGACACTCTCGAACAGTAAAGAACGAAATAAAATGTGAAAACCGTACCGTCGCTTTTAAATCACCAACAATACCCACACATCAACTGGCCCAAAATGGTTTTATTCTTTATTTTTGTAGTGAGCTACTAAAAAATTTAATTATCCAAACAAATTTAACACATTTTTTGGCAAACAAAGGAACTTTAGTTATTCCTTTTATTAAAATAAAACAAAATTTTAAGGTAGTCAGAGAAACAGAAAAAAAAAACACACTGTCTGTCGCATTTATAAACCGGTTTTAGCAAAGCCGAACAGTCGGCCGACTAGTCGGTTTTTACTGGCCGAACAATCGGCTAGTCGGTTAGTCGGCCAGACCTACAGTCGGTACATCTCTAATAAAAACACAGCTTATGCGGCGACCTTCGCACCGCCGGGGGTGGCACCTTCGGTCAGGAGCGGCGATCTCTCAGGCGCCAGATCCCTCTCCGGGGGAGGGAGCGCCGGGGTTGCTCTCAAGCCGGAGACACAAATCTCAGGTGGTGAGCGCCCGCGAAATCACGAGAATAAAATAAAACGGCAAGGAAAATTTTAAACAATAAATCGGGTTTATTTCTTGCCACCAGCTACACAGCTAAAATAATAATCTTAGGACTAAACTTAAATTAAATAATTACAAAACGGTTTTACAAAACAAAGAATTAAACGTCCGGCATGGTCGTTCCTCCTGGGCGGCGACTTCCTTCAAAACGGGCTCCTCCTAAAGTTGGGGGCGGCGACCTTGAACCTGGAGATCGCGCGATGACGGTACGGCGACCCGGGAGGAGAGTGCGGTGACGGTAATTACGCGTGTGCGACGGTTTCGACTTCTGACGGTAACGACAGAAAAAACGGTGACGCTCGGGGGCGGCGATTCAAAAACCGGTATAAAAAACGAGTAGACGACCCATAAAGGGTCGGACTGGACACTCTCTACAATGCTCAAAAAAAACTTCTCTACACAGCCACAACACTTCTTCACCCTTTGAGGCTTCCAGCAAGAATCCTCTACGCGGTACGCGTCACGGTGTCCGGCCTGCGAAAATTCGCTTCGTTACAAAATGAAGAAACAAATAAAGTCAGTTACAACAATTTTTAAATATAACACATTTTTGACCTAATGTTGGAGTAAATTCCATCAAGTTTCGATAAATTTAAACATAATATTGCCAAATATTTGTAATATTTGGTTTCCCAACAACTTCAATGACAAATCAGGTATATTTTTAAACTTCTGCCACAACCTAATATTTATATCTACAAAACTTATCTAATTAAAAGAAAGTAATTCAGATTTAAAATTTACTGGGGCAATTTCTAACGAATATTATCCTTTAGCTATTTATACCTATATTATAAGCTGGCAGACATATTACATAAAATTCAAATTTTATGAAAAATGTCGGACTCAATGAACTATTTTTTAGACGTCTTTTTCTTAAAGATTTTAAACTAAATTGTTGTTGAATTATTCAATTTTGTACTATGTAAAAATAATAAAAATAAGCATATTTCGCGTTCTGAAAAATTGGACTACTAAAATATTATTTTATAATTAAACAAAAAAACTCATGAGAGTATAGAACATGCGCGACCTTGGTGTTATAAATCCGAAGACGTCCACCGCAAGCAATGAGCCGTCGAATTTTCTTGTGCGAAATGCGCTTATATTAGCACAAAAGGTTGCTATACAGATTGGATTTTTTTTTAGAACAACCTCAAGACGAATTCATAAACCATAAGTACTGTTAAATTATAAAATTCAAATATCTTTTACTAATATAATTTTTGGAGATAACGACATAGTTAGTGGGGGTGATAAGCCAAATTTTGGTTACGATCTAAATGATATCCCTAACATACATATAAAATTTGACAACAATCGGTCTCATAGTTTCGGAGATAAAAATCAACACAGACCGCGAACAGAGAAACAAAAACGGAAAACCTACTTTTCGTACTCTAGGGGTCATGAAAAGTCGAGAAGTCGCGAAAGTAGCCATTCGTCTGACCCTTAGCTTACACTCGAGAAATAAAAATTAAGATGTACTACGAACTGATACATGCCGATTTTGAAATCATCACCAACTTAGCCAAAATGTTGATAACTTAAATTTAAGCTGATAAAATTCACAGATTTTACAAACGAGAATTTATACATTAAACTGTATATTTTAGGGGCGAGGGAAGTTCTATCGAAATAACCTTCAACCAATTTTTTCTTTACAGTGTTACAACAATGTGACAATAATTATAATCTTTTGCGCTGTGACATGTCATAGGTCACATTTTTTTAATATTCCTGTTTAAAAATTATTAACCAAAATCTTGAAAACGAAAATTACAAATTTATTTATTTTACTTTACCACTTTTTATTTCATGTTTTTACACATGACACCTGTGTTAAACACTGAGCATTCACTGATGATAATGAATTCAAAATTGTATTTTAGGTCAAAGAATTCAACCGATTTGTGAAGGCTGTCATTCTGTAAACCTGAGTAAATTCAACAAACGCATACTTTTATTTCTCTAAAAAGTTATTAATAGAAAATTTTCTTTTTAAACTATTGTCAAATGTTAAATTTATTTCCAGAAATAATTTTACACTAGTAATTTTCTATTCAGACTTTTATATACCAACGATTATTATTATGATATTGATGTATTTTAGGTGTACTATTTAGTTTTCTTGTTACTCATTATTTAACTAGACTGTTTGTCTCGTCAACCTGACTCAGAAACGACAATCATTTGCGCAATTTTTCCGATAACAAAAACAGCGAAAATTGGAAAACATGCTTTGTATCACAAAAAATATGTAAATGCAATATAACCAATCATTTTATCAGTATCTTTGATAACGATTTTGACATAATGAGAACATTACGTAACAAACAAATGAAATGCAACTAAACTAAATTAAAATAAAGATAATGAAACAGATTATCTCAACGATAACCGCTGACTGGCCACGAAAAAAATACATGTAAATCATATTAACTATATTTTATTTTAAAGGGAGCACATAGGTACATATATTTGTATTTAATCATTCCGTTTATGGTGTGTTTATCCGTTAGTAAAAATGGTTTATCAAAAATAGATACATTGTTAAAAAAATAACCAATAAATATTACACATAAACTAGTAAATCTCAAAACAGATTTTTTTCAACATTTAATCTTAACCTAAACTATTCTGATGTCAGTACAAGATCTAAAAGTTTCTTGAGCGCCACAACCCATGCCTGAAGTTCCATTTGCACAAATTCCCCAGTTATTTCCTAAAAAAAAAGCAAATCAAACATGTGTTTCAAACAACTTGCACACTCTGTACAGATGTGCCAAAGATGTTATTTAAAAAGTAAATGAATAAACAAAATGGAAAACATTTTTTGAAAAGACCACCCAACGTAAAAAAAATCAAAATATGTTTTCGATTATTATGTACGAAAATGAATAACCTTTGATCAACGCTAGTCATAACAAAACAAATACCTGCTGTATAATGCCAACGAAGGACACACCTCTCACAAGTTATCTTGTTAGGCAACTTCACTTGGTTGTTGATAGATCGCTCATCTGCCGAAACACCATATTTCACAGTACCATCTGCCAAACCTAACGGAACGAAACAACTTTCGTCACGTTCAGGAGCACTAGGATCTTTCAAAACGCACAAACTAAGAAACTTATTAATATAGGTAACTGGTTTTCAAGCATGCTGTCATTTACCTGTACTTGAAATATCCCAAATGATTCGCTGTCAATAATACATTAACATCGATCACACTTCCTACTGTATATTCAGCAGCAATAACTCCCCTCCCGTATTTTCCACCATTTTCGTTATCCTGAGGATGCGGAGAGTCATATCTATCGCCACAAGGTCCACATTTGCCACCAAAGACATTCCACTGTATCTAAAGGGAGAAAAATGTTAGCATTTTGTCAATAAAATGACTGGAGTGTGATTACTTACAGATGCTCCACCGCAGAAATTTTGATTATCGTCGTAATTAATAGGTGTGCTGTAATTAAACCTCCATAAGGAGCCTCTGTTTGGGGGTTTTAACATCATTCCATGACTGCAGATTTCGTGGATCAAAGCAAACACCAAAAACACAACACTGGCGGTTCTGAGCATATTCATGATTTTTACTTTAATTTGGCTTGTCTGACTAAACGAATCACAGTGCACACCTTATATAGGAGGTAACCCCTAACGTAACACGATAAGATAAATAATTGGGACATACTATTTTCTTAAAAATATTCTTTATCTTTTTGTTTGTCTATTCGCGTAATTACTCAGAAAATTAAACTATTGTTGTGGGGAGCTGACAAGTATTTGTTTTGGCGCAGTTTTTGAGATTAGAAATTAGACGAATAGCATTATAAAAGTGGTAGTGTCACATCCTGTAATTGTTTTTTGTTGTTTATCACTTCCAAAATAGACGAAATGCATTTTTTTTAATATTTGCAATAACTTTTGAAAGGCTGAGAAAAATTTTATTATTGCTAAAGAAAATTTTCCCTGAAAAAGTTGTTTGTTAAGAGTTTTGTCATATAATTTTTTTATTATTTCTAAAATTTCCAGCTGAACCAAACAAAGGTACTTTATTCAATTCAAGTGACAGCGTTAAAGCACTGGACTTGCTTTTGCAAAAATATATCTATTAATTATAAATTTTATAAATGTATTTCTTCAACTTTTTTGAAAAATATGTAGGTACAGTATCTATTTATAAAAATTTTGACTTGCCTTAACTTTTTTAGAACAGAAATTATCATGTTCATGTTCAAACTTGAAAATTTAAAGTTTTTAAATTTTTTGTAATGTTATAAAAATGAAGAAGTCTATAGATAAAGAGTAATGAATAATAAAAGTCCATTCGATTTCAGATACCCAACACAAAGTAGTGAATTGAAATATGGTGGAATTTCGAAAAAAAATATTTTGGAGAGATATATCTCATGCAATTGGACAAGAGGACTTTTGAAATCATTGTTTCCCTGCTCCATAAATGGTCCTTAAGGACATGTCCTACAATTGGCACGCCATTTTTTTGAACACCCTGTATTTATTACACTTGAGCAACAAAAAATTCAAGAAATTTTTTTGACTTTTTTGGAAATCAGTATAAAATGTTACATAAGATCACAGACTTCCATCTCTACACCATTAAAAAGTAACGATGGATATTATAGAGTGAACATACTACGAGAAGAACATATTAAGTCATCGAATGGACTTTGGCCAGTGGCGTATCATTCTAAGGTATTTTTTCGTATATAATTTTTTGCCTCCGAGTGGTTTTATTGGGGTGTTCTTCTCAAGTTATTTCCACTATTATTTGTTCGGACCACGTACGAGCAGTTTCTTTTGGGTATTTGTACCATTAACATCTTAAAACGAAAGATGAAAAATTAAATATTTTCATGTTTTGTCAAGAAAATTGTACTGTCATGTATATAAGACTATGCTAACTTATTCAAAATGTTGGTAATTATACCAAATAAAATTTATAAAATTCAGTACTACATTATTTTCGATCTACTTTTTTTTTTAATTAAAGTCTTATTTTCCTATACGATCAATTATGGACTATGCTAGTAGGTTTATAAACAATTTCTTAACAAATGTTAATTGAGAAAGTTATTACATATCACCAAATGTATTAGAGCGTGGACTAGTTTCGCAAGCAATATCAGATTAACCTCAAATTGTGTATTAGATTCTTTGTTAATATAATTAAATGTTCTCAATTTAATTCTTAACTATACAAAACTCACTTGACATACACCTTGTAAAACTTTTATGACTTAAGCGGCTTAAGCCAAAACACACCAGTCAAACTGGCTATTGTATAACTTAACTCAGTTCACATATACCTAGTAAAACTTTACACCTCCGTTATGGGAACAATGGACAGTAATAATCCTTGCGGCTTGGGTCTATAAAGCTTACAATAGCCTGTTTGACTTATGTGTGGTTTGGTTTAAGTCGCTTAAGTCATAAAAGTTTTCCAAGGTGTATGTCAAGTGAGTTTTGTATACTAAGGATGCGTTGTCCGCTTAGGCTAGATCAAAGACCCTGAAGCGGTCTAAACTACCGACAATCCCAGTTATGTGCCGAACCGCTGCAATAAGAATTAATGTTATAGTTCTTGTTTATATCACACCTACATAAAAAAGGTATCCCAGTTATTTACTGGAATCAGTATGTCTTAACTTGAATCTGTTTTTCCAAAAGTAGAAACCTATGGGTTTTAAAAAAAATACACCAATTGCAAGAAATATTGTTAGCTATGACTTTGAAATTACCAATCGAAGTTTGACGAATGTTGCAATATGTGTATGATAAGGATATTAATACTAGACTTGCAGAAATACATATAAATATTTGTATCCACCTACACTGTTGTGAAATAGTGATTTTAACATATCTTCACGACTCCAATTTTAAGCAAAAACGTGTAAACACAAACACGTGTAGCAACTTTAATTTAATTTTTGTAACTTTTTTCACGGTAACGTTATTCCGCTGAAGTCGCGTCATCACATAATATGTGCAAAAATCCAGAATACTGAGAATAGTAGCAATACATTTTTATTAGCTGCTGTAAAAAAGGTCGAAAATACATAAAAAATGTATGTATTTTCATTCGAAGAAAATGTTACCGCAAAATGATTTAAAATACACGAGTTTTTTTTTTTGATAAAATCAACAACTCGACACTTCGAGAAGTCGAGACATACATTAACCTAAAAAAATAAACAATCCATCAATCATTTTAGTCTGGTTTCATTTTAGAACACACTTTTAGTGCAGTTTGCCAATTTTGCTAAATTTAGTCAATCATTTCATCAAGTTATTGAAAAAATAAGATAAATAATAAATGAATAAGATAATAAAAATTACAATGATCAATAAATAGAATAGAATAGAATAAGGCTGAATGTATGAATAAACATGTGAAATTGGTACAATAACCGTTTAATCCCAAATTGCCTTTAATCTAATCTAAGCTTTAATTTAACGAGTTTATAATTTGGTGGAATTGTAATTCCTTAAACAATAAACATTATTATTTTATGTCATAAAAATACACACATTTTCATGAAATACTTAGGTATTACAACTAAATTTAGCGTGGATGCAATGAACACGAATGATCAACAGATAACGAATTCCTACACTCCTGCCAAACCGGATGCAGTTTAAAACACACCCTTGGAAAAACCTAATGTAATTCATAAAAATTTAATAAACATGGTATCGCTTCCGCTTCTGTTACTCAAATAAAATTTAAATTACACTAAAAATATGTATGGATGAAAAATTTAGGAATCCAATAATTTAGTAAGTGTTTCTTGGGTTATATTTTAGCTGCATCAGAAGTAATCACGTTATCAATATTTTCACACAGCACTACTATTTTAAATTGTAAGGTCGTACAAATAAAATAAAAGTCTTGCCTAAAACCTTCAGTTAGACAATCCACACAAATACACGAGACTTTGTTTTCGACGTACTCGTGTGCAAATGTTGGTGCCTAATTATCGGTGTTCAAGCGCCATGAATAACAAAAACATTGTCAAGTTTGACACAATCTATGATTTTGTTAATTCATAAAGTAACAATCAAGCTGCACTTAAAGGCCATGATATTGGCATAACCTCATAACATACTTATCAACGTCAATTTTATGATGTAAACAAAAATAGAGTTAATAAAAATTATGAAACAGTTTTAAAAATTATCCCAAATATTCTTAAAGTTAATTCAAAATTCCTTCTAAATAAAATAAATAAAACTTAGACCATCAGATTTAAAATTTTCGAAAGATATGATACATATGTGTACTTGCCTCTAAAATAAAACCAAGTAAATATACCTCATTCCTTAAACAAGACTAAAATCATTAATTCTTTTCTGTTTTTGTATGTAGCTTTTTCAGAGAACGAATATACACGAACGAAGATAAATAGAAACGATGGCATAGAGCGTCAAGTTACAGGACAAATAGAGGAAAAAATCTTACAAGGGAGATGTAAATTAGAAAAGTGGTACTCCTGTGGAGTAGGTAAACATACTTACTTAGAGTCAGAAATATAAACATAAACAAAACAAAGTTGTAACTGATGGGTCAGAATTACACTTCAATATGATTCTTATTTTATTTATTTAACCTAGTCTACTTAAATTTCCGTGTCCGAGTAATGAAAGTGAATGATGCTGTTCCCCATATGTTCTTTCATTCCTGCCTATCCTGCACTAACCTCGAGATTTTCATCCAAATGATTCGTTTCATTTCGCCAAGTTTGCTTACTTCTATTCTTATGGCATAATTATTCCCGTTCTCACTTCTTTGGAGTTTTTTACTGTTTTTGTTAGGTTTATGACTAATAGTTCTAAAAGCAATAGTTCTTTTTTTTTTTCTTTATTTGAATATTTAATCATTTCCGTCGTTATTTCGTCTACTTCGGATGCTTTTTCAAGTTTCATTTTATAAATTGCTTCCGCCATTTCTGTCCTGGCAATTTCTTCTGGTTTTCTTTTTCTCTATTTGTTCCATTTTCATTGACATTTTCTTTTACTAAATCATCCCTATCTTATTATTTTAATTCTTCAAAATGGTCTTGCCATCATTTCATAATATCTTCTTCTTTTATTAGAAATAAAACAACGATCACAATGAAAAATGCAAATACCACAAAATTTAATCAACACGCAAAATGATCTTTATCTTCAATTTTTCGCAACTTGGTTTAACACTTAAATATGTAATTATTTTACTCATAATAAACATTTCTGCTACAAAAACTTTCATACTTGTGTCCGCTTTGTTGTAGATAAATTAAATACATATTTAATTCGCATTCAAATTTAATCTGCCCATAAACCTAAGAATTCTATTGGATCAATTTCATCATGTGATAGATTAACGGTTTTATTAATTTAATAGCGTGGTTAAGTGCTTTTGTAAACCGGATCTCAATCTATAAGTCAATTATTAAAAATACTTAAGAAACAATACATAACAAGGAACCAATCATTTTTTTCTGTAATCGCTACAAAGAATCAGTTTAACACTGACTTTCATGTAGCGTCAACCCGAGCCAGCTCAGCATAGCAACGGCCTTACGTACTTTGTCCAATAATGCACCACAAATCAGGAAAACATTACAGTACTCCACCAAAAATAGGCACTTTGTTTGAAAACATTTTATCAACGATCTGATAACAGATCATCTTTGAATCGTAAGAAAACATTAAAAAATTGCTGACTTGTTGAAGCTACTTGACAATTCTGAAGTGAGCAACCATTTTGGCATTTTTATTGTTATCGTTTGCTATAAAAAGAAAATATTTATTTCAATACATCAAACAACCTTAGTAATATTGTTGCAAAAACATGGTTTCTCGTTCCTTGACTGTTTTTCTTCTGTGCTTGGCCATAGACAGCATCGCTGGCCATGGACGGTTAATGGACCCACCTAACCGTAGCTCCCTGTGGCGAATTAACCCAGATGCACCACCAAATTACACCGATGATCAAAACAACTGTGGAGGAAAACCGGTAATTACAAAATGCATGTCAGTTTTTGGGCAGTTTTCAAATTTTTTTACCGACAGACTCAATGGGACACTTTTGGAGGACTATGCGGTGTCTGTGGAGACCAATACGACAAGCCTCATCCCCAAGATAATGAAAACACTGGTACTTACGGAGTAGGTATAATTGCTGGACAATACACTGCTGGTAGTGTAATCGATGTAAACGTAGTGCTGACGACCAATCACATGGGACATTTCCAATTCAGGTATGTATTTGATTTGGGTTTGTTTTGTAAATAACTTTATATTTACAGCTTGTGTGTTCTGGATGATCCTAATGGTCCAGAATCGGGTGAAGACTGCTTCCAAGCTTTAACTTTGGAAGATGGATCAGCACAGTACGTCTTGCCTAATCAACAAGAAGCAGGCTACACCGAAGTTCCACTTAAGGTGAAATTGCCTGATGGTCTCACATGTGACAGATGTACCTTCAGATGGACATGGACCGCAGGTAAGTTAAATTTTAAACATGTTAACAAAGAAATAGCCTTAGAAAGTATTCTGTAAAAGTGGTAAACTCACTTGAAAATTTCGTTTGTTTTCAGGTAACAACTGGGGCACCTGCGATGATGGAACTGAAGGGATGGGATGTGGTCCACAAGAAACATTCCGCTCGTGTTCTGATATAGTCATCAGTTAAACTACCAATGCATTGTTTCAGCTTGAATCTTATTGTTAATAACGTACTAATTAATTTTGTGAATAAAGATATTTTGTTTGATACATATAGTTTTTCTAATAAAACAATATAAAAACTTAAACACAAAGGCCAGCCGAAGCTACTCAACCTAAGCTCCTAAAAAAAAATCTATGTAAGAATCATAAGAATCATAAGATAGATTCTAATACGTATAAGTTGCCTTGTGTTGACTTACAATAGTTTCATGGTGAACAATTATTACAATTGAATAAATAACGCATAATTGTTTATATTAACCACAGATTTTTACTCTTTTTCAACTCATAATCATAAGTTAATTGGTAAATTCCTCTCCGTCGTAGCCATTTACAAAGCCTATTATTTAAAAGGTTTTTGAAATGGAAAACAAAGCGTAGAAACAAACATACATCTAGACTGCATTGCTGTGATATTTTATTGATTCATGTTCTATTCTAGCAAGGCATCTGTTTCTTAAAATTTTAGCAAAGATACCAATTAAAAAATATTTGGGAACTAAAGTAAGAGTTTTACTCAGGTGATCGAAACCGATTTTTTCCAGATTGTCCTATTGTTTCAAGATTACAGCTGTGATGAACTAATAAATGTAACCCCAGAATATTGAAGATCATGCTCCTTTAATTTATGGCAACAAAAAGTGCACTCGAAATTTGATTATGATTTACAAGATCGGAGGCATGGGAAAAGATATGACACCGTTTTTCAAACTTCCCAATGAAAAAGAATTGACTGATCAGTGATCGCTACTTAAAAACCACCTCCGCAACATTGTAGGAAGATTGTGGAAATGATTTAACAAAATATCCCGAGAAAACACAAGTGACATTAACACCGAAAGTAACCTAAGCAACACTTTAATACTAACACCAGCTGCCAAATTTTGATTCGAAATGTAGTATGTACAATCCATCCAAATGACTTCTGCAGAAAATTCAACAGCTGGTGGAAGTCTTACTAAAACCGCACTTAGACATCTGCACAATTTTATTTTCGATAAGTAATATTATAATAGATATTAGAATTACTAGAGTTTTAATATTTGGTCTGACGATGTTAAAAAAATAGAATTTTCGTAATTAAATTATTCTCTCCTGATTCAACAAAGTGTATTGATTTTAAAATTCCTCTGAAATCACCATTTCTTGGAAAACTTTGTGACTAACTACAAAAAAACCTTTATTATTCATATAAAGTAACACACCGATTATTATGAAATTTTAAGTGTGTTGTAAGATCGCTATGACGGTGGTAAAACGTTAATCAGACTTTGTGTGTTCCTTCATTCCAAAAAACTGAAAAAGTCACTTCAAATAATCAATTTCGATTTAAATGCGTCGCATAAAATTTTGTCTTGGCAGTAGTTAAATGATCCACAGTTATTTGAAACTATTTTATCATGTATCTGATAACAGATCATTTTTAAATCGTAATTAATGTTTAACATTAAAAATTTGCTGATTTGTTCAACATACTTGACAATCCTGAAGTGAGCAACGGCGTTTTATTTGTTATCATTTACTATAAAAACAAAATATTTACTTCAGCACATCAAACTGCTTCAGTAACATTGTTGCAGAAACATGGTCACCCTTTCCTTGTGTGTTTTCCTTCTATGCTTGGCCATAGACAGCATCTCTGGTCATGGGAGGCTGATGGATCCTCCAAACCGTAGCTCTCTGTGGAGAATTAACCCCAACGCTCCAGCAAATTACGTCGATGATCAAAACAACTGTGGAGGAAAATCTGTAAGTACAAACTGTAGATCAGCTTCGGCGAATTTTAAAATATTTGTACCAATAGACCCAGTGGGACCAATTTGGAGGGCAGTGTGGCGTTTGTGGTGACAAATACGACGACCCTCATCCTCAAGCTAATGAAAACACTGGTACATACGGAAGAGGGATCATTGCTGGGCAATACACTGCTGGTAGTATAATTGATATCAACGTCGTGCTAACAACCAATCATATGGGTTATTTCGAATTCAGGTACGTATTTGTTTTAGGTCTGTTTTGTGAATAACTTTGTCTTCATAGTTTGTGTGTCTTGGATAACCCAAATGGTGCAGAATCGGGTGAAAGCTGCTTCAAGCCTCTTACCTTGGGAGATGGGTCTGCAACATACGTTTTGCCCAACAAATCAGAACAAGGCTACACTGAAGTTCCACTTAAGGTGAAATTGCCTGATGGTGTGACATGTGAAAGATGTACCTTCAGATGGTCTTGGACCGTAGGTAGGTTAAATTTTAAGCGTAGTAATAAAAAGTGTGTTGGAGTATATCTGGAAAAGAAGTAAACATAAAAATTTCGTTTGATTCCAGGTAACAGTTGGGGCACTTGCGATGATGGTACTCAAGGTATTGGATGTGGTCCACAAGAAACATTCCGTTCTTGCTCAGATATAGTGATTAGTTAGACTACATTTAGTGGTTTCGATTAAAATATTTTTATTAAAAATGGGCTAATTGGTTTTGTGAATAAAGATTTAATGCAACTGGTTTGCCTAATTTAGTAAATGACAACTGAAAACACAAAAAATGTGTTTTTGATTTACGAGTTTGTAGTCCTTTCTCAAAAAAATTAGAAAATTACCAAACGAGAATTATAGTTTCTGATTTCATCTAGTCTATTTCTGGTTCAGTTGAAAACATTTTATCAACAATCTGATAACAGATCATCTTTGAATTGCTAGAAAACGTAAAAGATGTTGCTAATTTTTTAAAATGATAACAATATTTATGTAAAAACATGGTTTCCCGTTTCATGAGGAACGGATAATGGTCCGACCATGTGACTAAGTAACCTAGACACACGACACATTACACCGATGATCAAAATAACTGGGGAGAAAAACTTATATCTTCAAACTGTTAAGTCAAATTCAGTGAGTCCTAAATTTTCTCAACTTAAATTTCGGTGATTATACCGCATTTCCATTTTTTTTTATTTTTGTTCTAATTGACCATGACGCGTGCGTCAGCAGTGAAATCTAAACATTTTAACATTCATTACTAAAAAATTATTCTAATTTTTAAATTCCTTTAAGATTGTCAGTGCTTGGGGAATTTTCTAACTAACTCCAAATAAAGGTTTATGAGCAACACCTGCATTGCTAAACAGAGCAGGTCAGAAGCAAGGCATTTGCATTTAGAGGACTATGCGGAATGTTAAACAGGATTATAAAATTTCATTAAAACCTTAACCCGGGATACTGAACGAATAGTTATTATTATCAACCAAAAAGGGCTAGACGTTTCTGCATATTATTTGGAAGATTTACAAACTATTGTTGTAAAAATAAAAACTCAAAATAGTGCCCAAAATTAATAAAAAATAAAGTGAAAATGAAAGCTCAAGTTTATACCGTTTACTGTTTCAGTGTTATAATTTTTTTTTCCAAAAATAATTTAAAAATTTTAGATCCGGAAATTCTAGGTTCTGTGCACTTAATTTACAAACATTCAAAATATGCTCATAAAACCCAAGCGAGGCCAATTAGTGCATGTAAAAATATATAGGTTGGGCCATTTAAAGAAGCTAAGTTGAAGGTTGCGGTTCAAATTAAGAACATGTTAAGAACGCAGTAACATTTTGTATAATTTTATATTTCATACATTAGATTTAAAATAGTATTCTTCCAAGAAACGTCACCTCAAAAATTATTATCAAAAAATTACTTTGGTTACATACAAAAACACTACCTATAAACAGTTTTATGCAGCCAAAAAATGCTAAAAATTTTGTATACAAAATTACCAAACTATGATTTAAATTCAACTAAATATACAAAAAACAAAATTTCATACATTTCTATTGAATCTGAGAGGTCAACACTTAAAATAAGATATATAGTTATATTTATATTGTCAAATTAGAAAAACCAGTTTCATTCAATAACAAATATTTATTCAAAAAATTAGTAGGTGATTAGCAATAAAATTCGTCTGAAGTAAAGCATATTAACTGATGACAATATCAGAACACGAACGGAATGTTTCTTGTGCGCCACATCCTATAGCTGAAGTTCCATCATCACACTGACCCCAGCTGTTACCTGAAAGCAAAAAAGAAAAAAAAACAATGAGTTCAACAAGTTATTCTTCTGTACAATTTTTTTATGAATATCTTTAATTGTGTTCTACCTGCAGTGTAAGTCCATCGTAAAACACATCTTTCACATGTGAAACCATCAGGCAGCTTCACCGTAGTGTAAACTTCCTGAAGGTCGTGAATTTCTTCCGTGTTAGGCAAAACATACTTCGGTGATCCATCTCCCAGAGTCAAAGGCTGGAAGCAACCTTCACCAGATTCTGGGGCATTTGGATCATCCAGCACGCACAAACTAAAAACATAAAGTCATTCACAAAACAAAAAGCAAGGAAATACATACCTGAAGTTAAAATATCCCATATGGTTGGCAGTAAACTCCACATTGATATCAATTATACTACCAGCAGTGTATTCTTTGGAAATGATACCCCTTCCATATGTACCAGTGTTTTCGTTAGCTTGGGGATGAGGATCGTCGTATTTGTCGCCACAAATGCCGCACAGGCCACCAAGCTGATCCCACTGAACCTATAGATAAACAAAATTTTAGAACTCTTGCTAAAACTAATCAAACCGTCTACATACCCCTTTTCCTCCACAGTTATTTTGATCGTCGTTATAATTTGGGGGCGCATTGGGGTTGGTTCGCCATAGGGAACTACGGTTCGGAGGGTCCATGAGCCGTCCATGGCCAGAGATGCTATCTATGGCCAAACACAGAACCAAAACACTGAAAGAAAGCGAAAACATGTTGTACAGTAATGTTACTGGAGCAGCTCGATTTGCTGAAATATATATTTTTATCACAGATGATAAGAAAAAGAATGCCAAAATGGTTGCTCACTCAAGAATTCTCAAGTAGTTCGGCAAGTCAGCAAAATTTTTGCTTTAACAGTTTAAGGACCCTGTTTATCTTCGGCCTCATGGCAATAAAATTTTATCATTCCTTGACGACATTTTGCATCAAGTTACGCGTATCTGTAACAATACATTGTGGTAAATTTAAACTATTTTGATAAAAATTCTGGAACATTATCAATACCCATTGTCAGGTTAGCCTTGAATTGATGGGTTGCTTTTAAAATATCAGTATAGGATACAGAGTTATGAACAACATTCACAACACATTAATCAGAACCACAACCTGTCAATACAAAAATTTTCACAAATGATATCTGTTTCGGGACTAGAAGGATTGGAACAAATAGAAAGCTTATACACAATACCAGAAAAAGATGAAGACTGGTTCGCGATATCTTGTAGGTTCATTGTCGTTAACAATCACCTATCCAAAATTCTTGTAGTGTTTTTTCTTAGAATTAATGAACCCCCTAATTGTATAGGATCTGATAATATTATTTTGAACAGGAGCCCAATACTGCATATTGTTGTTTTTTTTTTCAATATCCATCTTCACTTCTCGTTCTACTTTCTTATTTCTTGCAATTTTGTATATTGTTATTTATTTACTCTTAGTTTATTGAATAATAATCTGTCATCTTCGTATATTCTCCACGAACTTCCATTGTTTCGTTTATCATAACTTCTCTTGTTCGTTGTTAATGTCATTTTTACTTTCCATTAATCCGTAGCATTACATACTACGAATCTTTTGATCCAACCCTGTAATATTGAATTATTTGGTTTATGATCAAATTTTTCTTTGCCCACAGCTATCTACCACGATCTGATCTTAACCTCTTGACTGTATAATTAATGCGTTGTTAATAAGTTGAAAGTATTATCATTATTATGATCGCTTATCAAAGATCATTTCTCGATAAATTATTTTCGAACATAGTACGCAATTTGTCCTACTCCATATTTAAAACAAAAGTGTTTATAATTAACATGTGCATTCAAAAACATTTAACAACATCATATTGCTTAAAGTACAAATTGTTTTCTCAAGTGGCGATTATAATCAGAAACTTTAACCATTAACAATGATATTTGCTTTTAATCGTAATAAAAAGATTACTTATCATTATCAGTAATCTTGAAGTCACGTTACATGTGATTTTTGTAACGTTAAATTTTTCCAGAAGTTAAAGATAAAATCTAACTTTTATTGCATTTGCATTTAAAAACATTACTATATTTTATCGGATTATAGATATTTATAACATATAGTGATCATCAAGTACTCCTGTGAAAACACTGACCACTGTTATTAGATAAACATCATAAACATCAGGTGATATATTAGTTTACATAGTTTCAATACAAGATTGTTTACTGTTGGCACTTATGTTATTTTTTCAAATGTATAGAACTAAAAGATCAGCGAACTTGCATTGCAAAGAATTATAAATGTTTACAAAATCGAAAAATGATAAATTAATTTTTAAAAGCTCTTAAACTGTCTATGTCGTATTGTTAATATACGTTACTTTAACATTAAAAAGAAAAACCATTGTTGAATATCGCGATCTATTTATGAAATTATGGATAATTTTAGAACGGAATTTTGAAAGGTAATCCTTTATAAGAAGTCATTTCAGTCTAAAGATGCGTATTTAATCTTACCAAAAATTTCGTTAAGAAAACAAGTTTCGGCAACTGGAATAACATTCTAAACAAACATACAACTTTCTCCCATATTAATTTTTTGGTAAAAAAAGTTTCCTATAATTTCAGTTACAAATTTTATTTCTGTCATAAATTGTCCTACGAAGTCATAACCATCTAAACCTGAAGATGTCGAAAAACGAAACGTGTTCCTAAGTTATTACAGAATTTTATTTCGTTTTCAATACAAGGCTTTGACAATTTTCTGTCTGAAGCGGTAGTTTACGTGAACGACATTATATAGATTTTTCCAAAGCTATTTCGATTTCGTTTACAATTAGATCCAAATGAAAAAAAAACAGTCTAAAATCGGGAAAATTGGACATGATGCCGTCTACAACATTTTCTTTCTTAAAGTACCTATAACTAAAAACTAAAACTTAGCAACAATCAGTCTAGTAGTTTCGGAGATATTTTTCTATTATAATATTCAACAAACAACAGATCGATGGAAACAGGAAACCATCTTTTCATAAGTATTCTAGGAATTAGAAAAAATGAGAAACAAAATTAGGCATTTCAAAGTTGTCTCCACAACTTGGCTATCATGTTATTTGTCAAATCATCTCAATTTTGATAGTAAATTAATTTAACATTTTAGTGATATTTTCCGCAACACGTCATTTATAAATATTATATTTTAAGCCTTTGTTTTTGAAATATGTATGCTTTAAAATTAATGAACGATATCTTTTGAGTGAAGTTCATGTTGCAACTCGTTAATAACAAAATTAAGGTATAAAAAAAATTAACGCAGTTTCTTTGAACACCGCACACAAAAATTTTAAATTTCCGTATTTGATTATAACAAGAATTCGTAAACAAATATATAACTTCGAGACGTAAACATCCATTTACAGGTGTCAAATTTGTAAAATTTTAATAACACGTGCCCAGGGATGGATCGGTCGATGCTCGAAATTGTAATTTTAATTTTTGCAAATCACGTACTTGGATTCAAAACAATGTCAAGAATTTGATGACTGCTACAGATAACACTTATATTGCGATGTTCAAATAGAGACACGTGAAGTGATCGTTAAGATTTTGAAACAGATTTTTATAGACTGACATTATTCCTGAGGCGTATTTTTTTAAGAGTTCATTCAAAATATGTAAGTCATACAAGTTTCCAATATCAACCGAATTACGAAAAAAACGCAAGTAACTAAATTCGCTAAATTTTGAGAACCACGCATAAGACGACACGTGTGTTAAGGAAACTGAGTATTTATAATTAATCTATTAAAATTTACACCAAGACAAAAATGCTTCTAGATTGTCGTTTATACATTTGTAAAGCACAACTACTCCAAAAACATTGACACCAACGTCTGAGCCAAGTTGGTAAGACGTCTTGTAGATGGGTAAATACTATTGAAGATGGTAAGAAAATTTATCTTTATACAAAATTTGGCATATATTGCAACATATTTTTAGACAACCTAACTTGTCGAAGTCGGCTGCTGTCTGCTACGTTGGAAAATACAGTCTAATTTTAACTTCTTGTACAAAAAGTACACGATTATTAGCATCTACATTTAAGCTAGTTTAGCACAGCTGTTGAAGAACTATTTTTAAAATTTTCATTATTAAAAGTGTGATAGATTCTAAAGAGATAGACCTTAAAACCTTGTAAGACACAATTCAAGTCTTCAAAACCAAAGAAGTATTTGAAAGCTCCAAAAGTGATTTTTGTAGTTTAAAAAAAACATGTATTATCACCTGCACTCTTAAAATTCTTGAGGATGTGGAAATATTGCGCAAGGTAGAATAAGACGTCATGATGTTGCTGAGTAGATAATTAAGCTTTTTGATAATGATCACAAAAAATGTATAGGTAGCACTGGCTCTGGAAATTCCACGGGCACACTCATAACTCTCTTTCTTACAGGTAAACAATAGCACACCTTCTCAAGTGTTACCCTTTTTGTTGCAACGAAAATTTTCCATGTATTCTTTCCTGTGCATATTTTAAAGGATATAAAAAATTGTACAAATATCTGAATATTAAAATAACCACTACAAATAAAACAAAAGTGAAATAAAAATAATAAAATAATAAATAAACATATATTTCCCCAACAGCATTAAACTGCCAATAGAGGGGTACAAATTGTGTCAATTATATACAAAAAATGGCAATTAAAGAAACAAAATACTCAACTAACAAAAAAAGAACAGAATTTGTGGTATAAACACTATTCAAAGTTGTGACATAACAAATAGTTTTCTCAAATAACAACATCATTTTCCTTCGAAATATTTTAAAAGCATGTGCCTTTTGTCCTTCACAATTTTATATTATTTTTGTCAAAAAAAAGTTGCTGCCTCCATAATTTTTACTACAATTTTTTGAAATTTTGTTAAAGATTGTTTACATGAAAAACTTATTAATATTGCTTCAGTGAGCCATAAATTTCAATTTCATTTTTACTCGTCGATTTTCTTATTTGCTTTTGAAATATGAACCAAAATAAAGTTAAAAATAAATTATCGAAGCCAATCCCGCAGATATCATGACGTGAGTAAAAACATTCCATACTTTTTTTTAATGTTTCTGTTCTTTATATAGATGAAGATTTGCACAAAATGATTTCGTCTAGAACTTTCTGGTTTGCGATTTATATGATACTAAATTGTTTAAAGTAAAAACATATCGTTACCAGTTCCGTTAAACAAGTTTTATCTACTTATCGTAAATCTCCTGAGTCAATGGAAAATTTTCGATCGCGCTATAACATGCCAAACAGGAAACTTAAAAATATGCTGAAAACTTAAGAACAAAAGACATGCTTTAAACTCGATAATTCTAATTTATCTCACCAATCTGAAAAAGTTAAAGTTTACTACAATTGACACAAAACTCAACTCTTATCTTTTAAAACACGACAAGGGAATCTTTGTTTAATTCTAAAGGCTGTTATACTATAGACAATCTGAGAGAACTCAAAACCCGTTAAAGAGACACTTCTGTAGACCTCATAATTATCACATAGGTAGGTGCAAAAATAATTCAGAAAAAAAAAACATTTATTGATAGACCACTACAGTCAATAATTAAATACAAAATATTTGAAATCTTTGTTACACTCTACTTAACGAATAGCGATATCTGCACATGATCGGAAGGTTTCTTGAGGACCACAACCTTCATCATAAGATCCGTCTTCACACTGTCCCCAATTGTTCCCCGCATTATAATGCCAACGCAAAACACATCTTTCACAAGTAAGGCCATCGGGCAACTTCAGAGTAGTGTTCACAACGTCATGATCTACTTCTTCTTTGTTAGGCAAAACATAAGTAGGAGATCCATCTCCTAGTGTGATTGGTTGGAAACAGTCTTCTCCAGATTCTGGTGCACTAGGGTCTTCCAAAACGCACAAACTGGGACATAATATTCAATATTTTACAAGAATTATAATATTAGAAACTACCTGAAATTAAAATATCCCATATGATTCGTCGTAAGTACAACTTCTATATCAATTACGCTTCCAGCTGTATATTCTTTAGCGATAATCCCTCTTCCATACTTTCCTGTATTTTCATTGGCTTGTGGATGAGGTTTATTAAACTGATCTCCGCAAACACCACATTTTCCACCAAATTGATCCCACTGGACCTGTATCAGATTAAGGTCAACAACTGTAAACTTACAATAAAATAAAAAACTTACGTCCATGCCTCCACAATAGTTTTGATCATCGTCATAATTCACGGGTGCATCTGGGTTGAACCTCCACAGGGAACTTCTATTTGGAGGGTCCATCAGCATTCCATGGCCGGAAATGCTTTCGATGAAGAAAAACAGAGCAAGAACTGTTGTGGCACCCAACATTTTGCTAATGTTTTTGAAAATGGTGTGACTTTATTTTCTTATATACGTTTTAGTATTGATAAAAATCAAGTGTTCATTCTGTACCCACATGAAATATTAAAGTGTTTGTACAGCAAAAGTTAATTGTTTTCGATGCAATCTTTACGTAAAAACAGTTTTTAGAAACCTTATCTTAAGGAGGTCAATTCAATCAACTCTAGTACAATCTTTCAGTAATTATTATCCAAATTTTCTATATATCTTTCCTGGGCCTTCCATAGAAATATGATTAGAAGGATATGTTGATGAAGCTTCCTCAGTACAATAAGATAACGAAGAATATCCAATAAACCCATAAAACGACAACTTCTAGCTTTATTAATTTTTGAGTAACCCCTTTTATTTCTTAATTTTTTTCGAATCTGAAAGGCTCGACGATTTCGTCGAACTCTTCCGAAATAAAGAGCTCAAAAAACTTGATTTCTTTTTCTCTGCAGACTTTGACAAGTCCGTCAATGAACTAATCGTCTCGATAAGAGAAATCTTCGAATTCTTGTTTCCTTCATCTCCAGAATGAAAGTCTGTTTGATTGCCTTCATCTGTATAAATCCGAAATGTTTTCTTCGAAGAATAAATTTTATCGAACTGCCCACCAGGTACTAAAATAGGATTTTTCGGAGGTTGCAACTGACAGTCGTCTCCAATAAAAGGTGACTTCTCATTTTTTTTCCACGACGCTGGAAACATATGACTTCCCGGAAACGTGCGAGAGGTTGCCATCAGCACATGATGTTCGTTACGATGAAGATGTTTTTTGCTTCTGGAAGCTTCTACGGGCTCTTGTTTTTCCTCAACTGCTGTTTCTTCATTAACGTCATAAAACGTAGTTCTCGATCTTGCCGTGTCGTAATGACTATGCTCAGATTTAGCAGAGTTGTATACAGACGGGGTTGACATTGTAGATTGTTCTTTGTGGGGATGAGATGACATAGCGGATACTTGGTCTGGGGCGCTAGGACTTGGTGAAAGGGGCTGAGGTTGTGTGTCTGCAGACGGAGCTGGAGCTGGTTTTCCCTTTTTTGTTGGACTAAGCGAAGCAGAAGTGGTAGGACCTGTAAGACATAAAGCATACGTTACACTGTATTAAAACAATGAAAATATCATTAGCTACCGCTTGAATCAGACTCTAGATCTGTTGGATTACACGTTCGAAAAACCATTCTTCCAATGCACTCGTAGCTGCCAACTCTGTCTTCAATATTTCGTCCATCACTCTCTTCCTTCTTGTACATACACGAAGCTTCGTGCTTTTCTAGCACGCTGATTTCCATAGCACATCCGGGCCCATGATGCCTTTCAAGCACGAGTGGCAACTTATATACTTTCTGGTGCCCTTTTTCGGGTTTAGTCTTATCCTGAAGAGTTGGTTCTGAACTATCAGTTTCCGGTTCTGGTTTTGTTTGTTTTTGTGGTTCTGGTTCTCTTTCCGGTTCTAGTTTGCTTACTTGTTCAGGTTCTGTTTCTGCTCCACTTTCATTCATAAACTTCTCCTCACTTACAGCAGTTGTTGCTCTTGAGGGTTGGCGTGCAGGTGTACTAGTGAATTTTGGTCCTTGTTCTTCTGTAATTTAACCAGAACGTATTTTACTTTTATTTAAATATACTAATACCGTCAGATTTTGGTCGAGATTTATCGTCGGTTACCGATCCATCGCATGGCCGTTTGCAGCAGGTTTCGATTGTTATTACTATCACGTCTCTACCATGCTTAGTATTAGGGCAGTCACATTTTTGCACGGATTTTTTTTCTACGGTAGTCATTGACACAGCAAATTTTGACAATCATGACAAGATGTTAACCTCCTCGAAATGCAATCTTTCATACCGAGAGAGCAATAAAAAAACACGATCAAAGATAGCCTTGGATTTTTGAAGATTTGTCTTTGATAAAATTTTCATTGCATCAGATTACCGTCAATTTGCAAGTTTAACTTGGAAATGCACCGAATAAAGACAAACTTTCAAAAATCCGTGGCTGTCTTTGATCGTGTTTTTATTGCTCTCCCGGTATTAAGCAAAAAAAAAAGTCACTTGTTTTAAAGAAGCATAGTTTTAAAAGTTTTAGTGACACTGCATGATATCATTATCATGGTACAAGATTATTATCACATCCTGACAATGACAATATTTATCTATCTGTATGTATAAACGTAATAGCATGGATATCCTAGACGCAGGAGAAGAGAAAGAGAAAAAAATTAAGTAGAGTTTAAAGAATAAATGAAAGAGAATAAACGAAGTAGAATGTGAACCAAAACGAGAGAAAATGAATCCGAAAAATGAATGTGACGGAAGAAATGTAAAAGAACTTTCGTGAAAAGTACACTGACTCTAGCAGCAACAAAATTCAAAAAATAGAATTAAAGCCGTAACTCGTAAGAGTCAAGTACTTATTTTTTCACATGGAGTAGGTATTTCTTTCAAAAAAAAAGAGCGACAAAAAAGGCGATATGCAGAAGCGACTTATTTTGCGAAAAGACGATGGGTTAATTCTGGCGTTTGTAGATCCAAGAAATTCGTTAAAAAAGTTCAGCAATGTGTGTATACTGGGAAAACCTAAAAATATTTAAGAAAAAAAAAGATAAATATGGCAACTGCAATAAAGTAAATAAAAAACGACAGAAAAAAAACTTACATTTATAAATCCTCGTATTAATATTATGGATATCTCACTTAATACGCAATATCTCGCTTGTTATAGTGAATATACGATCAAAGTCAAGTTCATAACAACATATTGAAAACAAAGATATGGAAACTGTTCTTGATTTAAGTACTTGTAGAAGTATTTGCCATTTTTATGAAGTACCCCATGTGCAGACTGTATAAACATTGCGACATTTCACGTGATTTTTTTTTGATAGAGTACTTAGCCGTTAGACGTGTGACAAGTAAGTGAATTTTTACAATTGACTCCTCCTTTACTTCCATTATATACATTTTGATACTAATAACTGTCAATCATCAACAAAACAGGTAGGATTTTACATCATTTAGAGTAAAGATGAACGCATGAAGCTGCTGCTACTTTGATGCCTACATATAGCTTGACTTCTTGGTGCTCTAGTGATAGCAAATCGAATCTGGAAATCGTCTAATTTATATTAACAAATACCGGAGTGACAACATATACGCAACAGGCGCACATTTGGAGTACGCTGCCGTTGTCCTCCAAAAGTTGTTTCTATTTATTATTTTAATTTGCTTTTCTGGTTTACTATTAAATTCTGAAAGATGTTATCTCCATGTGGTTCTTGCCTAGCAGCAATTGATACTATTTCCGATTCATTCATTTTGTGTGGAGGAACATGTATAATAAGAGATTTCACACTTCATGTGTCAAAATATCGGCTGCACTTCATGAACAACTGAATACTTTTCCCGATTTATCCTGGAAATGCTGTGATTGTTCCCGTAAGTGCTTCTTCATTGATCAAGCTGGTTTGATTAGTCTGCTTGAACAAAAGTACTCTGAGATGTTAAAAGATCTTGATTCTGTTTTTGCTGATTTAAAATCAAAGTTTCTTAATACAGGTGAAGGAAAATTGATTGATTCACTCTATGGTAAATACTGTTCCTTCGTATTCGGAAATATTAAATAACAAAACTCAACCGGCAATATTAATAATAATAAAACCTAAAGAGGAGGAAACTATTAAACAGACAAAATCTGATGTGAAAGAAAATATAAATACTCTTGATACAATTAAATTTGGCTAATGTTAAATCTACAAAGAACGGTGATATGCTAGTTGGATTTTCTTCAAAAAAAGATAACCAACGTTTCCGTAGAGCTGCAAATGACAAATTATCACAGAAGTATGATATTGTTGAACTCAAAGGTGTGCAACCACGTATCAAGATAGTAGGAATGAGTCAAATTTTTACTAAAAATGAGATTATAGAATATGTTGAACATGCAGTGAAATGTAATACTAGCAATATTGATTTAGAAACTAAATGTACGTTTGTGAAAATGTGGCCCACTAAGAAAAAACCTAAAATATATCAAGCCATTATACAATTAGATAGAAATTCTTATGATAGTATAATAAATGCGGGAGGTATTTTTATTGGGTATGATTACTGTACTGTCTATGATGCTGTTGAAATTTTGCGGTGCTTTAATTGCAATAGCTTCCATCATACTTCAAAAAAATGTAAAAATCAGAAATAATGCCCGAAATGTGCCATGCATCATTCTGTAGCTGATTGTACATCTGAAGTGATGAAATGTGTAAATTGCTTAGCAGCTATTAAAAATGACAAAGCTGACTTAAATCCTGATCATACCGCTTGGGATACAAAATGTCCAATCTATAAAATGACTTGTTGAAAAATTTAAGAAAGATTTGCTATTTAAGCAATGACAACTAGACACTGTATCTAAACAAAAACAAGATTTCAGTGTGTTGCATAATTTATCCACAAAATATAATTCAAATCTATCAATGTACTATCAAAATGTGCCTGGCCTCAACACAAAAACTGTATCTTTTTTTGACAACTTATTTACAACAAATTTTGACATTGTTGCGCTATCGGAAACCTGGTTACGCAACAATATAGAGAGTTGTGAATTATTCAATGATAGCTACACTGTTATGACGAAGGATAGAGATTTTTCAACTACAGGGACAACTAGAGGTGGAGGAGTCCTCCTCGTTTGTAAATCTGATTGCTATTGAAAATGTTGATCTTGACAATACGCTGTCTAACTCTCTGGAGCAAATAGATATACTATGCGCTACAGTTTTTAATGCTTCTGGTTACTTTTTTGTTTTTGTATTATATGTACCACCATCGATGTCTACCGAGTCTTACGCCCAAATTTGCGAAGCTTTTACTTCACTTGATTTTATTATTGATGCTAATGCTGTTGTTGTAGGTGATTTTAACCTCCCCGATTATAAACACCACACTGTATCAGCCCAGACTTCCCAGAAGATTTTTTTTATTTGGCTGAATTTATGGATCTCCTAAATTTCAAGCAGTTCGATGATGTAGTCAATGAAAATAATCGAATTCTTGATCTTGTTCTGTCAAATATGGAATCTATTGTTACTAAAGCTGCTGATATTCTTGTAGATGAGGCTGCCCATCATCCATCACTTACAGTAAAAGTTAATTTTAAGAATTCCGTGAAAGAATATCTTCTGAATGCCAGTACTTGTACTTACAATTTTCAAAAAGCTGATCACAATGCATTGTATCAAACTTGATGTAAAATCGACTGGACAACTTTGGAACAATGTTCTGATGTTAATATTGCCTCAGACATTTTTTATGAAATATTATATAAGATTTTAGAGCAACATAAAAAACGATAAAAAAGATTCCCCGCAAATTTCAAGCTTTCAAAAAATATGAAAAGTATAAATATCCGTATGATTTACACTGCTTCAAAGAGTTACGTAAGCAGATTAAAGAAAGTATTTCCAAAGGTTATAAAAATTTCAACACCAAACTCGAGAACGATATAAATGATAACCCAAGTGATTTCTGTCGTTATGTAAAATTAAAGAAAGGTAACACTGGTATTCCCTCTACTATGACTTTCAATAATGATGTAATATATGGCACTGATGAGATCGGTAACGCGTTTGCAAACTTTTTCCAATCAGTCTAATGTTGATCCTATCAATACAAGTAACTGTACTATTAATATATCATCTATTACAGAAAATGAAGTTCAAATTGCCTTAAATAAGCTAAAACACAAAAACACGTGTGGCCCCGACAGAGTACCGTCAACCTTGTTGAAAGACTATTCCACTGTGTCAATAAAACCTCTGCATATTTTGTTTAATAAAGCACTCAAGAGTGGGGTGTATCCCAGTAGCTGGAAGGTGTCAAAAGTGATTCCAATATTCAAAAAGGGAACTCGCTCCGCAATAGAAAATTGTAGGCCTATTATTTTGATTAATAACTTTTCAAAAGTTTTCGAAAACGTCATTTTCAGCATTATCTATTTTCGTATAAAAAGAAACAGTCTGTGAAAAGCAGCATGGATTCGTAAAGGGAAGGTCGACAATGACTAATTTCTTCTTGTTAACTCAGTTTTTTGCTAAATCAATAGATGATGGTGTACAGGTGTTATTTACGCGGATTTCTCCAAAGCGTTTGATAGAATAAATAATAAACTATTGCTCCAGAAACTTAGTATACTAGGCTTTTCACCATTATTACTTAATCTGATTGCTTCATATTTGTGTGACAGAAAACAATTCGTTTTAGTGGCAGGACATTTGTCACGTGAAATATTTCCGAGCTCAGGAGTTCCTCAGGGATCTGTTCTTGGACCGATTATTTTCGATTTATTTATTAATGGTATAATTAAAGACTTTGATGTGGAATATTTGTTATATGCAGATGATTTGACGCTTTTTTCAAAAATTGAAGGATGGGGTGATTGTCATAATATGCAGTTGAATTTAAGTAAAATATTGGACTGGTGTGATACTAATCAACTGCCTGTTAATAAGAAAAAATGTTAAAAAGCTATTTTTCTATTTCTCACTAAAGATGATCAAATAAAATTCAACAGTAGCAACAAATTTTAATGTTTCAGAAGGTTGTAAGGTTTATTATATTTTGCACGCACTTTCGTACTAACACAAAACAAATTAGAAATAACGAAACCCTCATCGTTTCAAGATGACGTATCAGCATCGGAGTTATCCGGTAAGTCCCAGAAGATTCATCATCAGAACTTCAAACATCAGCCCAAATTAGTGTCAAACCAGTTGATTTACAAGATCCAAAATTCTGGGCAAGAAATTGTGTAGAAGATGTGTTAAAAGTATTCAAAATTCAAGATCCGAATTCTTTAGATTTTGAAGTTTCAAAAAGAAGAATAGGAAAACAAAACAGGTACTGCAATAAATCATTATTTTACAAAGTTATGAAGAATGGGGAAAAGATTCGGCGTGATTGGCTGGTTTACTCCAATAGTACCGGTTACCTGTTCTGCATATATTGCAGATTTTTTTTTAATAAAAATCGTACGTTTTCTACTAGATTTGACGACTGAAGAAAAGCTAGAGAAAAATGTGAAAAACATGAAAGACCAGTGGTTCATTTGGAACATCTTAAAAATGTTATATATTTCAAGAAGTTCGTCAAATATCAAAAAAATCGATGATTCCCTGCGCCAACAACTAGAACATGAAAAAAAATATTGGCGGAGCATCTTACAAAGAGTTACCGATGAGAACTTTGGGTCTAACAACAACGGCAACTACTTAGGACTATTGCAGTTATTGGCAAAATATGATTCGGTTTTAAAGGAACATATTGAAAAATATGCTTCGAAAGGATTCGGTTCTGTGTCTTATTTATGGAAAACGATATTTTGGGAATTTTTACAAGTGCTCTCAGAACACGTATTGGGAGAAATTGTAAACAAATTCATAACGGAAAGTATAGATTCTACGCCAGACATAACTTACGCAGATCAGTTGACGTTCATTGTTAGATACTGTTCAAAAACTGGTACTCCAGTGGAAAGGTTTATTCAGTTTCTGGACAACATTGGGCACAAAGTGGAAGATATGGAAGTTGCAGTGCTGGGAGTTTTGTCAAAACTCAATTTAAACATAAGTGACTGCAGGGGACAATTCTATGATAGTGCACATAATTATCTAATATGTCTGGTGCCTATAGCGGTCTCCAAGCCCGAATAAAATCTCAAAATAATTTGGCAAAATACGTACCATGTGCATCTCATTCTTTGAATTTGAAAGAGAAAATGCCAGTTCGCTGCCAAGCGAATAATTTAATAGAAAAACATTGCAGTTTGGTATTCTGATTGTTTTCTGGTACGATGTACCCGAAAGAGCTGTTAGAGAGAAATTTTATTATTACGAGCAAAAGGAACAACTATTATCACAACAAATGCATTATAAGGAAGGCACTAGAAATCGTAAAAGAAAATTAGGTACAGTTTGAAGAAGCCGACACAGAAGAGGTACTCACATCGAAAAATAAACTTAGGACACAAGTCTTATATAAAGTGATTGATCATTTGGCAACTGATTTAAGAACTCGAAGAAAAATTTACGAAGATCTTGCTACAACTTTTTCATTTTTATTTTCACTTTCATCTTTGGATGACAAAATGATTTTAGAGAAGGCCTTGATATTAGTGGATATTTATCCCAATGACTTAAATAAATCACTAGATAGTGAATGTATCCAACTGAAATTTTGTATGCTTGCATTGATAAGAGGTATTGAAGATATAACGCGCAGTGCAAGTTTTGTAATAGAACTCTTAGACAAAAATAATATAATTACAACATTCCCAAACCTGGAAATTGCTTTAAGAATCTTTCTGTGTCTTATGATCACCAATGCTAGTGGTGAAAGATCATTTTCGACTTTAAAACGGGTGAAAAACTATTTAAGAAATTCTATGACAGAAGATACTTTAAATTCATTAGCTACCTTAAATATCAATAGTGATCTTTTAACGGAATTAAACTTTGATCATATCATTGACGAGTTTGCAAATAAAAAGTCCAGAAAAGCTTTTTTGCAATAATGGTCTACCTAATGTATTTAGTTTGTAGTTAGTTATCACAACATAATTGTGTAATATTTGTATTGTAAAAACATATTCCTTTAATGATTAAAAAATTATAACTTTCATTTGAAATGACTTTTGTTCAACTGGAGACATCATAGCGGCGATACCAAAATTTAGCCCCCGGCGGTCTGTGAACTAAATCCACCACTGCAACAAAAATGTGTGCTTTATTTACATGACAGTTAATTCTAGTATTCTATTAGATACACAAAAATGTCCCATCGCGCATAACAAGTGAGAAAATTAATAATATAAAAATATACTAACATTACTAACTATATATAATAATGCCAAAGTCAAAGCCAGTTAAATTCGGACATTACCCTTTTTCTCGATAGGTAAACTCACAGAGTTAAAATAAATTCCACACCAACCTGTTTCACATGATGCCAATTTGCTCAATTTCTGACAAAATATATTGAACAAGTTTTAAGTTGGAACTAGTTGGAAGAGTTATTTAAACTAGAGGGATTTTTTTTATCTCAGAAGAAAAGACGAAATTTTGAAATTTCAGGCATATAAAAAACCACATTTGACATGATATTTTCATGCAGTAAATCCTATTTCATTTTTTTCAAACTTTCAAACATTCGAAATTCGAAAATTGTAAACTCAAGTTAAACAAACGTCTCCGGTTATGTAGCCAGGTATTTTTAATTTTTTATTTTCGCCATTAAAATCTGGAAGAAAACTGCAAAGTTTACGCCTGACACCATCTTTGCGTGTAGTAAGTTCAAGAACAAAACTTATAGAACCGATCGACGCAAGTTCCATAGAGGTAGAGTTCTAGCTCAATTAAATATGTACATACAAAAAGAAGAAAAGAAAAATGTATTTGATTGGAATTAAATTTTTAATGCGGAATTAAAGTACCACGTGACGGCTCAAGGCCAATCGGATATCACTAACGCTTTATTAAATCTCAATTATTATAAAATTCCATAGCTTTTTTTTATGAAATATATAATTGGTACACTGATAGAGGCTTCTAACAAAAATACAAATGCTGACAAACTACCTGTCCAACATTGCACTAAAATAAAATTACACTCAAGAAGTAATAAATAACCAAAACTCTCGTTTTTAGGCTGCTGACAAAGACAATATGGGACGTCCAGTATATACGCAGCAATTCGAGACCTTCCATACTGCATTGTATTTTGTATTGCATAACGCAGCCAAAGCTATATTCAGAATTTTACAAATCTGATTCATAAAGCATGGATTTTTATATTCTCTAGCTTAAAATATCTGTCACATATTTAGGTTCAACTTAATGTTCAGTACCTCAAATAATACGAAAATATAACCATATCAAACACACAAAAATAACATGACTTTTTTATTTCATAAATACCTAATTTAAATATCGAAACACATAACTTAGTCTTACCACAACAAGCAAAACGCGCCAATGAAATAAAATCATAGGTATCAATATGATAACAATGATAATAAATACAAAATAAATTATAAATTAAATATCAAAAGCTAACTTCCGTGGAGTCATATACTGTTTTATTATCTCATCTGTAATTTTCGCCCTTCGCTCCTGATGCTTACTAACAACTGGCGTCAAGATATCAATCAAAATCTTCTTCAATTCGCCTGTCAATAAAGCCCCGCTGGTATAATCCTTCCTAATTTGCTCAAGTTTCTCATCATCATCCAAGAAAAATTTCAAATACTGGTAAGAAATATCAACCTCACAGTTCCCTCCCAGCTGTCTGTGTTCCTCAACAGTGGTCTGACCTCCAGAAAATGCATGTTTATTGATTTTGTTCTTAACTTGTTTGGGCGTGTCATTTAAATAGATTGTGGAATTTGGATCAGAAGCTGACATTTTTGTATGTGCACCTTGTAAAGCTGGAAAGAATGATGCGTGGAGTAAAGCTGGCTTCTTGAAGCCCAATCTGGGCGTCACGTCTCTTGTCATCCTGAAATATGGGTCTTGATCGATGGCACAGGGTATCAAACAAGGAACTTTCTTTCCTTTAAATATGTGAGGAAAAGAGGTAGAGAGACACGGCGTTGCTTGTACTGCAGGAAAAGCAACTTTTCCAATAACAGTGCTGTCATCGAAACCAAAAATCCCTTTCACTTGATTAAAGGTGACACAGCGCTGAATTTTAACCATATTTTGGTAGAATTCAGGACACTGCCTACAACAATTTTTTGTTAGAAGTTAATATGTATAACAGTTTAAAACTAACCCTATATACATGAGATCTGAAAAAATGAACGTCTTCTCAAGATCAAATCCGATGGCGATTATATCTTTAACGTTCTCAACAGTCATTTTAATGGCCTCTTCCATTTTCAAGTCTTTCCACAAGAACTTCTCATCGTCAGTTAACTGAATCACTAGTGGCACGTTAAAAACTTCTTGCAGCCACTTGCAAAACATAAATGGTATAAGATGACCAACGTGCATGGAATGTGAAGATGGCCCTCGACCAGTATACAAATAGAAAGGTTTTCCAGCTTCGTGTTGATTCAAAATGGAATGCATATCCCTATGCGAAAAAACAATTCCTCTTCGAAGAAAATGATGAACCTTCTGTCCTGTTACTTTTTCGAAACGGTCCAACAATTCTTGATCTATTTTACTTGAACCGAATTTCTCTAAAATGTGGAAACATGTTTTTTGTAGAATGATGCAATAATTGGGTGAATTTCAAACTATTGCCGAAATATAATGGTAAATTAAAAGTGTTAAAGACTGTGCAGTATGCTTACTTATTAATTTGTCGTAATCAATTCCAGTTTCCGATTTACTGACTACATTCCACGGATCGACGAAGTCATCGTCCACCTCTCCGTTGTCGATTTTTTCATTTACACTTAAGTTTTCAATGTTATTTATTATTTCTCCCGACATTTTTTTGCTTCTTATGTTTGCTAATACTGCACGAACTTAAAATCACACAACGTGGATTCTTATCACGATTATTGAGGTTACAAGGTATGATACGACATGACAATCTGTGACGTTTTGTGACGTTGACATTGCTTTCATAACCATACGCAACGTGTTGCCAACCTAGACAACCCACAGTACATTCATAGAGAACTTAATGTTCCAGTCTCCAGTCATTAAAAGTTGCGAAATTAAGGTAAACCCCCTTCTCTAATTTCATCCTTACTTGAAGACTTATTACGCAACATACGTACTTATTGGAAATACAAAAATCTGCACGGAAATAATTTTTATATTGAGCTAGACAGCTAGAGGCTCTCTTTTTTTTTATAAAAATCGAAAAACCAATTTTTATTTTTAAGACAAAACTACATATATCGTAATTTCATTCTAAAGTGCTGTTAGTGTAGAAAATTGTTGATTGTCCTTAATTTTTTGTAAAACTGTCCACTTTTTACTTATTATTAATTAAACAAATCTTAAATAGCCCATTTTTTGTACATGTAGGCAATGCACCATCTTCTTTGATCATTTATGCTTTTCATTTATTAGGGAAGGGAGAAGTCCACTATCGGGAGGGGCGGACGCCAACTGGGCACCAACTAATCGCAGGTAAATTTTGCGGGTAGTTACGATAGGCCAACTCGGCACCGAGTCCGAAATAAAGATCGGTGAACTCGGCACTACAGCAGCAGGCATGGTAACAAGGGTTAATCCGCCCACTCCGCGAGATACCTTCCCTCTAGTCAAATCGTTATGGGAAAATAAGTAACACAAGTCTGCAAATTTAACTTTTGAAAATTTGTTTTTGTTCTGATGGCTGTCTTGGGTAGTTTTTTTTAGCGTTGATTACGTCTATGATATCTATTTGTCGCTTTCACGTAAGGTTTATTTGTAAAACAAAACTAAAACTGAAATTTTTTAGGTAGCATAAGAATATTATAGAAATATTGTAATAGATTTTTTTCATAATCTGCATACAAAAATTTATTGGATGAGGTGATTTTTCTGTTAACAGGACCGATTTTATTTTTTACTTTGTTTCCTTAATTTTTTGGTTTTTTAAAATTTGTAGGTGATAGAATGTTTTAAATAGCTTTTTCTCGCGTTTAAAAATCTAGGCGATGACTCGATGATTCTTGTTAATGCTCTATGACATCAATAATAATATTAATAATAATAATAATTTGTATGCTGTAATTCTAGAATCTCGAAAGTTGTTCTGTTAATCTAATCAATGCATATCATTACTTGGTCTTAGTACCCGTAATGATAGAAGTCTTGCCTGAATGCCGGTCATTTCCGGGTCAGTGGTGGGTCTTAATAATAATAATAATAATATACATTGTTTTGTTGAAATCCTATAATGTGATACCATTGGTTAGTTTCGTTTCTGTAAAGTTTTTTGAAAAAAAAAACACTGCTATATGTAAAATCATTTACCTATACATGATTTTATGTAATAAAAGATATTTTGGAACAATTGTTTAAATTTAATGAATTGTACAAATATTTTCTGTTAAAAAACATATTTTTATGTTATTTAAACAATATCTTTTTTTTAGACGTAATAGAATTTTGTTAGTATTTTTCCTGTAATTAACATACTAAACTCTATCAAATAAGTCATTTCTCTCCCAAAGCAAGGTAAGGTTTCTATTTTAATTTTATTGAACTTATTCTTTTTTTGTGGAGGGGGGGGGGGAGGTATCTAAACGTGCTGGAATTTTTTGCAATTTTTTTCCGTTATCAATGCCCATAATATACATAGTTTTTAAAATTACCTGAAATTGCTGGTGCCGAATTGGCGTGTTTATTTTATGACGGATTAGTCTTGGTGCCGAGTTCACCTGTACCCATCGGGAGATCGGATGGATTTTTAAGCCGCTGCCGAGAAAATATGCAAATGAGGTAACCCTTCTTAACGGCATTTTAATGGCTAAACGAAAACTTATTCTAGCTTTCAAAAATTGTATATTCATGACACTGTAAATGTCTGAGCAGGTAAAGTAAGTACCTTCGTAATCCCGAACACCTGTTTTTTCCGAAGTAGATCTTTTCAGTGCAGGTATATGGAAGTAATCCTTCGTGAATGTTTCCACGACTGAAAAGACAATAATATTATTTTTAGTTGGGTGGATATTTTCTTTACTTTCCATTCCAAAACGTACATTTGTTTTAATTTTAAACATTCATTGATTGTTGTCCATTGCATGAGGCCATACAAAATTTAAAAAAAAAAACAAGTTATTTTTTGTATCGTCCACAATTCTTTGTCTTATTTTGCCTTTTTGTTTACGCTAAGTTATCAACGACTTTTAACACGTTCAAATCTGCTAAATTTTTCGTTTTAGAACAAGATAAGCTATTTAACGCTTAAAAAAATTTAAATTTTATAAGAAATTAGAAAAGTCATTTTTATACCACTTGTAAAATGATAAAAAAAAACTATAAAGTAAGTAAGTAATATTCAATGTTGCCGACACTGGTTTATCTTACGTCAAAATTCCAGAAGTATTAGAATTCCCATACATACTTTTAAAAGAATTGTGTGAGGAAATCAAAACAGTGGAACCTATTTAAAGCATGAAAAGAAAAATTGGACGGATTCTGTCTCAAGCAGCTATTATCTTTCACTCATTTTTATAATGATTTATTAATACACCATGTTTTGACTTGTCAAATGTCATTTCATGGACACATGCTGCTCTTTTAAACAGCATATCTAACTAAAACAATAAATTTGACAAAGATTTAAATGTTAAATCATTTAGGTTTTTAGTGAGATGTTAACATCTCACTAACACCTGGTTCCTGCACAGCAGAAGCGAAACACAGTGAATGCTAGACAACTCGATGGAATGGGCTGTGCTGATGAGATCCAACAAGATCGAAAATGCAGTCTACAGCTTCCCAACGGGTTGTCTAGCCTTCGGTGTTTATTAAACATTTAGGTTTTTGGTCCTACTCGAAGTGGAGAGTTAATCAAAAAGGTTAGGAATTGGAAAATAAATCCAAACTCCACAGAAGACACGTTTTGCCAACCGCATTGGTATCATTTATACAAATAATCCTAATCTGTACAATTTCCGGTGTTATAGGGTAACAAACGTTGTACAAATTCGAATATATTAGTTAGAAGACAAATTTCTATTGCAATTTATGAGTTCTAAGTATATTTCGATTTGTTTTGACAATTCTAAACGTCTTGACGTAGGTACTTGCGATATGCAGAATCGACTAATTGGGCGAAAAGGAAACGATTCAGCGATTGCGTATATTTTCCATGTTCTGAAGTTCTACGTTTGGAAATTCAAGGAGTTCGTACAAAAATTTCAGTCTGTAGCGTTACTCTTTTATGTTTTCTTTAATTTTAAAGTATTAGCATGTGAATGAACCAAAATATGCTGCCAATTTTTGGATCTACGTCATTATTTTGAACATTTTTATAGTTTAATGAAATTTGAAAGTTTTTTTATAATTTATTTTAACGTTTAAATGACTTGATTTTATTCAAGACCAGTGTAAATAACCAAAAACTAACTACTTTCTGTTATTTCAATCGTGTATTACTGGTTGCCTGCCACTTAAATTTCAGCGAAATTGACACTTCAAAAACACCTGTCTTAAAAAAAGCACCGAAGTCAAAATTGTCAAAATGTCGAAATTACAATAATCCAACCATTATGTCAACCTAACGATACATAACCATTCCCCTACTACGACACCCAGTATACCTGCGTCCTTGGCAATCCATGTCTGCGCATGGCCGGAAACAGCTGTTTAGCTGTCAGATGCTACAAGCACGTCGTCGTGTGGTGTGCTGATGGGCATCAAAACAAAGGTATATGTAAATATTTCGTGTTGTAACGTGTAAGGGGCACAATGCCTTGGTATCAGAACATTATACCAGAACCAGTGAAGAAAAAGTGCTACATATATCTCCTCCAGAGGTACATGGGCCAATACTTCGAGCGAAAACTAGACCCCAGTCAGCTTTCAGTGGACTTACTCAACGGCACTTGTTTCCTAAGGGAGATCCGCCTGGATGTGCAGGTAAGGGGGCTGTTTTCCCAGCACGCAAGTTGACACTCGTCGTGGGGCTTTCACGCGTGTTCTACGCACTTGTGTCCGTCAAAATGCCCACTCCAAAAGCTAATGCGTCGTTGTTTTTCCACTTAAATCGAGCTTTCAAATTAAGTGTTTATGCGGAAGACCAAACATGCGCCATAACAACAATCACCTCTTGCAAAAGATTGCTAAAATTTTGTAATACGTCTCGTTGGGGCTTTCATGTTTCCTTTGTTGTCATGGGGAAAGGCGATTTGTGTAACGTACTGCCGTCACAGGCTAATAATACGCAGACAAAGTTGCCAGTTATCACCTCATTATCATTTAAACTAACACGACTTTGTTTAAAATTGATCGGTTTGGGAAATTTTGTGCTTGTTCGCGAGTTCTATGATCAAGGGGTTTGTTTAGAAATTTCTACAGAACCCCCTTTTGTGGCCATAAAAACTACCTGGTCCCGACCTTGACGGATGAGCCTGTGGCCTGTGGGACGTTCACCTCGGTGTACAATAAGATTGTCGTCCCGAGATAAGTTGTGTTTACCTGGTGCTCGTAAAGTGCCTCGTATGGAACCGAAATGGCAAATTTTACAATAAATCATTGCTATGCAATGCTAGGAAAACAATGGGTGAATCGTTCATGCCTAGATACGTTCACTTGTATTGTTTCTTGAAACGACAATGTTGTCATGAGTTTAATTTTCGTTACATTTGGTATGGTTGGAGTAGTTTTGATTGTACTATATGAACAGGAACAACATTTCGGTGTTTTCCTATTTTTAGAGACCGAAATTTATTAAGTTCTAAATGCAGAATACGTCTAGTCCTATTTTTACGAATTTTTCTTCAAATGTTAAAAATTGCTTTAGGGAGATGTGTTTTATTTTAAACATTATTTTTTAAAGTTACATTAATTTACTTACCTTATTTTGATTTAAACGGCATTTAAAAAAGGCCGTAATATGCATTATTTTCGTAATGTGAAAAGAAAATACAAGAATGATTTAAATCAATAATTTTTTAAACAGTCCCTTGATGTAAATCGCGATTTAAACCAGGCCAACCCTGTTTAAAATCGTTTATTTGACGTATCACACTCGTAAAAATGATACAGCTACAGGCCTGGACTTTTTTTTCAAACACGCGGTATGTTTTAAACAAATTTAAATACATGTCGCCCGCAAAAAACCACTCGGCCATAAAATGTGTTTGCGAGTACTCGCGTTCTCCGCCTCAACTAGTGTTTTGGCTCCACAATATTATTCATATTCGGGAAAATAAGTTTTCTGGCCATATATCTCAAATAACTATTATTGATTAATTTAAAAACGACTCACCACCTTTAAAATTTGTTTATTTATCCCCTACAAAAAATTAAATATGTCGTAGCAAAAAATTGTTAAATAAATACACCTATTTGTTAGAAAATGTGTTTCGAGATGTAACACTGTTTGCATTGTTGTGTTTTTATAATTATTTGTACACGACCTTTAAAATCAATACATTTTATTGATCTTAGCTAGAAATAGTTTATCTATTTTTCGCAAAATTCTGTGAATACTATTATTTTTTTTATTTTAGTGTGTTTCCTTTGTTGTGGGGTGAGGCGATTTGTGTAACGTACTGATTATCACAGGCCAATAAATACTCAGCCAAAGTTTCCACTTACCACTTCACTATCATAAACTAACATGAGTTTTTTTAAAACTGATTGGCTTGGGAGATCGTTCGATCGTTGGGTTTTTCGAGAGTTCTGGGACGCGAGGATTCCTTTTAGTCATTTCCACAGAACCCCCTTTTGTGGCCATAAAATCTACCTGTTCCCGACCTTGAAGGATGAGCCTGTGGGATGTTCACCTCGGTGTACAATGTAAATGTCCTCAGATTAATTTTGTTTTCTTGATGCTCATAAAATGCCCCGTTCCGAACAGAAATGGTGAATTTTACCATAAATCGCTATTCAATGCTAGCAAAACAATGGGGTAATCATTCATGCTTCGATTACGTTCATTTATTTATTCCTTGAAACGACACCATTGTCATAACTTTAATTTTCGTTAATTTGAGGATCTCGTTGGAGTTGTGATTGCCCTGTACGAGTAGGAAATACGTATCTGTGGCTAGTTTTTCTATTTTTAGAGACCGAAATTTATAAGTTCTAAATGCAGAATACGTCTAGTCCTATTTTTACGAAGTTTTCTCCAAATGTGAAAATTGCTTTAAGCAGATGTGTTTTATTTTAAACTTTTTTTTTAAGTTACATAGATTTACGGTCTATTGATAGTGCTACCGTTGTGAATCACTTGTTGGTTTATTTATGTGATGCTAATGGTTTTACCTTTTTTGTAATACGATATGTTTGTTTCAATGTCGATGGAAAGCTATTTTTAGTTATTTATAACAGTGGAAGGTATGTTGCATATTTCTAAAGACGTCCGTTTTTTGCACTCTTAAAGCATATTTTCTATTTGTGTTTATTAAAGCAATACAGGGTATTTGGCTTCAACTGTCATAGACATATCTTTCACAAATGAATAAACGGCCTCCTCGTCATAACTTGTCGATTTCCTTTACCACATATTTGGTATGGTATCATTCTCTGTGCACCCTCTTTAATAAAATGCGAATCATGTTTGAACAAAAACATTTAAAACATTTTTTTTAATTTCGTGATAAATTGTCTTTGAATTGTTGAGAGCCACTAGCGATTGCACATCATTGTGATAATTAATTATTATTAGTCATGACTTTTTGAAATTGGTGCGTTAATATTAAAACTGCGAGTCTATTTTTTCTATGAATAAAAAAATTTTTCATTTCTGAATTTTTATCTAGTACGTATCAGTCACTACTCGTGGTTCCATTTGACGAGCTAATTTCATGTTCGAAAAAAGGAGATTTATCATTTAAGTTAGAAAATATCTCAAGATAAGCAAAATTTCTTCAGTCTACGGGTTCCTGTCATTTTTGTAATTCCCGGATTAAATTCTAGGACTCAATTTTTACAATTTATTTCTGCGACTGTTATTTCACACTGCCGTCAGTTCCACGCGATTGGAAATATGTGGGACGAACTAATTGTGTTCATATTCTGTACTTATATGGATTAACGTAACAAGCCACTCTCCCACTTAAATTAAGTAGATTTGAAAATTCTTAGCCAGGATAAGTTCCATTAAAAAAAAACTTTTTACTCAGTCATATGAGAGTTCTTTTCACACAGCAATACTAGGTTCGAGAAAATTCTTAGCAGGGGCATGATTTGTCGTTATCGACCCATCTTAAGTAACAGGCAGTGCAGCAAGGAACGACAACCGAGTATTTATTGCTCATTTTCGCGGGATTTTGTAGGAAATAAATTCGATAATAGAGAGGTATAAAATAAAATCTCTTTAGCAACATCATGTTTCGTATTTTAAATAAAACTACCCTTTCATGACTATTTTGATAACTTTTTTTGAAGACATTAAGTGAAATTTACAACAGGGATTGTATTATAATATTTTCAACTAAATTTGAGTTTGAAATAATTTCCAAATTTTCGTAAATTACCTTATTTGAGTCTCGTTGAAAAGAACTTTTTGCAGTCATGACCCTTTTTAATGAATTTCACGCACGTAGAAGGGTGCGGGAAGTTGAATTTCGCGCACGCGTGCTTTTTGCTTTCTATTGCCATGGTAATCTTACAGTAGCTTAGAAGCATCAACGTGGTGACATGTTTACAGCGCTGTTATTTCCGTTGTTCCATTGTACACGACACGTAGATCTAAGGGGTTTTCCTGATTTGTAAAACCACTGAATGTGTAGAATATTTTGTTTCCCAGATTTTTATGATCTTGTTTTATAGCTTTTTCGTGGGGAGTGATTTTTTTTCTTTTTAGGTTTGTTTAGAAAGCTTGTAACCAAGGCCTGTCGCGAAAAATAGGCTACCGACTTTGACGTCGTGTCGTTTGTTATTGTGATAAGATAATATTATGGTTAAATAAAGTGTTTTTTTTTTTTTAACTAAAAACGGTAACTTGCATATTATCGGATTTTAGAACAAGCAAATGTATAATTAACAAGAGAACGTAAACTCCTATTTAGCATAGAAATACTTCAGACCTGAGCAGTATGCATAATTTCAGGTGATTAATTTGCATTTAATAGTGTAATCAGGATAACCCTAGTTCTTAACAAACTATTAAAAAACGTTTAAACAAATCATCGATCTAGGCATGTACTCGTTTATTAAAAATATGATAGTTGTAGTCTTTATTTCCATTTTGTCTTGTTTTTGTTTTTTGTTTTTATTTTTGGTTTTATTTTGTCTACAGAGAATATTCATCATGATTAGTGTATGCACAAAATTAATCGTCCTTATGAACATTCTACAGCCGTGTTTATATGAAAGTAATAATTTTAAGCAGCTGTTACACACTTAAGCTGTTGTTATCTTAAAGAAAATTAGGCGACAGCTGCAAGTCTTGCTCGTAGCTTCGCGTGTCGTACAAAGAAAGCGTCAAAAAAGACTATTAATTTTTTACACAGGGCTAAGATTTAGACTGCTATTCAATTTTGAGGCAACCAGCTTATTTAAAAATGAACCATTAATAGACGTAACACTGCTGTGTATCCGCTTATCAGAATGACTAACTATGTATACACGTTCCAAATGTTTTTATTTTTGCGCTGTTTGTTTTTTTTATGTCAGGAAGAAAATAATAAAATGATGCAATTCACCCAAAAATCTAAATTCTTCATAGCACCATGACACCTCTGAAGGTTAACATTAACAGTAATGTCAAGTCCACCGAATTAATAATAAACAAGGTCGCCGTATATTTCATAATACGACGCAATTGTAGAAAGCAGTGCTTTTTCTTGCTATTATACCGTTGTTATTTTTTCACAGTCCCTAAACGATCTAGCTGAGAAGCAAAACTGGCCTTTGGAATTCGTCGATGGTTTCATCGAGAACTTGTTCATATCAGTACCATGGACCTCCTTACTCACAGACTCCAGCTTCATCGAAGTCACAAATTTGAGGCTCACAATGCAACCGAAACAACGAAACGAATCTGGTTAGTGGATGCAACCTTCCTAAATACATACATTATTAATTGCATGCGAATCACAAAGCAGATTGCGAAATGTGTTTGTGCTTTGTTTCCTTCATTGAATGATTGCTTATGCATAAAGGTTTATGGACGGCCTGCGCAATTACTTAGTTCCATTGTTCACCGCATGGCGCCACATTGAGGCAGAACTGTCAACTTAGAAACTTTGACAAATTTTACAGCATAGATATTTGGTATTTTTAGGTAGTTATTCCCTATTCGTGTACGGGTGTAAAACTTTGAGTTTACTAGATGTTATGCTAACTGATAATAATAAAAAAAATGATATATAAATATTAGTTCAAGAGCAATACGATATAACATCTCCCAGCAGAAATGGAATCTTTGGCAAAACTTTTGTACCGATGTTTTATTTGATGACACGCAACACGATATAGTGGCAGGAACTTACGAAGTTTTTGAGCAGATCGGTGTAAAGCTGCTCTATATTAATCAGAAATACCATAAGCCCCCGAATTCATTTTTCGGCGCAACTTTTTTTTAATTGCATATATGTAAAGGAAGAAAGAATGGTTTCATGGAATAAAGGGGCAGAATGTGTTGGAGGCTATCTTTCCGGGCTTATGAATTGTTTGTTCATGGTTTCCTGTTAGGCTTGATTGACAGTCAGCTGTAAATCGACTATTCCACAGGCATGCAATACAACAGAGTATTGTAAAACATCTGTGCATACCCTCTGAGGTTACCAGATCTCCACAGATGTTGCATTGAAATATATTGTATTGATTTCCCTTTGGCAAAACTTTTTGTTATCTTTTAATGGACCGAAGAACATTTGCGATTTGAAGAAAGAGTATTTTTTCCACTCTTCAGTAACGAGTTATTAATGGATTAGGTTGTATTCATTTTTAAAAGAAATCATTTATAAAAACTTTGTCTATGTCCTTTCAAAATATTACTCGTTACTTTATATTGTTAATTTTGTCAATAATATACTTACCGTCCTGTGACCAGCTGCGGTTAAAGAATCATTGTCATATTCCTATTCATTTTCTAAGTTAGGAGACGTAGATAAAGACTTCACTAGGTACACGGAAGGAAAACGGGATTAACTTTCTTATTTGTGTTGTATAGGTTTTCCACAAAAACCAAACATAAATTCAGTGTGTTCTGATATAAAGTTTAGGTTAGAACACTGATTTTGGCGTAAAGAAATAAAATGTACTAAAATGTAATAGTCCTGGCAACAACATTTTCAAATGAAAAATCTGTAGCATCAACTATCATTTCTATGTTGCATCATATGTCATACATTTTACAGTTGCAAAATGTACAGAATATAACAAAGTGATTAAATTCTTCTTTGCTTGATGATTTCTCATTCTCGACTAGTCATACAAAACCGGTTAAACGTTTTAGGTGACTAAGTTAAAAAAAAAGTACAATAGAATTTCCATATAGCGAATATCCATTTTAGATTTTTTTAACGAAGGTTTATTTTGCGAAATAAATAGTGTCGAACAACTTTTGTCATTACCCAGTTTTTTTAACGTAACGCATGGTGTAACTTTTAATGTTATTGAAATAAAAGAATAGATATTTTGTTGTTAGGTTGAATGGTACCAAAAAAATTACGTTTAAATTCGTGGAACGGGGTCAATAACATTACTAACCTTATAAAAAAGAGAAAATAATCTGTGTACCCACGATTTTGTTCAAACGTTATCCAGTTTAAGGAAGTTTATATTTAGCGAAATGTTTGAGTTTGTAGACTCCAGCAAATAAAATATACCCATTTAATGAATAAAAGTAACGTCTTCCCAGTGAGTGTTAGCCGAATTTAATCGCAAAATTGAGTTGCTGGGTTTTATGGGTGGAATTGCAAAAATTTGCGACATTTTTTGTGGGTATGGGTATATCAAGATATTAATTTATACTTCTAGTTGATTTGTTTTTTATACATATCACTTTATAATTATCGTAATCGATAAAAAATGATAAAGAGAAAAAATATGTCACTTGTTTATCACACTTTTGTCAATATTAACTTAGTAATTAAATTTTTTTAATTGTGCTGTGGCAAAGATAACGCTGCAGAGTTTTCCATGGCTTGATTTTTTGACGAAAAAAAAATGAATGAAGTGTCCTAACCTGCATACTTCCACACAACCTTGGTGTTGGTCGATAATACGTCAAGGAAACTAATAATTTTTAAAATGTTTGCATATACACATTTTACTTTAGTTGGGTTTGAAATTGTGAATAATACAAAAGTAGGTCTTCATTTTCCATCTGTCTGTCGTCTTTTAGCGATTTTCTTTTCAATTTCAAATATAAAATATCTACTTACCGACACGAAGTGTAGGTCTTGGTTTTTATACCTAGGCGTGAAAAAGCCATGTACAACATGTACATCAAGACCAGCGTAAATTTCACAATTTCGTGCATAAAAACGAAAAATATTAACTCCATTAAGAAAATTATTACACGTTTTTACTGAAACATATTACGTGTGATCATAGTGTTTTTTCAGCCGAATTTAGTCCAATTAAAAAGATTACGTCACTCATTAAATGTACATCGGCAGGCAAGGATTTTGTCAAGAATCTAAAATTTGAAAAGGAGCAAATTCTGTAAAAAAATTATTGTCAAATTACCTTTTTAGCAGTCTAGCCAATGTACGATTGCCAATCTGATTGTACGAAATTCACTAAAAGCACCAAAGTCAATATGAAAACATAATTGCCGTTGGTAAGAGGTTCGTTTCTAAGGTGTTTTTCTATTAATAAATGCAGTAAATTGTAACTTGTGTTCTAATAATCAAATAAATATCATTCATTAGAATATTGATATGACAAGTATAATGATACATATAGAGCAATACAGTGAAAATGTAGTCTTTCAAATCTACTAAGCGCCATTGATTTCCCGTCAAATGGATTGATTGACGGTTTACAAAGTCTCTTCAGTGAAATGACAAAAACAAATCTGGTATGATATCTGTAATTAAGATTCTAAAATATATTGGGAAACTTACTCATAACGTCTACAGATGTCAGTAAACCATTAATAAATTGTAATTAAATTACCTTTGTGCTGCCAATCATTAGAAGTAATATAAAGTTTATTTATTTGAACTGCAACAAAATACATGTATCCACCAACCATGATGTAACCTGCTGCAAACTATTTTTTTCTTTTCTTTCAAAAAACTGGAACGTATTTTTTTACCCAAAGATTAATAACAGGATAACTTGTCACTATTTAAAATTGTAGTTTTTTTATAAGCCACGACGAAGCGACATCCATCTTTCGAAATCTAGAGCAGTAATTAACGCGGACAACGATTTTTTCAGTTCAATTTATATACTAAGCAGTTGCCATTACATGGGCGTTATACTACAAAATATGTCAAGGAAGTAACTTCTTTCCACTATACCCTACAGCATGATCAACAAATAGTGTTTCATTTGGTATGAACAAATTTTCTAATTGAAGTCAAAATTTGTTATTGATTATTGATGGTGTGGCGGTTGTAGGCCCAAAAAATGGTGGTTTATTCTTGTGATGCAATTCAACCTGGTGAATCGCGTCGTCGGTTCGAAGGACCAGGTCACAATGGGTGACCAACTTGTAAGCCACAATGGATGGCCCTGGTTACTTGTAGGTCACAATGGGTGACACTCTGGACTAAATGTGGTTCAGAGCAACTACAAAACCCGTCTGTACTTTTACCGTTTATTTCTCGAACCTAACTCGTACAGAACTAAACTATTTACAAATTGAGTGGAAGAGGGTAGTTGTGTCCCCCTCCCTTCCGTCGTAGTTGCACGGCGGGCTTCTCCATTGGCCCGAACAATTATTGTTATTAAAATGTCATAATCTAATTTCTTAAGTGCCTAAAAATGACGTAACGCCAAATATTTGGATCAGGTTCGGCAACAGCACCGCAAGAAAATTTTTCAAAATTGTTCATTCTGTTGTTAATTCAAACAGTATTTGTTGGTCACGTTGTACCATATTGTACTCTTTTAAAAATCTTGGAATTTAAAAAACTAAACTCAATTTTCATGCATAGTTTAATTTTCCCATTCTGAAGAAGTATTTGTTTGCTTCTTCTATCTTTGCCCATTTTTTGTCGTTTTCTATTTTTCCTTTCTTGTTGTTTCACATCTATGTTTATATTTTACATATACATGGTGAACATTTTTATTAGACAGTCTATTGAACCCATATTGCAGATTAAACAAAGATTCTTACATTAAAAATTACCGTTATACGTACATGGGAAACCAAACAGATAAAGTATAAACAATAGAAAAACCCTACGGTAATGTAATTATAGATCAAATTAAAGTTAATTTCAAGGTACAGTTGTCACTTACTCTCACAAAAAAAGTTGCCTGTAAATCTTCCAAGAGTGGCGTCATCAACCGCACATAAAATCCAGCTCATTTTTACACTTACATAGGTGTTGCACGCCCTGCATCACTCACAGCTACCCATGCTACCGCTTCATCATCAGTGTTAAGACCATGTTGTTAAGCGTATTTTGCAGCAACTTCGATGTTCGAATCCATGTGGACATCCATGACCAGCTCGTTGCATTTAGCAGAAGAATGCGCAAAACAAACTCTAGGAAGTTCGCCCATTGGCGGCCAATCGTACGAGGGCTTAGAACTCTTCGCCCAAACCATCGACTCAAGTAATACGCGCACCAACGCAAATCCGTTACAAATTTAACATCCAATTTTTAGTTCTGAGCCGCATCAAAGTCAGATTCGTAAACACAGTCTTTCAGTTGGAGCATCTTCCCAAAGGTAGTCCGATGGGTGTCGGGCTAGTTTTCAACATCGATGAGTAAGTTCGCGATTTTTTTTTTGGCGTAAAAAAATGTGTGTCGTTTTTAGAATCACTTACGCGGACGAGTCATCCAGCGACCCCCCGAAAGAAGAAGCCACCGATCTTTCGAAGCAGGACGAGAAAAAGGCGTATCTAGAGCAGTCGTACACTGCAAGATCTACACGGTTAGAGGGCATTACCGTATCGACCGTCGAGTTTTCGAGTAAGGCACGAACGGTCTCCCAGTCCGCGATGTCGGAGTCTAGCTGCTTCGATAAAGAGGATTCTTTCGCTAGCATTATTGAAAGGTCGAGTGCCAGCGAAGGAAACGATGTGAAGCCGTCGTTCAAATTAGGGACGGATCAAGACCAATATGGGTCGAGCGATGAGCGAAATGTCATCATGTTTGGACAATTCGGCGGGAAAGTGGAGGTATTCTTATAGCGCTTTTGTAAAAAAGTTTTTTTTTCGATTTATTAATTCAACCCTTCCATGGTGATGTTATTTTGTGTTAATTTAGACTTGCAAATAAACCAAACTGCGATTGCACATATGGGTACTACAGGTACTGAGCTAATCAAGAAAGTAACGTCAGTATGGGATAACAAAATTGTTTTTTTTTTTGCACTTACTGCTGCTTGTTAAACTCGTCTAATTTCATTACAATTTTTTAACGTCGCATGGTCTCGAGTGCCAGTTTTTATTTTACGTAACATGCTGCGCTGGTATTGTTGTCGCATTGTAACTATAGCCGAAGAAACTGATTCCAAGGGTCAATTATAGATATAAAAACGTGAATTTATACAACGCCTTTTTTCATGAAGACCACTTTAATGATAAAAACAAACAGGTTGTCGTGAGACTCAAACGTACCGAAGATTTGGAGGGCCCGAAAGTATCCATCGAAATGGACACAGCGCCCCTGTTGCTCTTCTTATCACCCCGACAACTACACTTACTCTTTGAACTAGCAACTGGATTGGCCAGTCCCGATACTGAAGACCACAGGTTCAAACCATCCTCATCCAGTATATCTTTTCTTACTTACTTTTTGCAGCAACGTACTCACCACGAAATACGCAGGTAAACCAATGTCCAGCACCGACTACGAGCGAATCGAAAGAGATCTCCAGCAACAATTAGCAAATCCGATACCAAATTTCCAGCTCGGGTTTCCGGGTGGGCATGGATGGGCAACTGGAGCGTTAGGTTGTCGCTGTTACCAATCCTTAAACTTTTGATCATTCGAAATTTTTAGATGGTAGCGACATCGACGAAAATTTCATGCCTCTTGGAAAATACTCTGGTGGTTTATATGAGAGCGCAGTATCTGTTGCTAGTACGATGGAATCTAGTTTTAGTTCTAGTATGATGAGTACGAGTACGGAGGTTACCAACCGGTCTCGCAAAAAAAGTGTGTGTTATATATGTTGTCACAAAGGGAATAATATTTTTGCTTTTAGTGAACAAGATTGACACGGATCCCACCGCGGAAATATCTCGGTTCGAGATACATTCGGCTTCGGTAGCCGTTGTTTTGTTACACGAAGATTTGTTGACTGAATCCTTAGGAGCCAAAACTAGTTTAGTACCTTCCAGCGTTAAGCAAATGCAAGCGACTGTCAGCAAGTTTTTTGACAAGTCTTCTGCTGTTTTTCTAGCTAAAGATTTTAAGGCTGCTAATGCCGCATTAGATGATGCTTGCCAATTAAACCACTTAAGGTATGTTAGATCTTCGTGTTGGCCAAATTAGTTATTATTATTGTTATTTAAGATTATTAGCATCGCCACTTCATTTAGAGGGCGACGAAAAGACAACCAGCACCGCTTTTTCGATTAGTGGCCACCTGGAAGCCACAAGCTTAGAATTAAGTGAATGTCTTTACCAGAACAGTGATAGTATACAACACGTACCGCTTCTTACATTTAGTGACATTAAATCCGCACAGTTCGAAAGTCCTGCTGCCACTGCCAAACCTAGCCTTAAGTTAATTTTTAAACATTTAGAGAAAACGACGAAGAGTAGCAAAACAGGACCCAAGACTGATCTCTTGTGAGTTAAGTAACTTAAGACACACCCATAGACTGACTTTTTTTTTAGATTTGCGCTGAATAAGTGCACCGTGGAATTGGACATTACGATTGTAGACCGAATCTCCGCGCTTTTGAATCCTCAACAAATTTGCGTTGTTGCAAAACCTAGTAATCCGTGGGCAGCAGACGTAACCTCCCAATTAGCAAGCGACAATGAGTCTAAAATTGACGTGCGAGTGACGTCACCAGTAATGACCCTAAAGCTTCGGTTTCCTATACCCGATTTTCGACCGCCCCATGACATGAATAAAACTCCGTGGTGGAAACGTCACGTGCGACCAGACTTCCTCTCGTTTGTTTTGACCGGGATGTCGTTCCAAACCTGTTTACTGACGAACCAGACAGTGCAAGATTATACGTTAAAGTGCAAAAGTTTGAACGTTGCGTACCAAGAAGACGCTAATTCTGACCCCGTGCCGGTGGGTAAGGCGGGATATGAGGATAAAGCGATGACTTCACTGCAGGAAATTATCACAGACTGCAAGTAAGTGTTTAATTCAGTTGAAACCATATTTTTATGTATGGCGTCTAAGCGAGCAACGCATCCTGGTGTCACCAGGTCTTCATTTTGAACTGTAATGTCACCATTTCGGTTGTGGAGGTCTACGATGTCGCCGTTTGCGATGGCTGTTTTACTGCCCAAAGTTGTAAGTTGAAATAACATTGAAGATGCGATTCCTTAAACGAATTACAAAGTTAATTTTTATTCGTGAAATAATACAACAACGAGAATTTGTTGCTTACCAAAGAAAATTGCTACAATAGTCCAAAGCATGAGGAAGAACGGAAATATTTTTAATAGTAATTCTAATTTTAAGGTAGCAGCATTTATTGAAGTGCAGTAAATCAAAGAACTTGTTTTTGTTTAACAAGTTTAATCAAATTAATTAAGGTGGGACTTTACTTGATAAGTTTGACATTATTTTTGACTAGAGAACAGATTGTATGTACATATTCCTTAGGACTACGTTACGTAGAAAGGAATTCATAAGAGATTCGTCGTCAAATCTTAAAATAGTGTTACGTTAATCGGTAATAAAAAAAACGGTGTGGGTAAAACTCAACAATGTATTCCTTAGTAATACAAATTTATACGATTAACTACAATGCAAATAATTCCGAGTTGACTTAAGGCCCGACGGTGGTCTTTATTTAAACCCGTACGTTCCTTTCTAGATATTTCGCGATCGAGGTTGTTATGGAGTATCTATTGCAACTTCCGCTTCCAGGCTTTTCTTTATTCGAGCGCCGCGATCGGTGATGATCTTGTTCAACAAAATAAATCATTTTCACAGTCTTCGCTTCCTAGCACAAAAACAAAATTTTCGTACGCAAGCACCAAGAATTTTGAAAACGACTATTCGGTTGTTTTGAGCTTGAATTAAGGTGATGTTATCCGTTTAGTTTTCAGTGAATTTACAGTAGATTTTGTTTCACAAACACTAGACAACTAGTTGGAAACTGAACCCATTTTTTTTTTTACAATATCTTTGATATGCTATTAGTGTCCGGAACTTATAAAATTGGAGAAAAAATGACCTGTTTTGCTCTAATAAAATCGCAAATATGCTCAAAATCACACTAATATTAGGTCCGACTGTGCCGACCATAGTTATAAAATTCACATTAAAGTAAGTCATGGACATTCTTTGAAGTGTTTACTATGATATTTCAAAAAAAATAAAAAATTCGCGATTTATAAAACTTCATAATTTTGATTTAAAACTGATCATGTTTGAAGCTTTATTTTATTCGTTCCATTTGCTGTCTCTTGCTGCGGTCTCTCTCGGATTGGGGTATAACACCCACCGAACGTTCTTGGACCGATGGGATAATTTATTACTTCCGACATCTTTTCGGTGACAAATTTAATCTTTGCATAAATTTACTTCAGTGTAGTTAGTGAACTCGTTGTGACCATTGAAATATATAAAGAGTAAATTTTGAAATGGGACGAAAGTCGAAGATTCCACTTTCAAAGCCACGAAAGTCGAAAAAACTTTTATCAGAATTATTATGTCAAAAACCTACTAAAACTACAAACAAAAAATGCAGTTTAATCATCATTTGATTAGTTTTACTATTATTATGCTTTTATTTCCTAATTTCTGTACATATAAATATTATTGTTTTTTAGACCCGTCGCTGTTTTTATACACTTACATAAAGTGTAAGTCAATGTTACTAATAGAAATTTTATTATTGTTACTTTTTATAATCACCAATCCTATTGCTTCTCGGCTTTTTGTCAAAGATCAAAGTGTATTACCTGAAAGAATTTTATTTTGTTGAATAAAAGATTACCATAAACCTTATAATTAACCGGATAACCATTCAGTATACACAGGTAGTTTCTATACCTCTTTAGTTTGAACTTAGCCGATACTAACCAGCTAGGGAACCAGTTATAATTGAAATATGTAATCCAAATAATTGAAGTACTTAGTTTTAAGTAAAACAATTGGGTATATTTATAAATACGCATAAATAAAAACGAAACAAATTATTGGCCTCTAGTTTATTTTATAATTTGCATTACATCATGACATATAGGTACGTACTGATGCACAAATTGGTGATTTTCTCGTTGCATTTCAGTATAGGGACACACTCAGTAGAACCATTTGGACACTTAAAATTGATTTTTTCTTCAAACGTCAGAAATACGGGTCATTGCATACCTCAATTGATAAATACAAAGTCCTACTTCATTGCCTTGACAGGAAAAAAAATTTCTGCTTAGGCTGCAAAAATTTTTTGCTGCCGCTGAATCAACCAATGAAATTTAAGCCTAGCCGTCTTATGTGTTGATGTTGATGTTCTCACTGTTACTAGTGTTTTGTGCTGCCAATGTCAATCACAGACAACTGTCATATGTCATTTGTCACAATTCAGTCGGTCAGAGCCGAAGATTCGAATTATAACTGTACAAACGTACAGATTCGCCACGAAAAGTCTCATTTTTGCTCCTTATAAAACAATATACTATTATTTTACTTGCCACAAATCTTTTTAAGTGTTGCGTAAGTGATTGTTTTGTGTCCGAAAAATAACTGCATTTATAATTATTCGGCTGACTGCTTTTTTTGTTGTAAATCAATCAGTTTCCCAATTAGATTATAATTGTTTGGTCTTACTATTTGTTGTCTTAATTTTTCGAAGTTCATTTTTGTACACATTCAGATTTTTATTTCTTATTAATTTCTTGTGGTCATTTTTATAAATTCGTATATGAAAATTGAACTGTTGACGAACGAAAATCGAACAATAATACACGACAAGCGGGTGCCGAACTGTTACCAGAGATTATGGGTGTCATAAATTACACCCCAGCTTTCCTGAGTTTCAACCAGCTTACCAGTACTTCTCGTCTTTATTTTTCTACACGCAAATTTCTTGTGAAGACAATAACACGGCAAAATTAAAAATCCGACAGTTTTCATTTAGCAAACATCCCCTTAACGAGAATTACTGTAATTCACACTTGAAAAACGTTAAAACAATAAAAACGACGACTTTAAATGACAGGTTACAAATGACATTAATAACAACTGAGAACTGTCATAATGATGCATAATCTACAGCCGTGTGCATAATATACTGTATAAACATAAACAGTCAAAGTTAAACAAGTTCTAGGAAGTAGAAATTAAGAATACATGGTTTCCCCGCATTTGTGTGGACTGTGCTCACATGGAATTTACACCCTCGCAGCGCAGGGGCTGACGGGGTGTGATTTACCCCACTGGAGCGAGGGAAGTTCTGTCGAATAAACTTCGACCAGTTATTTTTAACTTTGAAAATATGAAAGTAAATATGGGCTTAACCCGTATGTTCAGATGGTTCAGTGTTAAAAAACACCCATCAATGCATTGGTATTACGTAACCAACGTAACGCCAAAAATACGCACTTGATTTTGTAGAAGAAATTACAAAGTGATTTGAAGGAAGTTAAAGAAAACATTGGGTTTTCTTAACACCTTAAGCGCTGAGCTGACAATATGGTCTATGTGCTGATTAAAACTTGCTGCAAAACGAAAGGGTTAACATCACGTAACTGCGCATAGTGTCAATTTATTTCGGTCGAGTCCACTCTTCGTTCGAGGGGCAGAACGTCTTTGCAGTGGCGTGCACCAAACCCAGAATATATTATTTGTGCCACATTTAATAAATAATAGTAATAATTTTAGGAATATGATTATACGATTTTGATTTTCTTCAATCTTTGAAATTCACAATGATTTTTTGAAAGTACATAATATTTACTGCAACTACGTAACCTTTTTATGCTACAATCATTCTGCCACTGTGGCCTAAAAGCCACGCATCATAAGCCCCGCCCCTGGCCTCTTTCGTTCTGCATTTGACTTTAAAAAATATAACTCCAAGATCCGCAGTAGTACACAATTGTCAGCCATATAATTAAAAATGATAAAAACTAATTTTGCGAGAAAATGATACCATGCAACATTTATATATATACATAGTACTAAATTATAGTATTTATAATATCGTTTAGATCATCTCCTAAATAATGATAAAAACTAATTTTGCGAGAAAATGATACGATGCAACATTTTTTTTATACAGGGTGTTATTGAAAGGTACGTACAACAAAATTGACAGTTCTTCGCGGAGTCTAAGAAGTCTGAAAAACTTATTTTGTGTTATCAAAATTTTAAGAGAAAAATTAACCCTTATCCAATCTTTTTAGACGCTACTGAATGATAAATAGGTAAAATTAATTTATTTTAGTAAATCCTAACAACTGTAACAATAATAAAAAGTAACAGACCCTTTTGTTGCTATAGAAACGAAAGATGACCTTTTTATCAAAGGCGTATAACGAATTTGGACATAAATTTTAATAATTTTTATCTCTAAAAGGAGAACACTTTTACCTGAACTTGTTTTTACTTTTAGCACCCATACTTCGAAACCAATTGCCGATTTTATTTTGTACGTACCTTTCAATAACACGCTGTATACAGGGTTATTCAGCTAAGATGACCCATATGTGTTTTTAAAACAGGCAACCCATAATACCGATTCCACTTGAGCCTGGATTACAAAAAAATGTTTCAAAACTGAATGGTATCAAAGTTTGCTTATATAAGTGTATAGAAACGTCAGTGTCAGAAAAATGCCTATGCGTTCTTACGATAATAACGAGAAAACCGACACGTTTGCCGAATCTAAAAAGAGATTTTTGTGGGCAAATTGTCTTTTTTTTATTGCCTGGTAGGTGAACAAAACACATTCAATAAATTTAAGACTGTCATGCAACTGTAATAAATTGCTGACTTTGGTTTCAACAAAACACACTCAATAAAATTGGGATTAATTTGCATTTGGTTTCTTATAAAAATTCAATCTTTGTGGTTGGTTTGTGGGTCGAAGTGCATGCTCTAGGTGCAGATGGTTAAACCAGTTAGGGTGTAATTTATTTATTTGTCTAGCAATAGCAATTTGTCTCATAACTCCCATATGAGGATTCTCATTAACTTGTGCAAGAAGTTATATTTCATTTTCCAAGCTAGTCGCAGTCTGGTTCCGTTTCCTCTTGTTAGTAGGCCACTTTCTTACGCAACGAATTTTCTAGCCTCTAAATTTTGGGTGTTGGGGTCACACGGTCGGGGTATCTTCGGGCACACAATTGTGGTGTACGCCTAGCCTTTTTGTGTCATTCTCCATAACGTGTCCATAACTAAGGATCATGTCGGTTTTCTCGTTATTGAATGTATAGGCGTTTTTCTGACACTGACCAACGTCAACACTGACGTTTCTATACATTTAGCAAACTTTGATACAATTTAATTTTGAAACATTTTTTGTAATCCAGATTCAGGTAGAATTGGTATTTTGTGTTGCCTATTTTAAAAACATAAATAGGTCATCTCAGCTGAATAACCCTGTATACATAGTACTAAATTATAGTATTTATAATATCGTTTAGATCATCTCCTAAAAGTTGGTAGTCATGAAAATTCCTAATAATCCTATAGATTTATACATCCACAAATAGGTCATATAGAGAATGAGTTATGATATCAGTAATGTCATTGACGTACAAAAGAAATAAAAGTGGCCCCAGGTTGGAGCCCTGGGGAACCCCTGACAATTATACATAAACTAAATAGGAATAAAAGAAGTGGAAAAGTATATTATGATTGATGCGATCAAAGGCTTGGGTTACGTCAATGAAGATTACATCAACCAGGATATTAGAATCAATAGAATTGTCTAAATATTGTGAAATGCAGGTGAGAGTAGTGACAATGAAACCTCCACGCATAAAACAGTGTTATTTAGTAGACATCGGGGATAGAGAGAGTTGAAAAATCTTCGCAAAATTCGAATGAATAGAAATTCGCCACCAAATGTGTGAATCGGGCAGATTTTAGCTTGTTTTCGGGTATCCAGAGAGGTTAACCATTTATTAAAAAGAAAGGTCAATGGTTCAAAAGAAAATCGAAACAATCATAAATAATAAATGCAGTAACTGAGTATAATTCCGAACACAAGTTAGTTATTAATTTTTTTATAGCTGCTTTGCCTTCACCTATGGTAACGGCGACGTTAATACATGTCCAATTATTCGAATTCGAATCATAATTAATATTAGAATTTTGCATCAGAGGTAAAGTAAAAACACTGGAAAAAAAATGTTTAAAAGTTTTATATGCCGACGAAATAGTCATCTAAACATTATATCTTAACTAAGCTAGTTTGGAGTCAAAAGTCACACCAAGATCTTTAAAGGTTTTTGGTCGTTTTTTACTTTTATTTTGGATCCTATAGTGATTTTTGATACCATTGGTGACTTTTCTGATAACAGATTATACGACATATTGTGGATTTACCGATCCACATTGTTATACAAAAATTGATTACTAAATAGCAGATTACTAACAGTTGATCATCGAACCAAGCCATGTTGATTGATGGATATTTTGTTGAAAGTATGGTCAGAGCTGCATAGATAGTGCCAAGACATGAACGAATCAAAAAGAATACATAATCAGAACGAAAGAGAATTGTAAAGACGAGATGTATATCGATAGATACTTATCTATACCTGCATATCTGTGTTATATGTACTGGAAGCGTGTATGTTAGACACACGGCAGTGATTGTCAAATCCAGCTAGTAATTAATTCGAAATAGTTCCGAAAAGTGAAGTCGACCTTATGTTTGTGGTTTTACGAGTGTCTTCTTTATTTGAGTGGGGGAAGTATAGAATTAAAAAATCCATTTTGTATGACGATGGAAATCGCATTAACAGTTAAAAAATTCGTTCGGGGACTATCTTTGGAGCTCTCGAATGACGCGTTAATTTCTAAATTCCTTTAACACACCTCCCCGAAACTCCGTAAACTCCGGAACTTGTATTTGAGGTATTGCTCTTAGAACTGCCACTGAACAGCAATCTATTTTTCCATTTCTATAGTCGGACATGTTTCGTATAAAAACTGTACTTAACCAGTTTAGTTCCGAGCAAATCGAAAGCCCACAAGGACTAGACAAATTGTTGCTTACGTCATTTATGCCCACAAAAGCGACTCCATCTCCGTAACGGTCGTCGATCACCACTTTCCAAAAGTATAACGGTATTGGAATCGCGTGTGCTGTGCTGTTCAAAAATCCCTTCGTTTTCATCGTTCCGGTATATATATGTACAATTCTGCCCTTCGGAGGTGCATCTCTTATTTTTGCTTCAAGAAGCCTCCAGTTAACTTCATTGAACCTTTTCTCCTGGGGTCCGGCATTTAAGTAATAGAACGTCATTCTTTTCTCCGCTCCGGAGAAAAAGTCGCATTTTGGTGTGAGATGTCCCTTGTCGTAACCCGAGCGGCGGTACATCGTGTCGATATCCACATCAGTGAAAAAATCTTTTTTAAAAGTCGTTACATCCGCTGTTTTACACGAATATTGCGTAGTCCTCAACTGATGTTTCGTCCAGTAAGTAGTTAGTATAACTGGGTCGAAACAAAGTAGGATTTTATGCAACCACGTTTCTGAGTCTAATTGAAAGCCAAGGTGGATAAGTTTTGATCCCCTGTTGCATAATTTTCCTTGTACTTCTTGCAATGCGGGTTGGGGTAATTGGTGACATTTGAGATCGTTGAAAGTGTACGTTCCTAGTCCACCATGTAATATGAATTTTCCGGCGTTGCACGTCGCGGTTGCTAGACGACCCACGGTGGTCCTATTAATGAGGAAGTTTTTTTCACCGGAACATAAAAATTGGACTTGGTCTGTATTTTGAAGTTCGATATCACCCATTCTGTTCTTGGGGTCTATGATGTCGCCGTTCACTAATACGATGGGCGTTTTACCGCGCAAAGTTGTTTCCAGGTTAAAGAGACATGTTGAAGATGCGGTTCCTTAAAAGGATTAATAAGTTAGTTTTTTTGTGAAAATTTGCACAATAACGAGAATTTGTCACTTGCCTAAGAAAATTGCCACAACACTCCAGAACACGACCAAGTATGCAAACATTTTTAATAATTGTAATCGTAAGAGAGCAAAATTTATAGAAATAGAGGGGCCCCATTATCTGCAATAGGTTAGCGAACTTATTTTGGTTTAAAAGGTTAATAAATCACGTTGATTAATGTTTGATAAACATAGTTTGGCGTTATCTTTGCACATATTCTTACATTTACTGATGACTAGAGAATGGATGTATATGCACACAATTTTTGTTAAAATATGCGCATCTGCCCTGGAACACAAACTAATAAATTGAGATGAATTAGTTATACAGGGCATTACACGAATGAGTACGAGCCTGCAAGAATTAAAAATGCAACCCAAAATACAAATTCAAAAATTTGGATGTCTTTTTTAAATTTCAAAAAGCGCTAAACGTAGTTATCCGGGCGTTAGAAATTTGTCACTGTTTGTCAGCATTTGAAATGTATTCAGATGACGATAAAACGGATCTATCATTTATGTAAAAAGAACGCTTCTTTGACAGCTAGAATGTATGTGGAACCTTATCTGCAGAGAAAAGCATCTACCGACAAAATCTTGAAAAAGCTGGAAATGTCGTTACGGAGGAGTTGACCACCAATTAAAAAACTAAGGCGGAGAACAGCTACCGGCCCCGAAAATGAGTTTGCTGTCTTAGGCATGGTGGAAAATGACCCTCACGTGATTCAAAAAACAGTGGCAGCCGCAGTGTGTGTTAGTGTAGCCTCTGTCAACAGGATTTTGAAAGTCAACAAATTTCATCCCTACCTAACTTGACCTGACCTAGTGCAAGAACTAAAGCCCGCAGATTACGGACAACGATCAGCTCTTTGCAATTTCTTGATGTTAATAAAAATCTTTTTGAGATTTCAAATCAATTGACGTTTTTTTCAAAAGTTAACAAAAGTCAAAATTGCCCACTGTCAATTTTTGAAGAAAAAAAAGAATTGATAAAATAAAACTTAAAAAAATATCCATGTAAGCTTCGACGGTGTATTGTGGGTTGCAATTCCAATTCAGTCAGGCCAAAGTCAGGCTCGTACTCATTCGTGTAATACCCTGTATCTACGTTTAGAGATATCGAGTGTTCATTTAAAAAATTGGTCTAAAGAGTTTAGACAGTACTTCCCTCGCTGTCGGAAACGTGACGACTGCATGTCTATTATGTTTTTTTTTCGCAGTAGATTTAATTATTTTTTTTGAGTCACCCGGTATATGTAAATTCAATATGACTGGAATGATAAATTACAAGTACAGACTCATCATATTTTGTATATTCTAGATAGGATTTATTCGGCAAACTTTTGAGCTGACGTCATCAGTTTTTTGGAGAAGATAACCAAATATATTTTGACTAAAAATTTATTATGCTCTTTATAACCTTAAAACATTTGCAAGATTTCAAAACATTCGGTTCTGGAGTTCCTGATTAAATCAATAAAATACATTTACCCACTCATTATTTTTTTTGGGTCATCCTGTATATGCAAATCCAAAAACTATGAATGGAATGATAAATCACAAGGAAAGGCTCATCATATTTTGTACATTTTAGATAGGATTTATTTAGCAAAATGTTGTGGTGACGTCATAAATTTTTTAGGGGGGATGAGCAAATACATTTTGATCAAAAACTTACCATGCTTATGATAACTTTAAAACACCTTCAAGATTTCAAAGCATTTCAAAATTTTGTAGTTCCTGAGTAAATCAATAAAATAAATTTACGCATTCATTAATTTTTTTTGAGTCACCCTGTATATGCAAATCCAAAAAATATGAATGGAGTGATAAATTACAAGAAGAGACTCATCATATTTTGTACAGTTTAGATAGGATTTATTCTGCAAACTTTCGAGCTGACGTCATCAATTTTTTGGAGAGGATAAGCAAAAATATTTTGACTAAACATTTATTATGCTCTTTATAACCTTAAAATATCTGCAAGATTTCAAAGCATTCGGTTTTGTAGTTCCTGATTAACTCAATAAAATAAATTCACGCATTTATTAATTTTTTTTGAGTCACCCTGTATATGGAAATCGAAAAAATTTGAATGGAATGATAAATAACAAGAAGAGACTCACCATATTTTGTACATTTCAGATAGGATTTATTCAGCAAAATTTTGTGGTGACGTCATAAATTTTTTAGGGGGATGAGCAAATACATTTTGATCAAAAACTTACCATGCTTATGATAACTTTAAAACACCTTCAAGATTTCAAAGCATTCGGTTTTGTAGTTCCTGAGTAAATCAGTAAAATAAATTTACGCATTCATTAATTTTTTTGAGTCACCCTGTATATGCAAATCCAAAAAAGATGAATGGAGTGATATATCACAAGCACAGACTCATCATATTTTGTACATTTTACATAGGATTTATTTGGCAAACTTTTGAGCTGACGTCATCAAGTTTTGGAGGGGATGACCAAATATATTTTGAATAAAGATTTATGATGCTCTTTATAGCCTTAAAACATCTGCAACATTTCAAAACATTCCGATTAGCAGATTCAAAATTAAATTGCAAAATGTTGTTTTATAATTTTGATTTTTTTTCCAAAAATCTGGACGTTTCGGGTAAAAACTCAATTCGGAGTCGTAAACTACATGTTTAGGACTATATTATTTTATACAATTTAAAACCCATTTACTATGTACAATTTTGAAGTGACGTCATCACATTAGTGGTGGGGATGATTAGACAAATTTTGGTTAGCGTTTTACCATCTACATGATATTCCTAATAAGGACTGTAACGATAGAAATTCGGAAATTTTAAAATACCATAACTTCTTAATATGAAATTATATTTCGACAATTTTAGATTTTTCTAAAACTTTATTGCTTAGAAATATATGTAACACAAAATTAACCGAACTTTTAAGCTTGGCTCCATTCTTTTCGGAGCTTCTTCCTAATTGACATCATAATTTTCTTGACAGTTGCTGGTGATACCGTTTTTACTGCTTTCGTCCATTTTAAATTGAAGTCGTGGGCGTTTTTAGCAGTTTGTCCCGTTTTTTGTAACTTTTTTTTCACAATCGACCAATATCTTTCAATGGGCCTACACCGTGGAACGTTGGGTGGATTGTGATTGTGGTTTCGAGGTACAAAATCGACGTCATAGTGTTGCAGCAAATTGACTGTGGCTGTTGCATAATGTGCGGTGGCAAGGTCTGGTCAAAACAAAGTCGGCCCAATATACTTTCTGAAAAATGGGAACATCCGTTTTTTCAAACATTCCTTAGCATAAGTTTCAGCATTAACAGTTCCTGTAGTCACAAATGATGAACTTTTCATTCCACACTCACAAATGGCCTGCCAGACGAGATATTTCGTTCCAAATTTTTCAATACCAATTGATGTTTCTGAGTCAGGAAGAATCTCTCTTTCAAACTGAGTATAATATTGTGCTCCTGCAAGCGTCGAAAAATCAGCCTTAACCTAACTTTCGTCGTCCAAAACGAGGCAGATGTTCTTCTTGCCAATCAAGTCGTACAATTTTCGCGCTCTCGTTTTAATTGTTTTCAGGTGGATATCAGTCACTTTAGGTATTTTTTGTTTCTTATAGGTTTTCATACCTGCTCGTTGCTTAGTTCTCTGAACCATTGTAGGGTTAGTTTGACATTTTTTTCGAATGTTCCTAGCGGACATACTGCGATTCTTAGAGATGGTTGCAATTATTTTTTTATCAAGATTTGGATTAAGAGCTCCTTGCTTTCTTCCAGAACCAGGGTTTCGTGAGACAGATAATTGTTTAAAGTACCGATTTAACACATCGTCCACCGTACTGCGAGAAATTTTTAAATCTTTTGCAATGAAATGCCTCGGTCGTTGAGGGTTTTCTATCCATTTGTCAACATTTTTTTTACGTTGTTCTAGTTGATTCATTTTTTTGGATATTAAAAGCTGATATTTTCACAAATTTTTTAAGGGAATATAATTTTAAATGTTTGACATTCTTGCTGTGACAACGAGAAAACAAAACATGAGGAAACTAATTTTTTATGGCTGTTCGAATTTTACGGATTTCTATCGTTACACTCCTTATAACTACAAAATTTCACAACAATCGGTCCAGTACTTTCGGAGATTATCTGTCTAATAAAAATCCGGGACGGCAGACAGACGGACAGACAGACGGAAATGGGAGACCTATTTCTTCGTCTTCTAGGGGTCATGAAAGATCGAGAAAACGTAAAAGTAGAGAGTCGGCCGACGGACTCGATTACAATACTTCCTTTGCTTACGCTCGGGAAGTAAAAAGTCATGAAGTTCGCGTTACTTTTTTGATAGAAGAAAACGTAGAAAAAAACGCATGTGTTTTATTAATTTTTCCGCGTTGTGATTTGTCATCGATTAAATTTGAGGTTAATTTGTAGACATACTTCACGATGTTTACAAAGAATCAAAGCCAATGTGATGCTTTTACTTCCCGAGCGTAATCGGACGAATGGCCAGTTTTATATTTTCTCGACATTTCATGACCCCTTCAATACGAAAAAAGTAGTGTCCCGTTTCCGTCTGTCTGTCTGTCTGTCGGTCTGTATCCATTTTTATTAGACAAGTAATCTCCGAAACTGCTGGACCGATTGTTTTCAAAATTTGTATGTATTTTAGAATTATCATGTAGATGGTTAAATGCTAACCAAAATTTTGATAATCATCCCCACCAACCACATGATGACATCACCTCAAAATTTTTCATAATAAGTAGGGTTTAAATTTTATAAGATAACATATTTGTGCAGTTTGTCTTTTATGAATTTGAGTTCAAATTTTCTCCGAGGCATTCTAATTTTTGCAAAACAAATCAAAATTGTTCGTCAACCTTTTCTACGAGTAGAAGTGAACTTGCGTCAGAGATGCAATAGTTCAAGGTTGGTTACGCCTACTTTCGGACTCGTCATCTACAAACAGCGGACCTTCCATTCCAGCACGAGATTTTTTTGTTCTTGTACTATCCTGCTATTATTTAGGTATATTTTTTGGACAAAAAAACAAGTACGCTTACTTAATTGACCAATTAATTAAGTAAGCGTACTTGTTTTTTGAAGTATAAACATAAACAAAACTGTTAAAGTTAAACAAGGACTAGGAATTAAGAATACATTGTTTCCCACTGATTATCTGCTTTAAATATATTTCACATTGTCCTACTGGAGCGAGGGAAGTTCTCTGGAAATAACCTTCGACCAATTTTTTTAATTGAACACCCGTTATTTCTTAGCACCACGTTGCGTAGAAAGATTTCATAAAACATTAATAATAATTGTTGACAAAAAACATAAAATAGTTATACATTGGCTCGGTTAATATTCACTCAAATATCGTATTGATAAATTTAAAACACAACGGCCATAAAATCAGTGCTTCACCATTACAAAATACATTTAATTATTACATATATTATTAATTTATTATGTATTTAATAAAATTGTTGTCTATACTTTTTATTCTGGTATTTTTGTGTAAATCAGGCGAGTATTTTTTCTTAAAGAACGCTTTTTTATTTGGTACGTTGACAACAATTAGTTACACGTAGAAGTTTGTTTTCATCTGTTAATCATCTGCTTGACGATGAATCATTTGAGTATTTCCATCAGGACGGGATGACATTTTATTACAGTAAACAGTCTTCGTGAGTGTTTTGCACACCAAATGGACACAAAATGCGCCAAACATATGACCATCATGATGTTGTGTCTAGATTCCTTTAAATATCTTTAGCACTACTTAATAAATCCGGAAAATGCCGCGAAATAAACGATTCCTCGCACATTCTTCAAAATATTGTTCTTGAAATTTGAAGAAGAGGTTGGAAATGCTTTAAAACAAACGGAGGTCACTAAATTTTTGTTTGATATTAGGTGTTAAAAGTTCTGCGTTACCTTGACTCTGTGCTTTCGTTTGTTCTCTTCTGATTGACACTGATCCCTTCTGATCGCATCAGGCTAAACATCAAAATCTTCCCAACGAAACGAGTTAACTTAGAAGAACCGGCTCCAGTGCCCCAGGATCCATACACAACATCCATAATGGGAGACCTAATGGAAAAAATGAAGCCCGAAGGACCCTTCAGTTCGAAAAAAGTATACGAAAGCGACACACCGCACTACAAGGATCAAAGAGGTACGAAAAGTGTATAGGTGAAGAGTCCAAAATGCTTGTTGGTTTGGTAATGCTTTTGCTCCAATACGCGGATACTCATTCGATCTTTCTTTTATCAACCTCAACTTTCCGAATGACCAGTATCCACGTATTTCGTTTTTCGCTTTTTGGGCTTTACTCCGACTGTCAGCGTTGTTTAGGATGATTCCTTGCACGTTCTAGATGACTCTAAAGTGTTGATGGTACCGGGCAACAAATCAGAGATTAACGATTTCATTAAGTCGACGACGTTGTCGTCTCGGGTACGCATAGATGTATCGTTGCCGATTGTGTCGATGCAGCTGATATCCAAAAGATTGTACGAGACGATTTACAACCGGATCAACAACGACCTGCTGCTGTGGGAACCCAGCGCTCCTAAACCCAAGACGACCACACCCGCCTACGACAATATCAACTACGGTCCGTTTGGCAACATCGAGGTGGAGGGACACGAAGTGTTCACTCTGTGCAAGAGCGGCATCCAGTACGGTAAGCAGATTTTGTATTATTATCTATTATTAAATGGGACTATTCACATGTAAATTTCTGTGTTGGTACACTTACACTTTTTTCCTAGATTCAGAGAGCGAAACGGACGAAGAAAACGAAGACAATTCCAACGTCTTCTACTCCACCTACAGTTCAAGAATGAAAGTCTCGCAGAAGCAGCTGGTCAGCGAATCGAAAGAAGAAAGTTACTTAACTCTTAATATACATATCGCTAATGGATTACTCTGCATGTGTACGCCGGTGAGAGATGCAACCACCAACAGCGTCATCCCTAACCAGCAAGGAGAGTTTTTGATTAACGTGGAAGATGCTACTATCTTTGTGGTGAACGGATACATGGGTAATACGGATTTAGGTTATACCTGTTTGAAATTTCATAACGCTCAACTTTATCACTGTGGTAAGTTGGTTTTTGTTTCGCAATTTGGTAGTTCACAATGCTTTTTGAAGATATTATTTCGACGCCAAGTCATAGTCCACCACTCAAGGATATCGGAGCGACGCCCGGCAAACATTTACACCCCACGATTTACGGCTCAGAGGCTGGAACACTGGCCAACAGCAAAAACAGAGGTGGCGATAGGGAGATGGTGACGTTGTGTGTTAAAATAAAAGCTAGTCACGAGACTCATCATGTCAAGGTAAGTGTCTTCTAACTTTAGTCGAAAACTGTTGAAATCTGAAATGTGCTATCATGTTCTACATTATGTATTTTGTATTTTTGATTCCCAACCTAATGTGTTAAAGAAATCCATAAAGAATTCATTAGAATTTATATTATTATTATTACTTTATATGTTATTTAATTTTTGTCTTTTATACTCTAGAGTAATTTCGTAATAAATCGTCATTATTAAAAAAAAAATCTTTAATGCCAAATTTCTAGAACGTTTCTATCGCCGCCGGCTTCAACAAAGTCACTCTCAGGCACCGAATGTGCAATGAACCCAACAGCTGGATCTCCCAACTCACTGACTTCTTCAACGTCAACGACTACCCCATCCCGGGGTACCACGCCAAAGAGATACTCACGGAAATGTTCCTCCACTTCTGGGACTCTGCAATCGATTACAGACCTCGTTACTTACCGATACGTTCGGTCATCACCCTCGGGACCTTCAGCATTTCGTCTCATTTAAGCTCAGATGTCAACAGTTCGACTCTGAGGTTCATAGCAGAGGAGTGCGGCTTGTTCCTGAGTCAAAAGGGTGTGAAAAAATTTCGATTACCGTACAGTGGTCCTGTCGACTTAAAACGGGACTACGTTAACGTTATCGATTTGGGTTTGTTTGAGATTAGTTTGAAGACGTCCGATAAGGTATGTTCGGTTGATGTTAGTTAGAACGCGAGGGGTTACCTTTTGGTTTCAGAAAAACGTAGATACTCCGCATTTCGACTTGCGGGCTGCTAATAATATAATACACATACGTACCTGCGCAGATAGTGCGAGGGCTTTAACTCAACTCATAAAGTATTTGGCGAATTACGGTGATTTAGTACCACCGGAAGACGGTACGTCAAGCGGAAGTGCCTTCTCGAGTCCTCGACACTTACCCGAGCAAGAATTAGTGTCCGTTGAACCTCAAGAAATCGCGAACCTTTCAGAAAGTCAGCACCAACAAATTCATGATCTCATTCAAGACGCTCTGGAAGACGTCGACGAAAGTACTTCAACACAAGGTAAAACGACCCACAAAACCCAACTCTGTAATAATTTAGTTTGTAGTGCATTCGGATTTGTATAGTTACAACGGTACAAAAATGTTCTACTTCCCCGACGAAAGACACCCTCCCCAAGAACCTGTGAAACCCCTACCTCAGGTCACCACCGAACTGGGTCAAGTACCCTTCCAGCCGAATCTTGCCGACTCAGACGAAGAGTTTTGTTTCATTGACGAAGAACCAGGATATAACATTTTCCCAAAGAACGGCGTACCTGAAATTAAATGGCTCACTGAAGACCCGGTTCGGATAGTCGATAACCACTTTTCCGTCCCGAGCGAAAAGTGTGACCCTCTTAAAACACCAAAGAATTTCCCCACTCCGACTAGAAAGTACACCTTGTGTGAGATGAGTGTGGTCTGGCACATGTACGGAGGTAACGACTTCGGACCCGTGGAGAAGGAAAAAAAGAAAACGGTTAACTTCTCGGACATGAAGTTAAAAGACAGTGTTAGTTTTTCGAACTTGCAAAAGGAGGTGGTGATCGATAGTGAGAAGGTGAAGAAAAAGTCGTGGTTAACGAAGGGTGGGCCGAATCGAAATCACAACGTCTTGATGGAGTTGCAGCTAAACAAGATTAGATTCCAGCACGAGGTCTACCCCGATGTGTCGTCGAAGGCCTCGAGGCAGGTCTTGATAGTGGCGGAGATCGAAATGAGAGACCGACTGAAGAGCAGTCAAATGAATAAGTTTTTGTATCAATATATTAGTCAAATGAGGCCGAAACAGTCAAACGCGAATATGGTGAGTGAGCTTCTCGGGCGCCAGTTTTTCCATAAACAACTGGTTTCTTTTACAGCTTGTGATAAAAACCCTCCACGTGCGACCCGACCCTCAGCTCAGAAGTCAAGAATGCTGTCTGAAGATCTCTGTTTTGCCTCTTCGATTCAACATCGACCAAGACGCCCTCCAGTTCCTGATTACCTTTTTCACCGAACTGGGTACCGACGTCAAAGATGGTGAGATTTTTTTGATAGTAGTGTGGTTTTTACATCACGCCAAAAATTTAAGATGATTTACAAGTTGTCAGCTCTAAACATAACACGCCAGTGCATCAACCACCGGTGATGACCGTCAAAGAAGATAACGAAGATCAGTTGAAAGAAGAAGCAAAGAAGATCGTCGACGAGAATTTGCTGATTTTGTTAGAAGAGAATAAAACAGAGCCGAGGTCGAGCGACGAGACTCCGCAAGTGACGAGTAGTAGTGCTGAAGACAGCCCGATCTATTTTAGGTTAGTTTTTGGTTTGGCGGTTAGTGTTTTGACTGAGGATGTGTGGTTGCAGGAAGGTTGTGTTTTCACCAGATGTGCCTATACGACTTGATTATCACGGGAAGCGTTTCGATTTACGAACGCACGGTCCCCTACAGGGACTCTTAATGGGTTTAGCGCAATTGAACTGTTCCGAGCTTAGATTAAAGAGGATATCACATAGACACGGACTTTTAGGATTTGACAAGTTGATTATGTTCCTTATTAAAGAATGGATTAACGATATTAAGAAGAATCAGATACCAAATTTGCTGGTTGGAGTGGGTCCTATGTATTCGTTTGTACAGTTATGTGAGTATGACCACGCCGACATTACATCTCCTTCTTACATCACTCAAACTTTTCATTTCAAAATATGAAACGTATTACCATATATGATTCTTCAATGCCATCATAAGGATTAAGTTGGTAAAGACGTTTTGCTTTATCTTAGCATCTTTTAATGTGCGCAAAGAGGAATCTTAATTCTAAGGGTTTGCCTGACGATCACCGTGTTCTTTTTGTTATAGTCCAGGGGATTAGAGACTTATTCTGCCTACCCTTCGAGCAGTACAAGAAAGATGGACGCTTCTTGAGAGGCCTTCATCGTGGTGCTAATAGTTTTACGACTTCCACAGCAATGGCAGCTTTAGAATTGACGACCCGACTTATCCACTTGATCCAAGTAAGTCACACCACGGTCATTAAAATTTAAAGAAATAGGGACTATTTAAACACTCTTGTGCTTCTTTTCCAGATCACAGCAGAAACCGCTTTCGATATGTTGACGCCAGGTCCTAGTGTGAAAATAAATCCGAAGACGAAAGTTCGCCGAAAGCGCTATAGCCAACCCAAGGACATACGAGAAGGCGTGACGAACGCATACAAATTAGTTAAAGAGGTAATTCTGCGTCCTCACTTGTAACTAACTCCTTTACATACATATACTTTTAGGGATTTGAGGAGACCGCGGATAACATCCTTCAAGTAGCCTCACACGAGCACGAACAAAAGGGCTACAGTGGCGCTGTTGGAGGCGTCATACGGCAGATACCTCCCACCATAATCAAACCCATAATCATAGCCTCCGAGGCCACGAGTAACGTGTTAGGTGGAATGCGATGCCAACTAGTTCCCGATGCGCGGAAAGAAGCCAACGAGAAATGGAGGAACGAAGACACATACGATTCGTACGAGTGATAAAAAGACTGGTTTGTGATTTTATATTAAGATTGTCAATACAATTTGGCATAATGTGCTTTGATTACAAATATAGGAAACGTGTTTCTAGAGATATTTTATTACTACGTTACGTTATTATTATTAGGCAACATATATGTACGTTTTTAACAGGCGTGGAGCTAAACAAAGACGCGTCTGGTTTGAAGATGGACCTGAATAGATTGCCGATTGTTTTATTGCAAAGACAATATATTTTCAGTTCAGCCGGGTGCTGACTGGAGCCATACAAAATTTCTGCATGATTTCACAAAAGTGATATTTTCGTACCTAGATTATTAACAATATTACGAGTTTATTTAATTGTACTGATAATTTATTTGTACGTTGTGTAAGTGATGCCGTGTGTTCATGCAAACTTGTATAAAGATGAACAAATGAGAGAAATGGATTGACTTACCATTTGTTATGTGATAGGACTATTGTAATTAAATCGTTTTTCATGTATGCAATATGAATAAATAAATTTTTATATTTCTCTGGTGGTTTTATGCTTAAACAATGTGGCCTCGGGACCGTGTCTGGCTTCCGTACTCCAGCTTACTTAATTCCAAGCTAGTTTCAATAGAAAACAAAGCAGTTGGTTTTGCTATACTTTTGCGTAAGCCAAGCTAATTACTTAATGAACTTGGGAGTTGTTAAAAAATTTAGAAAAATAAATTTATTTCTAAGTCTGCAAAATGCTAGACGTGTGAATAAGTCAAGTTAATTACATTCTGAACGGAAGAGTTTAAAAAATCCATAGAAATATATCTCAACCTTTTTTACCCTCGTACAGGTTATTTTTGGAAAAATTCCGTCTGAGGGGGTACATACTTAACGTTGTAGAAGGAAGCCATCCCTAAAATTGTATATGTTTAAATTTAGAGGTTTGGGGTAAGCGTTGATGGAATAGGAGGTAATCATCCGAAACCACAAGGAAGAAATCATCAAGAGAAGAAGATGTTAGAAATTCCTTAGGAACACTTTATAACCGCCTTAATAAAAAAAATACCTGAGACCACTAGAAAAATGCAACGTTAATTCACCAGGAAGACCTCTGGAGTCAGCACAGGATTCTGAGACTTAATTAGTAGAGTGAAAAAACTATAGTACAATTCTTCAAATTTTGGTAAGATGTAAAACAGTACCTATGTTCTGTTTCTGTCTTCGTCCGACACACGGTATTTACGCAGGAATACTTTACCTGCAGTGTGTCCGACGAAGACAGAGCAGAAACATACCAGATGTCGTTAATAAGCAAAATGCAAAACACCATGCGCGACGGGCTTAATGCCACGCCTACTTTGACTCAAAACTAGTTACTTTTTCAGTGCTACACCACTTGATTTTTCTCTAGACATAGCCTCTAGATCTCAACTGATTAAACGGTCAGTTTACTCGTATGTAACATAACATTTTTTTTAACGAGGAATGAACAAAGAAATGGGCACAACACAATCAAAAAACAAAGTCTACTGCAACGGTTAAATCAAAAAGTTTAATAATAAGTGGTCTAACCATTACCAACTAACTATCCCACACTAATTTTTCATAATACCATTAGGGCGTGAACATGACCTGTCCGCACATGAATACACCGTTTACTTTATAAACGATAAGAGTCCATTGATATAGTTTTACAAAACCTTCCCAAAATTAAAAAAATTCTACTGTAACATAAACAATTTGAAGTTCCTTCGAGAGGGTCATAATCATAAGAATGCTAAATGAACGAATAAAATGATTTGCAAATAGCGATCTAAAAGGCAAATAGGAAGATAAACTGCAAAGGTATAAAAGAATCTTTAACAACAAAAAAGACTCAAAAGTCAGGAGGAAGTAAACCACTTGCGTGAAAACTGAAAGGTCAGGGTCTTGCAAAGAAGGAACGGCAGAAAAAATCGTCACCCATTCAAGAATGCTTGAGGCTTGCCGAAAAAGGAGACCACAATAGTCTTCACGCTCTGAACAATTGTCCTGTTAGAATAGATCCCAAATTCTAAGATGGTTATGAGATCTAGCAGATAAATCTAATCTTGTATTGTGATCGCGGTGGTTATGAACAACCGCTTGAGTACTGGTAAAGGGCGCCCTGGGTCCCTATTCATGATGGTCATTCAGCAGCATCTGCATAAACAGCTGTCTTTGTGTAACTCTTGTTACTTTTTGTGGTACCAGACCTACAATCAAAGACCCATAAGCGTGTACAGAGAAACAAAGGTAAGACAGATAAAGTTCCCTATGTACGCAAATGTTCTTAAAACTTTGTCTGGTTTACTTTGCACCTCCTTTTACTAACCATTTTGTAATTCCCCAAAAGATAATTCAAATATTCAACTCAGACACATTTGAAAAACTCTTTTGTTCATAAAAAACTCTACACAAGAACGGTACATTTCCAAAATACGTATGTACATCCACAAAAATTTTAACGCGACCGTGGTGTTTTTTTTTCTTTCGGGGACCTGCCGTAAATAATTTTAGTGTAGGTACTTACATATATGTTTTCCCTATACATCCCAATATATTTTATTTATACCTGAATACGTGAAGATCATTTTATTGTACCTACTGTATTGTTTTTATGATATATGTCATCGTGTAACGATGAATGGAAGGAATACAAACCTTGAACCGAAACTTGATCAGCGAATTTTTTTTTTTTTTTTTGTTAAAAAGGAGGGACTCTAACTTTTCTTTAAAGTGTTATAGATAGCAACTTCGGTGGAAGCAACTTTTCGAAAACATGTATTACCATAGGGATATTTTTGGTGTCTCATGCTTTGGATAGATAGAAATAGAGTCCACCACATAATGAACACTTTATGTTTATTGAAAGCTAACCGTAAACCGCATATGGTAATGATAATAATTTACACTTTTAACACAAACCTCTCCGATTGCTTACCTGAAAGGAACAAAGCTTCTATGAATCAAATGTACACAAACATTTTTAGATTACAATGGTAAACCATCTCATTCACCACGCAATCCAAAAGCATAAGCGTTGTAAATAATGGACATCACTCATCTTTGTTGAACTTTTTTTTTTTTAAATATACATTTCTAATAAGAAGAGTGAAGATTTATGCTTCTGAGCGATTTAATTTCAATTATTCATTTTCATTGCAGTTCAATTTGATATTCTCTGAAATTTATTAGTTCGCAGTTTCTTCGGTAAATAAATATAAGAGAGTTGAAACATGTAGTTATTATACCAATTTGTTGCTAAATTAAAATTTGTTTCAATTGTATACAAATCAAACGATCTTTCTAATTTCAACATTAAATCAAATTTGTTTGCGTTTCCATTCCCACCATTGTCACAGTATCCATTGTTTTTACCACCAGTTTATTTATAATCAAATTGAGTCATATTTTTTCACAGACTTTTCTTTTTTTAGAATAAAATCTTGGTCATTTTCAGTGTCTTCACGGAAAGCTTCAACTGAGTTCAGTCGTTAGAAAAAGCTTTTTTTTCTTACTCATATATTTAAATTGTTGTTCATTTGATTGTGAAAACAAATTCTCTTTCCACATTAGTACGAAAAGCAAGAAGTAGATGTGTACAAAGAAAGAGTGGGTGATATCGGACGTAATCACCCTATTGACTGCAGAGTCTTCGGTAGATTATGAATCAAGTCGTCGTTATTCTAGCTGTTCAAATAAGAGAGAAAAACACGTTTCAAGCTTTGAAAATTTACTAAAAAAACGCCTTTATTTAGTTGTTACAGAGTTTCCGATTTAAATCAAAATGACGGAAAAAACAAAAAACATTTAAAGTGCATTTATACCTATATAAATATCTATAGGTATATAGGTTGTGAAATGAATTTGGCTTTGTTAAAACACGTAAACATTCAAAAACAATACTTTCACTTTCTTAAAGTGGTTCGTTATCTACTAATTATTTTTCCATAGCGATTCTTACAGCTGTTCTGTTCTTATTTTGTGAAGAACTTTCAATGTGGCCTTCATCTAGGTACAATGCTCCAATTCCATGCACCATGGTGATTAAAATAATGTCAGTGTCTATCCTTGAATCTACTAAAAACGATGCCCACGAGTCCCACGACCTTCGTAGACAGTGCTCTCTGTATATTCGGAAGAATTAGGCGGTTCTGCAAATATCGCAATATCGTTAATCTTGGATTAAGCACAAAAATGTCGATGTCGATAAGTGTTTAACACATAACATAAAATTCTTTCCGTCAAATTTTCCACAGCTAATAAAAGACTGTTTCACCCAGTATGTCCTCCTGGAACTCCCCTACATTGATTATTTAGGTGCTTTATGGGATTAAACTAACCTTTATGGTCAAAAATTTTTGATCATCCGTTTTTGTCAGAAAGTGCCTATTCAATATTTTTCTTTGTCATTACTCATTAGCATATACTTAATAAGAACTTATTAGCATGGACATTTCTATTTTTTGTTAACATGGTCAATGTTGAAAGACTGGCTCCAAAGTGACGATAATTTCCGCGTTTTTGATTTCTTAAAAATCAGATATCATATTCTTGCTGTGTAATTTCATATTACATAATCTAATATATAAAAATGGATGTTGGTATATATATATATCTGTGATCGATAGACTCCGAAATCGTTTGACCGGTCACCATGAAATTTGGCACATGTAAGTGGTTTTTCATGGAGAAGGTTTTTGTGGTATCCACTTTGCTGTAACTAGCCACTAGATGGCGCTACAGCACATCAACTTCTAATGTGACTCGATCTTGAAATGTGTGGCAATTAGTAACTTTTATGAAATAGAAATATATCTGTGTCTTTGTTATGCTCCGTCTTTTCGACAGCAGGTATTTTTTGCTTCCAGTATGGCGATCCTGTTACTGTCATTTGGCCGTCAATTGCCTTGGTGGTAATAAGTCTTCCACGACTGTTTGCTGGTTACCGGTGACACTTTCTCGTTGTATAGGGCTGGAGTTACTTTGAGACTGGAATAGTGTTCTTTCCGGTCCGTTAACTCGATAATTCTAGTACAGTCTGTCGTAACCTCAAATCGTAAACACATCAAACTTTCGTTGACAGTTCCTACATTTGATAGCGAAAATTACTAGCCTCGCGCTATCTTTGTTTAACACATAGGTTAGGTTCCTCTCTGTCGAATTCCGACCACAAGCAGTTTGCCGTACTTTCTAGAAGTAATAGTAGATCTAGTGACTTTATCAACTTCTACACCGTTCAACCGATTCTCATAAAAATTGGTACACGTTGGCATTTGACTATGGAGAATATTTTCGCCCTATCCATTTTGCTGTAACTCGCCACTAGATGGCGCTGCAACACATCAACTTCTGTACCAATCAACCGATCCTCATGAAAATTGGTACACGTTGGCATTTGACTATGGAGAATATTTTCGCCCTATCCATTTTGCTGTAACTCGCCACTAGATGGCGCTGCAACACATCAACTTCTGTACCAATCAACCGATCCTCATGAAAATTGGTACACGTTGGCATTTGACTATG